AATATCATTCCCTTGCTGCCCATTTCTTGGTATCAGCCATACCCAAGGCATGCACCACTGAAAGCACATGGGATCCAATAATGGAATGGGTCACATGGAGCCTGGAAGCCTTGTTGAAAGGCTATCACCCTGAGGTGGGACCAAAGAATGAACCCTTGTTGAAAGGGTCACCCTTTCATGCCCTGAAAGGATTACCTCTCACCCCTGGAAATTACAGGGCAGTGGTATGGGCAGTGGTATGGGCAGTGCAGGGGGACCATGAAATGTATTCAAACACCCTCCACCTCCCACACTGGAATGCAACCAGCCCATGTTGGGATTGCGACTGCAAGCAGCCATTCAGTAAAGGTACCCCTTGTGAAAAGGGGAAAAGCTTCAAAATTGTAAAAGAAGAAAAGCAGAGGTTCACATATGTGGACACCAAAGCAGCCTTGCTAAAAGGCAAAGCCAATCATCCTTTGTTCTCAGTGCCAGGGCTGACTACTAGGATGGTGAGGCATGATGGACTTCATGTCCTGTTTGTCAGAGGTGTATGTGCACACTTAGTTGGATCAATATTGCATTACATGGCCTTCTTTGATGGCAAAGGTGTCCAATCTGTCAAGCCATCAGAAAGACTAGCCTTCATTTTTGAAGAAATCCAAGAAGTCTACAAAAGGTCATCTGCACCAACAAGACTGACAAACCTCAAATTGTCCATGATCTGCGATGTTGCAAAGCCACACAAGCAGTTTGCAAAGCTTGACTGCAAAGGTGCTGAGATGAAACACCTCTGTGTGGCCCTATTGCCAGTTATCAAGAATATGCTGGATAGGAAGCAGGAACAGCACAGGGACATGGTGTCAGCCTTGCAATGCATGGTGGATCTGATTCAGCTCTTTGACAGAATTGGTATTTTTCCCAGCAGCAAAGAATACATGCAAGCCAGAAACCTTGAGAAAAGGTTCTTTGCCCACTATGATAGCTTGAATATCTGGGCACAGGAAAATGACAGGCTTCTGTTTCATCTTGTGATGAAGCACCATACACTACACCACATGGTGAGGGACAGCCAATTCTTGAACCCTAGGAATTGCTGGAACTTTAGAGCAGAAGACTTTGTTGGGAAAATCAGTAGATTAGGGGCCAGTGTGGCAATGGGTGTCAAAAGCACCAAGATGAGCCAAAAGATCAATGCCAAATATCGAATCCTTTTGCATTTGCAGCTGGTGAGGCTGGGGTTTGGGCTTGTCAGCTGTCAGGATGATCCTTAGAATGCCACCACACAGCTTGAGAAAAGCTGAAGCATGCAACCCTTGATGAAAGGGTTCCAGGCTGCTGCAATTGATCAATATTATTTTTTCAACTCATCAAAGCATGCAACCCTTGCCATTCAGGGGGTGATCAGATCAATCCTTGTTCTGATCGTCGATTCTGGCTTGCAATGGCTGCTTGCACAAAGTTGCTTTCATGAATCCTTGGTTAAAGGATAAGCCACAAAGTTTCACCCAAAAACACATGCAGCATGCAGTCAGTAAAAATGTTGCTTCTGGGGGTGGTGGTGCATGGTCTCAATGGTTACCTAATTGATTTCCCAATTGAATTTCTAATTGAATTTCTAATTGATTTTTGGCCTTTCTAAACCATCACATCTCTATTGAATTTTGAAGTGAGAAACCATGGGTTTTCTAATTGATGCAATTTTCAATAACTTCAATTAAATATATTGAAAAAAAGCTGGATTCAATAAGGTCAAAATCTAATTGAATAGGATCAATTACCGATGCTCAGGGGGACTACGTCCCGGAGGAGGAGGCGACCGCATCAATACGTTCTTCGTGCCATTCGCACCGTGGGACGTACGAAGTCAGACGGTGCTGAGATTCAGGAAGATCGAACAAACTGATCTTGTCTACATCTACATCACGTACGATTCCATCGCCAAGTTCTCCCCTCGATTGTCAGCAGACGGACACATCTTGGTCCAAGAAACAATTCCATTCGAATCATTCGATGCAGTTTGGTACTATGATTGGAAGGAAAAGGACTACTACCGTCTTATGATCACAAAGGGAAAAGATCAACTTGTACTTTCTGTGCAAGGAGCAAGGAGGGTGGCCACCATTGAACGATTTGACAAACTCATTGGGAACATCGTGCCTGATGAATCATCTCCCGATCTGAACGAACTTCGAAAGCTTGTCGATATCAAGACCGGTCACTTCAGTCATGCTCACAGATTATTCCCTGGACATCCGGATTGGAATGATGCAATATCATTGTTAGCAGTCACTCATCATCCTAGCAAAGAGGACCATCGACTATGCCCCGCATGTCTGATGGAAACCCCTGCACCATTATCGATTTGTGTGATGTGCAAAGGATTTTTGGTGAGCCATGGATGGAGAAAGCGAATCAAGATCACCGTGGCTACAGTACCAAGTGCTGAATCACATTACCGAGAAGAAGATCTCAAAGACCATGTCAAGAAAGCATGGGAGGAGGTGAAGATCGATTTGACAGGTGACGATGATGACGACGAGCTGATGCAAGATGATGATGACGTCACCATGAAGAGTCCAGAACAAGAACCTCAACAAGAAGAAGAAAATGATGATCAAGCCTCGAAGAAGGGCGACATCAATGATGAGAGAAGAGACTTTAGAGAGCAAGATGAGGTCGATAAATTCATCAATGAGGAAGGAAAACAAACTGATGAGAACGACGATGAAGAAATAGAGGTCGATGAAATCAACATCGAGGAATACGAGGCTGGAGAGGCTCATGATGCAGTGATTGAGTACCCCAAGTGGCTGAAAAGGGTTGAGTTTGGATCAAAAGTCCTACCAATCGAGCCTTGTACAATTGGAGATGCTCAGCCGGAGCTCATCAAAATCCTCCTGTTACAGATTGGGTTGCATATCGTCAGGATCTACAGACTATTCCAACGGAACTTCTGTGGAGACATTGAGACGGCATGGAAACACTTTCAACAGAACCAGAAATTCAGGATGGACTTGGATTCAAGAGTGCCATACCTAGGTGAGGATGAAAATGGTGAACTCATCGAACCAACTGCACAACAGATGAAAGAGCTCTACCAGGAAATCGGCCGACCACAACAAAAGGACGACATCGGGGAAGAGGATGGAAGAGGGATTCGTCAATGCATACTATGGGGCGGTGGTACTCAAACGACTTCTCGTGTATACCCTTGAATGCGGTTACACATATGAAGACTTGCAAAATATCTTCTACGATGAAGAGATGGAGAAACTGTCGAAACATGACTCAACAAGGGATGAGATGAGAAAGACCACAGCCGCCCGCGAAGCCCTTGACCGACAAGATGTCCTAGTCAGAAGAATCATTGCAGGTGCATACAGAGTGAACGCTGTTTATTTCTTCAGGAACGTCGACTTTCAAGACACGATCACACTGAACCCAGTTGACATTGTGTGTGCTCTTCGACCTCCTCTTCGAAGAATTTCAGTTTTGCATCTGATCCTTCAAAATGGCCGACAATTGCCGCGACCTCTACTCCAAAGACTGTATGATGCAATCAATGACTACAACCACATCAAGCAGCGGGATGATCAACGACCAAGATGGGGCATCCACATGACAGAAGCCCACCTACTTGCGATTGCTGATACCCCGATTCCTGCCGATCGTGAACGTACTAATCCAGCAGCTGGCAAATCAAAGGCAGCCCCGAAGGCAGCACCAGCACTGGGCAGAGTGTCAAAAGCGAAAGCATCATCGTCAGCAACATGGAGAACCGTCGAAGCCGCTCCTCCGCCAAAACAAGCTCCAGTGACACCGCCACAGAAAGGTGGAAAAGACCAAGGGAAAGGTGGAAGATCTTATTCGCACCGTGGTGGAGACTGGAACCAACACGGATACTATGGATGGGGATATAGATGATAAATCGATATGACCTCTGCATAGGTCCTGATTGAACCTGGCGATGCGAGGATGCAATCATTGCTCGAGATTTACCTCTACTTCATTTCGAATGATTTCTGAGAGGACTCTGAGCCGGCTAATTTAGAACCACATTTTTTTTTGAACATCATTGCACGAGACGCTGAGTTTCTGCAGCGGTCTACATCTCAACCGACGAAGGAACGGGAAGGTAAACTTCTAGTTCCATAGTCATCTTTGTGTTTTGATTTTTAATTCACATGCTTGAGTGGGACTCCATGCAGGCTACGCCACATCGGATGAACCTCAATGCTTGACACCGACTACGTCGTGTCGACATGCACATGAACAGAACCTTTATCTTTTGGTAGAGATCGTAGCAAGCCACCATGTAGAATTGAAGTTCTGAACGGACTTTAGCTCTCCATAATTCAACAAATGAACAGCTGCAGATTTAGTGGATCAATTCAAGGGACACTCCTTTCCGCGTGGCCGACAAAGTTGGCCATGCGTGGGGGGTGCGAATAGAGTGTAGGCTACGGAACACTGTACACTCACACATAATGCAGCCCTCAAGGATCCAACGCCAAGGGGTGCGTCAACTTGCCCCTTCTGGCTCAAGACCACTGCAGCACCGGAAGAAAGTATCGCTATGCTGAAGCCGCGACTCGTGTGCCGTCATCACTGAAGACAACTACTTCAAGACCAAACATCAGTACATAATCGGGGAGATAACCTCCGATTCACATTTTGAGAACAACGACAAGGTGGGGGGTGAAAGGATAACTAAGTTAATTTTTGGCTCCAAAAACTATGGCATATGAATCATATATCGAAGCTATCTCCATAAATCCCGATGTTTGTTGGTGATATCCCCATGATATCACCAGTTGTCCTCCTTAAATCATCATTTTCGCTAGTTAGATCACCATGTTTAGTCGTTAAATCAACATTTTTAGTCGTTAAATCACCATTTGCCCACCTTAAATCACAATTTTTGTCCAGTTAAATCACCATTTGTCAACCATCCGCTAGTTAAATCACCAGTTAAATCAGCTCCACCTTCCCCTTCACCCCATGGCACCCCATGGAAGGATGGCCTTGGCCCGGACACGGTGACCTGGACCGTCGTGCTGTCGCGCGGTGCATGGCAGGTGTCGCTGAAGGACGATGGTTTTGCCATGAAATCAGAGGATGGAGAACAGATTTTTCATGTGATTGATATGTGATTTGAGAACAGATTTAATGTGATTTATATATGTTTAAGTTTGGTTGTTCCTGATGTTTTTGTTTATATTTTTAAGATTGTACTTGTACATGTGGTTAATTATGACAATGTGATTATATGCGTTTTTGTTTCCCACTGTGACTGTCACGGACAATCAGGGGTTCTTTTGTGCCTAGACCAACGGAATGTGTACAGTATCCCTTTGGTAATTTAAGAGTTTGCTATGGGAAATGGCAATGTTTAATAGGTGAAATATCAAACTGAATGTGCAATGGTTTCCATTGTTATTTCAAATTGCCGGAGGCCAGAGGGTAGATTTACACAACTGTTGAAGGAGGATTTGCCATTCAGAACTATACAATGAAGGTGAATTTAACATGACTTAAGTCTCAAAAGGGGATTTGACCATTGAGATTTGCATCGTTTTACCGTTGAAAGATTTTGAAATAGGATTTATTTGACATTACAGTCTTTGATTATGGAAGGATATTTTACCATTAAAAGTGGGTTTGATTCTCGAATTTGGTCCTGAAAGTTGAAAGGGCGTTTGCCTTGACTATTCTGGTTGACCGTCAAAATTTCTCAAACAGGGAAATGTGGAGATAGAACTCCCACGAAGAGAAGGTCATGCCTATATATATAAATGTATACTGCATATAGTTATATATAGTCTAATGTGTATATATGTATAAGTTTTTACATGGTCTATACATGTATACGAGGGACTGGGCAGACCCATATTTTCATTCACCCATTGTTTCATCCACTTATTTTCCCTTGGTTTTTGGCCGGAGAATTCCAGAGGAGTTGCGGATGCAAGGGCTGAAAGTTGCTTCGCTGACCTGCAGTGCTCTCATCACAAGCTGCGATCAACGCTGGGCAGAGGCACTGGAGCCGCTGAGCTGAAGGGCGTTGGGGTGGAGGATCTTTGGTTTTTGTTCCCCGGAAATCATGGGGGTTCAACTCGGCTCAACTTTTTCCCCCAACAAGCAAGGCAACCATAAATGGCTTATTATATACCCACCCAGCAACCATTGATGACGGTTTATTGACCATCAATTGTTGGGAGTCACCTTTGGCTAGAATAAACTGAGCTGTAGCCCAGAACAGCTGGAATACTTATTGCCCAATCCGAGGAAACTAGTATAGTTCTGACTTATGACATCATTGAAGCAAATGTGGAAATGTGCAGTGACATTGGCCACATTTGCCTAAACCTTTCTGAGGGGTAGGTCAATGGCTAATGTTCGCCGTAAATCGGGAACATGTCATGTAGCTAAGACATGTCAAGACCATATTTCAAGTTTGAGCCATGAAGTGCAAACTTTGAGGAGAAGCTGGGTGCTTCCCAAACAGTGGCAGAACATTTGAAGCAACCAATGCTTACGTTGCGTTCATTCCTTCTCAAAATGTTGCAGCTTCCGCAAATGGTACATGTCAAGGATCCCTGGGCTTATCTACATCTGATTGGTGGTTTGGAACATGTGTTTTTTCCATTTCATATATGGGATGTCATCCTTCCCATCGACTAATATTTTTCAAGATGGTTAAAACCACCAACCAGATTACTATTCACCATCATTAACGATATAATAACCATATAATAACCATATATTAACCATATATTAACAGTATATTAACCACATATTAAACCAGTACATGTTTTTTGCAGCCGATACTGCAAGGGAACCGTGGCCGAGGTGGCAAAGGCTCCACGAGACTTTGGGCCTCCTGGCTGCTAGAGATGGACCATTGAGATGTTTGTCAGATATATATTATAATATATATATAGTATATATAATATATATAGTATAGAATAATATATATATATGCATAACCATAACTAACAACATGAGAATCCAACTGGATGGATACTTTAGTTCTGGATTTTTGTTGCAACTGGTGGTATATTTTGTCATTACTAGTCAGTGATTGTTTTCAGGTGTAGGGTATCCAAGATTGGGGATGATAAAGAAGAGGGGGATTAATCAACAGCATAAGAAATATCAGAATGAATGGGATTGCGGCGCTGCAGCTATCATATTTTGATATCACACTACACTAAAGTGGGGGATGAATTGGGGCCCCTTTTAAGGCTAGTAACTTAGTAGGGACCAATGATTGAAAGTGGACTTGTCCGGACTTCTTGCGGCCTTGCCCTCAACGTTCCACCAGGATTTTTCACCAACCTTGGTGGGTAATAAGGGTACCCTTTTGATAGCAGACATAGCAATGGCAAAATCAATGATTGCAAATTTGACTTTGCATACGGAATTCATTTGAAACAAGCGCGTCAACTGAACATTGCCGATTGCCCAGTGCCCAGTAGAACCCACAAAAAAGGATCTCTCACATTTTTATTGGTTGGTTTATCCCCCAATGAACCCAAATGTTAAACAAGTTATGCGCGTCAAAACTCTATAGCTATGGTAAACTGGGGCCTCACAATGCAACTTTTTCAAAACAACCGTTTCCAGGCATCCAAGTAAATAAAGAAACTCTTTTTCAACACATTATTTGATACACAGCATATCACAACATATCGTTTGTCGTTTGTCGTTTTTCCCCATGTTTGGATCTTGTGCGTCAGGATCTCTGACAAATGTTCCAAGGCCTTCAAGGGGATTTGCTGGTCCACAATGGAGTGCTGGTGGCCTGCGAGAAGACTCAACGCTGGGAGAGAGCTGTGTGGCTCGATTTTGGAGATGTTTCAGGAAAATTAGAATAGAATTCCGGTGTGTTTTTCCAAACATTTGCTATAGTTGGTTTGTTTTAACAAGATGAAACCATCAAAGTTGGAAGGTCAATCAGTTTGAAAGCCTAGCAATTGATCAATGGACGCAGAATTTCTCATGTGATTGGTTGTTTTGCTGTCTCTTGTTTAAGCGATTTGAAACCATGGAATATGAAAGGTGAATGCTATGAACCAGGGCCAGGTGTAGTGGCCAGCTCAGCGTGGAGACCTTGAGGCAGATTCTTCTCGCCGGAATTGGGGAGGCCACGGGAATGCAAGAGCCCTGGGGAGAAACTGGGTGATTTAACGGGCAAAGATAGGGAATGATGGGAATGGAAATGAACAAGCAACAGTATGGGGAACACCAACTGGATGGGCAGTGCAACTCATTTTTGCCATGTATTGGGAATCATTGGGATATAAATAGATATAATATATTTACCCAATCAGCCGCAAAGGTTGCGTTTTTGTTGCCTTGTTCAGGGACGAGCCTCGCTTTGTTGTTTCTTGCTGAACGTTTCGCGTTGGTCAACCAGCGGTTACCTACTGGTTTGGGTTTGGCGCTTTGTATTGGCCCACGAGCTGTGGAGAAGACTTCTTGATTGATCATACAATTTTGCGCGAAAGCTATTGCGGAGGGGACGACTTCAAAGTATTGAAGAGGAGTGCACTTGTTAGTTAAGTGATTGGTGCCATATATTCGGAATGTCATCATCCCGACTGACTTTCATATTTTTCAGAGGGGTGGCTCAACCACCAACCAGTTAAGTTTGTTGGTGCTCAAATCCCACATATTTAACCGTGACTCAGTACCCATAACTGGTTGTTTTCAGGCACGACCCTTTTATGGCCTGAATCTCCAGAAATCCGGATCAACGACGTCAGAATTGGCGGCTAAGGGGAAGTAGTACAGAAACAAAAAAAAACATGTGCCTTTGGTACAACCAGGGTAAGCTTTTGGCACATAATCTCATACAATCTCAATATAATCTCGATAGATTTCTCCAGAATTAAGCAGGAAAGTTGTCGTTTATCTTTGTTAAAATTGCAGGTTCTTTGCGGCTTACCCTCTGGTAATCAATCATGGTTTGCTCGAAAATCCCTGATTGAAGTTGTTTTTCCAGCTAGGCAGCTAGACGCCTAAACTTTTAGGGCATTTCCAAGTCAAACATGTTTGATTCTTCTATTTTCTAGTCACATTGAAATCTCAGGGAAATCCCCAGTTATTCCCCATGGGTTTTCCAAAAATGTCTCCATTAAGTCCCTATGAAATCCCACAATGTGAGGCCCCCAAGATAGCTAAGTTGGTTTATAACTCCAATAACTAGGGTTTATGGGGGTTATATCTATAGTTAATGAGGATTATAAACCAACAAACATCACTGGGGGGCACCACGTTGCTACAGTAAATCCATCATTTGTTGCTGGATGTTGCCGGGATCAGCCTTCAGGCGGACGCCATCGGTTGCACCACCTGTCTGACCGCCTGCGGTCGGGCGAGCGCCTGGCAAGCTGCATTGCGCCTGCTCGCGGAGATGCTTGGGCTGAGGGGCTCTCTGAAATGTTCCAGGTATATCCCTTAGGTGCTGGAATATTTGTATATTATATATATATAATGTATAGAAGAATCTGGATGAATTTGGGGATCACTCGAAGTAAAGTGGATCTTTTTTGAACATTTTTGGCCAAGGGTATCTAACACCCCCCCTGCGACTATACATGTGTATATATATATGTATTTATATATATATATCATAGTTTCTGAATTCAGCTGCCCATCTCACTGGAAAACATATAGATGTTTTATTGTTGTTTGACACATATCGACTACTTAGTAGGTTTCATGAGGATTGAAACCATCACTCAGATTAATATTGCAACAAGTTAGTGATTCAAGAGTTCACATGATGATAACATAGGGTAACCACCATTCATTATTTCAGGGGATTTCATTCGTCAACCGTTTCTTGTTGTTTCAATCCAGCACTGCAAAATGGGGGATGGGACCGCAACTTATGGGACAAATCATACGGAAAATGATGACAAGCAACGGAATTTCGGGGCGCCCCTATTTTAAAAGTGCAATCTATGTACCATATGTTGGAAGGGTTTTAGCAAGGACCAGTTGACTTTTCTATATAGCTCTTTTGGGTTATTATACTGAAAGGCCCCGCGCTGTACATGTTTTATTGTAAAGCCAAGCCACAAGCCATCCCCTACAACTCACCAGAAGTGCATGGAACCGCAAATCGTTCCCAACATGCAATACTTTAAGTCTTAAACAAAAAACATATCATGACATGTTTTCAAAAAATCATCACAACATATGATATTAGATGATATTATCATGTAGTGTTATAACAACTGAAATATCGAATTGAATTACTTGTTTATCGCATTATAATTTATACATCCATTAAAAATCACAATACAAATCCACATCGTCCCATTGTTCCCCAAAAAACACTGCTTAAGCCCAGGATGCGATGCATTCTTGTCCGAGCTCACTTGATTTCGCACAACGCCTGTCTGAGCGCCTGCGAGGAAACGGGGCAATGGCGGCAGGGTCTGCAACTCTTGGACACTGGGCGGCTGGGTTTTGGGACTGGCATAGTTTGTTGCAGGGCAGGTGAAACCGAATTTTTATTGTTATATTGAAATGCATTTGCATAATTTTCTATATATATATACACATATGTATAATCACACTAGTAATTTAATACATGCACATCTGGGGAAATGTATCATGTCCAGCTAAGGAAGTTCTTCATTACAGGCTATGTTTGGGAATCATCATGGAAATGCCCCAAGGACCAGCTGTGGGATGGCAAATCCAATATGCAAAAATCCATTGGTTTTCTCCATAGAAAAACCAAGGGTTTTGTCCAGAAAAGCCACTGACCATTTAAAGTAAACTGGTTGGTGGTTTGCAACATTTGGACTATATTTTTCCATTCAGTTGGGAATGTCATCATCCCGACTGACGAACTCATATTTTTCAGAGGGGTGGCTCAACCACCAACCAATATAAATATATATAATGTGTTTATTCCAGAATTTCCAGAAAACCCATTCACCATTTGGATCAAATCCATCGGCAGCCATCCCAAGCCCATCCCGCCCAGGATGAGATGTGTTGTACCTCGCTTGGGCCCGACTCGACTCTCAGTTGATCTGATTCTTCTGGATTTTGAGGTAGGTTTCCCATGGTTTCCCAATTAATTGTTTTAAGGTGATAGTTGGCACCATGCATTGAAATGGTGAGTGAATAATTGGGTAAATAGTGGCTGGGCCAGAGATATTGGGATCTATTGGGTCCATATTGGCCACATTCAAAGGCCCCGAAATATATGGGAAAGGCCATACGCGGGGGTCCCCAGTCGCATTCCCAGGCTGAGTTGCAATACTGCCATCAGCGCATGTGAGAAAGCGAAACGCTGGCACCATGCCCTTGGCCTGTTTCACCGGTCGCGGCAGCCAAACACCTTGACCTTTAACACCACCAGTAGCGCTTGCAGCAAGGGCAGGCAATGGCGCTGGTCTGCGTTACTTGAAGTTTAGTTTGCTGGGGCGCCCATAGACAACTAACCAACAAATCAATAACACATATCAACACCTGCTACTGTATATACCTGTTTCTCACCTATTAACGGGTTTAATTTGTGCATGTTTTGTGGTTTTACCGTTGCTACATGTTAGCAAATGTGCTTGAGCCGGGCCATCCGACTGCTGTGCAACTCAGCTCAGGTGTCTCATTTCAAAGCTACCCCAGGACTGAAGTGGGATGGTCACAGGGGCCTTGAAGTTGCAACTGGGATGGTTGAAGTCTTTAGTCAAGGCTGTTGGTCCTCTTGGTTCAATGGATTCTTCATATTCGGTATGAGTCAAAATTTGGAAGCCCCCAATCCCATGGGTTGTCATCACTTTCCCTGTGAGATGTCCATTGAAACCGGGGGGACTCGCCCTGTGCCCATTGACCAGAGACCACCCCAAAAAAGTGGGTAGTTGGGCCTCCTTTTGACCCACCAAAGTCGTATGCAGATGGGCATTGAAGCTTTCTAAACCCAGGATCCACGGTAGATGGCTTCAGCAGGAAAGCTTGCAGCCCAGCCAGATTTCATTCAATGTCCTCGCATCCGGCCGGGCGACACAGCCAGAGGGGTCAAACTCCAATGGGAGGAACATGTGACTGTGGGTTGCAAGATGTTGCAAGCATGCTCCTGAAATGTGCATTTTTTCCGAAGATTTGATGTAAGTAATATAGTATGGCCTTATGTAGATGACCGGTCAACGACTCTTGAATGATTTTGCCGTTCTTTGTGGGGATAGTCATGACGCAAAATAGCTTCGCCAAATGGAAGGCAAACACATCACATGGCAGTTCTTAGTCAAAAAAAATACATGTTTTTCAAAATAAACCCATCCAAATATTCCAAACATAGCAGTGTCCTGGTTGAAGAACTCCCTTCAGATATCACTTGCTTGGACCCAAGGATTGTCGCACTGGCAGCGGATCGTGCAACTCCTGGAGTCCGGGAATCCAGAAATCACCCTTTGCGAAGAAGCCGCGAAGCGTGTCAGCATTGACGGCGGCGGACGGTTTGGTTTTGAGGTGTTCAATGGTTGCGTACTTGGTGGTTCACCCCCCAAAATCGTAAGTGGATTGTAGTTCACATCAGTGATAAGGGTAGAATTAGTCCAGTTATAATTTCCCTTCACTGGGGTGAGCCACCAAGTGATTAACCTACAGGTCACATGTTTCAGCACACATGGGGAAACCAACATGTTTTTAGATCTGCAAATAACTGCGTTTTGGGCTTTTGAAAGGCGTTGTTCTTCCTTGGATGTCCTATTTATATTATTTATCTGGGACAGCGACCAAAATGGACTTCTGCGGCACTGTGTTTTTTGCACTATGGAGAGTGACGGTCAAAAGAGTGCTCCTGTCAATTAAATGGCTTGTGTGGTGCTTGCTCAACTCTTTTTTTGAGTTTTGGGGGATAAAGTAACTTGTTATACCCTCTGGTAAACTAACATACCAGTAACTATGGAAAATCACAATTTTCAATGGGTAAATCCATTATAAATGGCAATTTTCAATAGCTATGTTAGATTACCAGAAGGTATATTTCTAGGATGCCATGTATTGCCCCCAAAATGAATGAAGCCTGCCCAATTGATTTGAGGCAGTTGAACCCACCGAAACTTTGCAAATCGGACCACCCCAATGAAACATCGGGTGTGTCCACAAAATGGGGGATACTGATACCACTATTGAATTTGGTTTAAGGGAAAATCTACAGGAAACCATTGATTTTCCCATTAAATATGGGGCTTTCCGGCTTTCCTGTAAATTTCCCCTAATCCAATCCATTGAATTTCTGTATGAGTGATCAAAATCAACAATCAAATTTTCGTGGCCTTCCCAAACATCCTGGACAACACTTATACAAGGTGGTGCCGCTTGGTTACAAGTTGGTTTACATCCCTAGTTAGTCCTGTATAATTACATAAGCTATATTAACAATACATTATTATATAGAAATATAGTCATATACATACACACAGTAATATATATATATATATTATATGTATATATATGGGTATATATATATATATACTGTATACTATATATATATATATATTTATAGTCATTCACCCTGAATCCTAAGTAACGGACGGTACCCCACGGACCAACAAACCAGCTCCGAGGATCCGTTGTGCAGCGGCGTGGGAGGCGCTGCCGCTCCTCCGCATCTTGGCGACGCTGCAAGCCCCGCGGGACGGCCTTAAAAGGGGGGACCGTTGTGGGGCGCCGTGGGGACTGGGGAAAAAATGTAAAAAAAGTTGATTCACTGAAGTTTTCTAAACTAATATCATAGCAGTATAACAAATCTTTTTTTTCATTAAAAAACATAACAGTCCAAAAAAACAGTTTATATATTGTTAATTGCTTCATTTTTCTCAACAATATCAAAACATAATTACCTCATTCATTTTTTAAAAATCATAACAGTCAAAGCATACCTACCTCATTCAATTTTTCAAAATCATAGCAGTCAAAGCATAGTTGGGATGCTGATACACCACCGACTCGTCTTGATTCGAGATGTTTTTTCCAACTACCCTCTGATTATTTAATATAGCCATGGAAAATCACCCATTTTTTATAGGTAAACCCAGGTAAACCATCTATAAATGGGCCATCTATACCATGGCTATGTTAGTCATAACCAGATGGTATTTTGAGACACACAACGATTTGATCTCAAGGTTCTCACCCAGAAAGCGATAGGATTTCGCAAAAAGGTCCCGGATTGATCCGGGTGTCCCGCCGCGCTGCGAAACCATGGCTCGCATGCAGATTGAAGACTGCTGCAAGGATACTTGGCAAAGGGTGGGTAGTTTTTGGCAGTTGTCGGAACGAGGTAGACCCAAATAAGCCATGAGATAGGATAGATGGATAATTATACAGTAAAACAATCTTCAATTGCGGTTCATTCTTGTTATTTCTTGAATATATATACCCCTATTTGAAATGATGCAAAATGCCTCAAATGGTTGTGGTTGGCTACAGAAGGCGACAATACAGGCTATGCAGGCAGCCAGCACATAATTTTTGCTCATAGTCAGTCTAAGGACCATCCAAGACGCTTGGCGGTTTTCTTTCATCTGGTGGAAACTGTCTCAAGCCGATCGGAGATGTTTTAATCATGCTTGCCTTGCTGATTCTCTAGGATCTAGTCACTCACTGGAAAGCACATCTAACTTGGAGTCGTGGTGATAAAGAATGGCATTCAGAAACTAGGGGCTGTAGGCTGTAGTGGCATTATTTTAATTATCCTTTGGTAGTCAAACTCGTCACTGGAACATCCCCTAGATGATGTTGCTCAGTTCTTAGCATTCAAAAGCGTTGCCAGGTTGGATCACGGAATGGTGAATCACTTTGGATAGCTGCGTGCCCATTTTTCTGGGTCCAAGTTTGCTTTTAAACTTTTGGTGGGTAAAATGTTGTTTGGGTTGGCTAGATTGTCAGCTGGAACCCTCCATTGCTAGTAGGAAAACAATCTTCCGGACCCTTGATATGGTGATGGAGAGACAGAACCCCTTTGTATCCTGATGCTTGTTGGTCAAAGCCGTCAAATCACCATTCTGGGTGAGTGAAATCAATATCCCAGAATTGCTTGACGGAAGAATTGCAGGAAATGGTTTCCTATGGGTCAAACAATCCAAATGAATCTACACGGTAGTATTTCGTGAAGTTGATCCCAATGTTTGTTGGTCAAATATGTTTTTCTCCAGTTTAGTCACCATGTCCCGTAGTTAAATTCCAATTTTCCCTTAGTTCACTCCCAATTTTCCCTACGTAAATCCAAATTCTACCTTGGTAAGTCACCATGTTCACTGTTCACTAGTAAAATCACAATTTTCCCTCGGTAAACCATTTTTTCCCCAGTTCAATCAGCCATTTTCCCTAGGTAAATCACCATTTTCCGTAGCTTAATCGCAACAAAACCACTCAGTAAATCGCATTTTTTCTATGCCGAGAATCACCATGTTCCCACAATGTTAAATCCACATGTGACACACCCCTGCGGGCTCTCCGTTGGAGATCGTTCCCCAGGAGGTGGCCGTGTGCGCCAAGCTGCTCCACTGGCAGCAGGGGCTGCAGCTGCTGCAGGACGCAGAAGACGCGGCGCTGGAGATGGACGTCATCGCGTGTAGCAGCTGCGAGACTGTTGCGACGTGGAGATGGGGAAACACCACCAAAGATGGGTGGATGAATGGGAAGATAACCATTAAAACTATGGATTATATAGTTACAGAATTTGTAGGGATTCAAACAACTTATAGCCTATAGCTATCTAGGAGGGCACAACCTTGTATTTTTTTTGGGAATCCCAGTCCGAACCAAATCCCAGGTGGAATCCACCTTTGCGAGCGTGCCAAGCTTTGGCCCTCAGCCCTGCAGTGGCTGCGAGGTGTCAGGCGCTGCCAGCTGCGAGCGCCGCACGGTTGAAAGCTTACTGCCAGAAGGATGAAATTTGTTGAATCCCACCTACAGTTAAAGCCATTTACCAATCATTTATATTGTGATAAATGGGGTTATCATTCCATAAATGGGGTTATCATTCTTTAAATGGGGTGACTTACTTATAACTGCTATCCTTCTGAGGGGGGTATACCATATTTTTGTGTGAAGAAAATCCACCTACAACCTATAATAATGTTGGTAAACCCTATTGTGCTATTATTTAGGGGTTACCGTAATTTTGCTGGGAAGATGTGTTCCCACAATTGGTTTCACATGAAACTCACAACCGGGAAAGCATCAACCAGGCTATGTACCCCATGGCTTGACAAGAAACAAACCGAGAAGACCTTTGTCGATAAATAATGATCAAAAACATGCTTCCCTGAAACAGTGCCTTGAATTATATAATCCAGTGGATTGTCAGGGATGCTGGAAGGTTCCTAAAGAATCCTTGAGATTGCACTTGATCCGAGTTTTGACATCATTTTGTAGGCAACAGGTCAGATCTCATGAGTGTACTTTGTCGTACGAACACAAATCGAAGCAGTGTACTTGCTTGTTCACCCCAGTTAGTTTGCTGGTTTTACCCCTGAGTGTTATAAAGGAGTAGGAATTGTCCAGTATACACTGTCGTTATATCTACACAAAATTAAAATACACAAAATGGGACACCCTCAGAGGAAAGTTCCATGGTTGAAATCTGCGGGTTGCTGGGTTATTTATGGTTATTTTGTCCAAATTCTCACTCTCCTTGGTTGAAGCAAATTGGGGTTTGTTTGGGAAATGGGGTTTTAAACTGGTTTAAGACCTCATGTTCCACATTTTTCATGCCCTACTGTGAAATCGGGGTACCCAATGCATTTTCAGTCGCGCCCAAATACCACAAGGTTGGTTGAATATCCCGGGTAAATCCGTAGTACATTTGGCTCAACACCTTGTTTTTTTGCTGCTGTTGTTTTTAAGAAGAAGATTTTTCTGGAGCAGATATAATGACTTTTTTTCATGCTTTTCTATGTTCTATATTCATCTATATTCTATATATCCCCATGTGTTTCATTGTGTTTCTTTTGGTTTCATAGCCATAAGCCATCCATATTCAGAGCCTCATTTCAGTCCATGGCGCTTGTGGGTTCAGGAACATCATTTGCTACAACTCGGCCATTCGAGCTCACCAGACGGGCCAGGCGTGAGTCCCATGGTGTTGTCCCGAAATTGTGTACAGTAAATTCCCTATAAAAAAGTAACCATGGTTTCTGTAAGGGGCTGTTAAGGGGTCATTTTTTGTGGGGCTATAGATTTCCTTGCTCTCGATGGCACTTGGTATGTTTGGCGTTCCACGCAGCTTTTCGCAAAGCTAGGGCTCAATGATGTTGCTTCATCACCTATAGGCAGTATGTGGCGGTATGGTGCGGCATTGGCTCAACAATTTTAGACATGGAATAGTTTTTATCCTATTTTGGGGTCCTGAAGCGACTACTGTACCACAGAATTTCGAGTTTGATTTGCTTTTCTCTGAAGGTATGAATGTATGAGCCAAAAATCTATTACCCTCCCGTTCACCCTAACATATTTGGAAGTGGATGTTCATCCCCAAACATATGGAACATCATAGGTATTGAGCCATCCCCCGTGTTCTCAGGGACCCAAGTGGTGGCACTTAAGTGATCCAGTGGGGCCATGCAAAGCCATTTTTGTCGATGGTCATGAGGCAACTATGAATATTAAGAAGTATTAAGAATACACTTGTTGAAAGCTGATTGGCAAGGTGGCCGAGGTGGCCGAGGTGGCCGAGGTGGCCTGTAGATTGGGCAGTTTTGATTTTCGACAACGAGGGCTTCGGGCGTGCGTCAACGTTACCGGGTTGGAGGGGATGATCGCCAAATTCTCGTATTGGGGACCAAAAAAAAGTGGAGCTTTGAATCACAATTTGGGGCAGTTTTTGACCCGGGGAAAAATCCCCTGAACTGAAGACTGGCCGCCAGCTGCGGCAGATGATCAGTGCAGAGTTGCCTTCCAAGTCTGGGTCACGCATCACCATGCAGCATGGATCGTCGCCACTGAGCTTGAAGCAGACCCTCAGGCAGCAAGGGATCGTTGGCGAAGGTGTCACTTTGTCCTATGTCTATGTCCGTGTGGATATTTGGCAGGAGCTCAGGTGGATGATGACGAGTTCTCGCTGCACGGGCTCACACGAATTGGAGGAATTGAGTGGGCAAGGCAGCTTGAAGGCCTGCCGAGCAGCCTTCAACAACTGGAATTGGGCGATAGGTTCAATGACTGGCTTCAACAAACCAGCTTTCCAAGCAGCATCAAGACAATGACTCTTGGCTACGATTTCAACAGAAGCTTGGATGGCGTAACTCTTCCTGCAGATTTGCAAGCCTTGACCTTTGGCTACAGGTTCAACAGAAGCTTGGACGGTGTCACTTTTCCAGCAAGTCTGCAAACCTTGATTTTTGGCATTGGCTTCAACCAAAGCTTGGATGGTGTAACTTTTCCTGCAGGTTTGCAAACATTGACCTTTGGCTGCAGGCTTGGACGGTGTCACTTTTCCAGCAAGTCTGCAAACCTTGATTTTTGGATGGCGTAAGTCTTCCAGCAGGTTTGCAAACTTTGGCCTTGGCTGCAGGTTCAACCAAAGCTTGGACGGTGTCACCTTTCAAGCAAGTCTGCAAACCTTGACTTTTGGCAGGGACTTCAACCACAGCTTGGATGGCGCAAGTCTTCCAGCAGGTCTGCAAACCTTGACCTTGAGATGCTTTGACCGGCGCTTCAACCAAAGCTTGCATGGCTTGTTGTTTTTGCCAGCAGGTTTGCAGGAACTTTCTTGAGATGGCTGGTTGTCTTTAAACAGCTCCATTTGATACAGAGAGGAAACTGTGCTTGGATTGGTGCCCGAAGTGCTGATATCCATCGTTGGTGCCAAGTCCCTTTGTTTGGATCCATGTCGGGGGGAACTCTGGTGTCTTTCCGTGGTTTTCACCACTTTTTTATGCTGAAAGCTTCGTTTTTCATGGAAATTCATAGAACATTAGCAAAATTCCAAGATATTGACAAGAGATTGACAAAAAATGACAAAAAATGACAAACTATTGACTATTGCTTGCTGATTTCCAGTCATTGAAGGCAAACTATTGATTATTATTACCACATATTACCACTATTGAAGGTAAAAAAACAGATCTCGATGCCATTGGAGCTTTGGCAGCCCAAAAAAAAGGCTGCCACTCAACGTATCGTCAAAAAATACATGTCGCAACGACAAGATGTCGCAATGCCACAACATGGTCTATAGATGTTTATAGATGTTTATTCATGCTTATTCAAAATGTCAGAATAACGGTAATAACGTGCGATTCTAGATGTTTGATGATGTTTGCAACGTTCAAATAACAAATTGTACAGTATCCTTTGAGATTGGGGTGTCCATTTGCCTATTTTTTTCAGGAAGTTGGGGAAGTTAGTGAAGTATCTTGTCATATGCAGCAAGCACTTTCACTACCACAGAGCTGTGAGTAATGCTGGAGGCCCATCCCTGGACAGAAGCGCTGCAACTCCAAGATCTCTTGCGAAGCAGGTGCCAGACGGCAAGCTACACCCTCCCAATACTGTGAAACCCACATACCCACCTGATTTTTACAACAATTTTCAGTTACAAATAGTTACAACCTATAAGAAGTAGTCCCAATGGCTCAAGGTCAAATAAGCTACATGAACTAGATTTAGTTTATCCACGTTTATCCAAAACCAGGAAGTGTCCACCCTCGTTACCCTTTCAATAATCCAATGATTTTCACTCTCATATCATTTATATACACATACTTAGAGCTGTGGCACATATGAATGAAATCTTTTTTTTGGCAACATGATATCATATGATAAGGACATTTCTTGAATCTTGGCCTGCGAGGATAGCAGGCCAGTTTTGGGGTTGCCCCCCTGCCAGGGCCCTGCTGCCAGACATCATCACCCATAGCGCCGCTGCGGTGGCAGTGAAGACCCAGCGCCAATGGAATTGGGGTTTCCACATCCTGTCCAGGCTGCATATTAGTTGGGATGGTAAGTAGGTGGGCTTTGGGCTTTGACCAGCAAAAAATGAGGAGTTTAAAATGGTTTAATATGGTTTAAGCATCCTGAGATGGGGAGATATATCCCATATAAGATTGAATACCCCTGATAACCGGGCCGCTAGTTCATGAACAAATCCACTGCTAAACCAGGCTTCGAGAGAAGTATGCATATTATATTTCGGGTACCTGGCCAGATTGTAGTCAGACAATTTTGTTCTCGCCTTTTGGGATTAGATTGGTAAAGAGTAAAGACCATATGTTTCATCCCACAAAAAAATAGACTTTTCCGTCGGGACAAATAAAAAGCAAGGCCAACATAGTTTAGCAACCCAACATTTAAGCCTCTAGCATGTTTTTAACCCCGGAGGTCCTGAGCAGCTTCACTGCCAGTTCGTTTGCACAAAAGATTGTTTTTTGAATTGGAAAATTGATGGTCCACCAAATCGGATTTTGGCCGGTTGTGCATATTTTTCAAAACAACTCAATTCAGCACAAAATTGTGTTTTGTCACGGTACCGCAACATTGCAGCCCACGTGGTGTAGGTTATCTTTGGCCCTTCTGCAAGCCGACATCATCATGCAGAACACGGTGATTAGCGGCCTCGACCAATGGTGGTTGGCCACATCCCTGCTGGAGTCCCGCGGTCGTCGTTGGATCCATGAAACTGGGAAAACCCGTAAATCTTCAGGAAATACTTGCAAGGGAATCAAGGGAATGAACACTAAAGTTAGAGACATTGATTGAGTTGAAAGGTTTTCTGATGTTTCCTGTATATCCTAAGTTTGGGGTTGAGCATGGACTGTTGTGGCAGGTTCTCCGTTATGTTGCAGGTATGATGGTGAAATTAGAATCATCAACTCCTTGGGTATGTTGTTGTTTCTCATACAAGTGAATGCCACGAAACACAACCACATAGCTACTGAGAGGCACATCCAAGTACGGTCCCTGAAAACATATAATATGGAACTCCCTAAAAATAGCCATTAAGAACAAGAAAACCGTCTCCCAAAAGCAATTTTTAGGGTTCCAGTTGGATCTTCACACGACCCCAAGGAGGTTGCTGTACAACTGCACCCTGATCACATACAACAGCGTGCTGAACGCTTGCGACTGGGACCTCTTATAGATGGCCATCTATTGGGGTTCCCCAATAAGGCACTCAAGCATAACAATCGGAAATCCATAAACTATCATAAACTAAATGATTAAATGGGGATTTTTGGAAGAACTTCATTCATTATTTGGTTGATTTATGTTGATTTTCCAGCTAGCCTTTTTTGATTGCCAGTACACGTGAGCTCCGCAATCCAGAGTCTCAAATACAGAGACTAGCTCCCATGTTTGGCTCCTCTAAGCCCATAAATGTATTTGGTCACCGGAAATTCAGATGCGTTCAAATGTGCTATCTGGCGTATGTTGAAAGTCACTTGGAGCAGAGGTGGTAACTGCCTGGTCGTCAAATGACGATGGGAGGATGGGACGTTGAGACCGCCATGTGGGGATATCATGGAAATAGAGCTGATGTGGGTAAAACAATGCCACAAACCACCCATGACTGGAAATGGCTTGTACCACCTATAAAGGTGGTGATTTGGGGGATAGTTGGTTATTGTAAATTATTGTTTTACCCACATTCCTGACATAATTGTTGTGTTTGTCTATCCTTACCTTCACTGGCCACCTCCCTGAGATGGCGATGGAGACCGGCGCCCTGTGGTAGGGACAGTATGCCATTGGTATATAAGTGAGGAATTAATAGGAATTATTTAAACGTATTCCCTAACTGCTTTGGGAATAATACTAAGATATACTAAGTTAATTGGTTATAGCTAATTTTAAAATTAATTATAAGTGGTATATAAGTTAATTAGTTAATTGTTTGGGAATTATACTGCTTTGTTGGGAATCATGGCAGCCAATATTTACCAACCAGTTTGGCGGGATGATGGGACATATGTCGCAGAATACCACATGTTCGTTTGACTGCCATAGGCTACAGTCATACAACAAAGAATTGAACTCACTACTGTTCTTCAAAGCTAATGTTGGACGGATCAACCGTTTGTTTCTTTGGCTGTGGTATTTTTCATTCTTTGATGTTTTGTCCGCGTTTATTCTGTGGGGTTCGGCAGGTTGAAACTAATAGCCGGATGGGCATGTGGTTTGCAGAAGTGATGGACCATACTACATCCAGCTGAGATGATGCTAAGCATTCTAAGCTCTGGGTAGGTACAAGCCGAAGGGAACAGCAATTCTTCCGCTGAGGTGAGAAGTCGGGCCAATGGAACAGTGCTCTTAGGATCTTCACTCAGGCAGATCTGGGTGAAATAATTCCTCTGCGTGGAGCAGATATATTCATATTATATATATATACATACGCACACACATATATATATATACATATATATATACATATATATATACATATATATATATATATATACATACATACATACATAGTTGATGGGGCTTATATCATTCTATATGCCCAGTTTCAACAACCGACTCACAATTTGTTGCCCCACTAGCACCACGCTTGCCTTGCGCCGCAGGCGCTGCAGCACTTTAAAGTGGATGCCTTCTCTTACAGTGCAGCCATCAGCGCCTGCGACTCGGCCCTTTTATACTTGGGAGGCCGGTTTCATTTTTTGAGGAAGATGGATGAAGAAGAAAAGACAGCTACTAGCGGGGACCGGCAGTTTGAATATGAAAGTTGGGGATTTATCGAAGTGAATTTTCGCCGGCAACAAGATCGCCGCGGAAGAAATTTGCAGATAGAATATGCCAAATGTGGGGTGCAGATAGAATATGACAGTACATAGTATGTATGGCGAATTATATGATTGTATATTCTGTGAGTTTTCGAAGGAATTAGCATAATAATTAGCTGTTGAAACAGATGCGTATCTGGTGGCTTTGCCATGGAAACAATGCTATGATGGATAGCCCCACTGCACAATGATTAATGTTTATCTTTATCTTCAAAAACATGCAGTAAGGGACCAGCAGTAACGGACGGCAGTACTGTAAACAGCATATCACTGTTGACATATTCTAACTGCAAGTGCAGTTAGAACACGCCGCGGCGTACAAAATTAGCATATTCTATCTGCGTTCACTTATTTTTTCATATTCTAACTGTGGGTCCCTTACTCTAGAGAGAGAGAGAGAGATATAGCCAGTTCTGGACAGACAGACAGACAGACAGACAGATAGATAGATAGATGGATAGATAAATTGAGACGAAGGAGGGGATAGAGATAGATGCAGAGAGAGGGAGATGGATGGATGGATGGATGGATGGATAGATGGATGGATGGATGGATGGATGGATGGATCGATAGATAGAAAAAAAGATAGAGAGAGAGAGAGGGAGATAGAGAGAGAGAGAGAGTGAGAGAGGTAGACAGAGACAGAGAGAGAGAGAGAGAGACAGAGAGAAACAGAGAGAAACAGAGAGAAACAGAGAGAAACAGAGAGAAACAGAGAGAAACAGAGAGAAACAGAGAGAAACAGAGAGAAACAGAGAGAAACAGAGAGAAACAGAGAGAACCAGAGAAACAGAGAGAAACAGAGAAAAACGGAGAGAAACAGAGAGAAACAGAGAGAAGGAGACAGAGGGAAGGAGACAGAGGGAAGGAGACAGAGGGAAGGAGACAGAAGGAAGGCGGCAGAGAGAGAGAGAGAGACAGAGAGAGAGAGATAGGTAGAGAGAATCTGAGACTCAGATACTCAACAACCTTGCGGTCCATCAGTGGGTTCGCTCTGCCATCCAAGCATCAGAACAAAAAACCTCTCCTATAGGTGTCCTATCTTTGAAACTTCCGCCACGGCCATGCGCGGTACTACTGGAAATATATGCATACAAGTAGTAGACAGCAGAATCGAGAAGGTAATGTAGGTTGAAACATGGGGTTTTGTGCTGGTGACACATCATGGATCGACTACTGAGGGTACCCCCCTCAAAGGTCCAACCCAGCAAGATCCAGAGGTGATCTGACTATTTGTTCAAGTTTTGTGGAAAAAAAACCATAAACCGCAGCTTGGAATCCTGTAGCACGCATCTAAAAGCAGCAGTGGAACACAAAGGAACGATCCACCAACCTTTCCTAAGATGGGTATCAGCAGAAGGTGGTCCCTTCGACCAACACGGAGAGGGCGGTTGCGACCCCGTCCAAGGTGAGAAAGGCTTGGCATGGACACGAGCCCTGCATTTGGAACAAAGCATGGCACCGGCGACTCGGAACCAAACTTTGGGCCTTGCTGAGTCGGTAATGGTTAGAGTCGCACTCCATGTTTGTGCTGCGTTCTCATGTCCACCAATTTTTGCTCCATGGGTAGTTCCTATTTACCAACATGTAAATGTATGTAAATGTACCCCAATAATGGTCGAAATGTTGGTGAATATTCCATATATATGGAGCCTCTGGGCTATATTTGGACACTAGAAAAAAATCTAGCTGAGTCCGATGAGTGTTGATCAGTTGCATCCCCATGATTTCCAGTGAACACCATGGTCCATGCCGCTCCAATTGCATGGTTCAACTATGCCATTTTGTTGGCAGTGTTTTTTTTAAATATAAGCACCCCCCAAAGCTCCCAAATTTGAGATTTGGAAATGGTTTTTGATGAGCCTAGAAACCACATGAAATAAAGACCCCAAGAGAATCCCGAAAAGTTGGCGAGTGACAATTTCGTATGTTGATGATGTTCAAAACATATTGTTTCTTGAAACCATTATGCATGCTCAAACCATCGCCCAGGTGCCTCAGAATTTGCTGTGTTACAACGGCACCTTGAGCGCATGTGCCTGGGTTTTGCCATGAATGGATGATGGATGAGGTGGAGATAGTTTCAGATTCCACAACATTCACTAAGGACCAGTAATTTCATAGGTATATATATATGTATATATGATAAAAATTGAAACCTTTCCTGGGTCTCTCAGATTGCAATGGTCAGAGCCTTCTAAATGGAAATCCTTTGTCAAAGAAGCCATGGTGGATTCAGTCCAGCCTCGGTGGAATTGGATTTCCTGAAGTGGGTTTTTATGGTCCTTGCACGTTGAATGACACTTCCTGTTTGACAGCTTGATTGCTAGTGACTGTTGTATATTATATTATTGTATATTATATTATTGTATATATGTATATATGTATATAGTATAGGTGTGTATATTATATATATATATGTATATCAATGCGCATATGCACAATGATGTGTGCAGCTGATTGCATGTTGACTTTTCTCCCTTTGCATCTTGATCTACATGTCTAATTAGAATCGTATGCTCCTGGAAATCACATAAATTGGGTTCATTTGCAAGCAGTGACGACCATGGAGTCTGAAGTTCCATTGGTTTGCAGGTGACTTAGAAACACCAGTGACTATAGTTGGTTGGTTTTACCGAACTAAAAACTAACCACACATAACCATCATAGCTGGCAAACCCTGAATATCAACTCAGGATTAATAAACCCCTAGTTTACTTGTTTTGCGGGCTACCATTTAAAAGGGAAACATCAAGTACTATTTCGGAAAATTTGGAAACCTCGCAAATGAATAAATTGGGGGGGTTATTAATCCGGGGTGAACATTATGATCAACAATGTTCAAATGCCAGATGGTTGATGATGATGGGATGATACATAATATCCTGGGGATTATGGTAGCCCATTGGCTGGGAAAGCTCCGTTCGCCAACCATTCACCGACCATGAAGCAACCAATAACCAGCCATTTACCAACATTTACCAACATTTACCAAACCAGTTGTTTTGTTTTTTTATCATCATTTGGAACATTCTCACCAAGTCTGGCTCAGGTGAGAAGTCCTCTCACTGGGAATTCGCTTTGCATAGCTTTCTTCAGCACATCAACCGACCCCTGAAGGCGCCATCTGAATGGATGCGGGTTCACTGATAGCAGACGCCCCAAAAGATAGAAACGTGAAATCAGAACCCTACTAAAATGATTTAAAATAGCGATAACGTAGGTTTCTACCCTTTGGGTTGCCATCAGTGGGTATTTTTTCCATGCTGGGATTGGTTCTAAACGCCACCACTGTTCCACTGAGTTGCACATCAATATATCCACGTGTTGTTTCACAAAGATGGGACAGATTTGCTTGAATGGATGTCAGCTGGAATATGAATGTATACATCATGATACATCCATACTGGACGTATAATATGAATGTATATGCATGTTTTTTTATTCATAGAATTGGATGATGGGAAAATTTACAGGAAAACATTATATTTGATGGTAAAAACCATGGTTTCCTGTAGATTTTCCCTTAAACCAATCCATTGTTTTTTTTAATGATACATATCAAACAAACAAGGGATCCATGTGACTTTCCCGTGGCCTCAGGTGGACGGCTTCACCCTGAACGCCCTGCTGGGCGCGCTGGCGCGAGGCTCCCAGTGGCGTTGGGCGCTGTGGATATTGCAAGGGCAGTTGCGGTGGGCGAACATCATCAGTGGCTTGGAGCGAGGATATGGTGGTGGTATGATGGTTATACACCCGAAATTTACGATGCAACCCCCCAAAAATCGCGATATTCAATGGAGAATCCGTTTCCAAGCTTAATTTTTGTTGGTCCTATATTGAATTTAGGGGGTGTAGAGGATATGGGGGGAATGAGGTTCCAAAGTTATTGGGAAATATAGGGACCCGCTATGCCCACTTAACAAATACAGCGGTCGTAGGGATTCAACCACCCCCGCAGAGAGATAGGTCGTCCGGGCCCATTGCTGTAAGCTTTCACCAAACTTGGCGTTGCCTTACACCGGTGTTGAGGTTACAACACTGCCATGCTGGCGTGTGTTGAAAGTGAGCACCTCAGACTGCAAATTGTGAAGGGCAAACATTCTGATCCTGGGTCCTGGATCCTTTGGGATACAGGCATGCAAGGAATCATGTTCCATATGCCGATGCCATATTTCAAAACATACAGGTTGGCATTTAAGGTGAGATAGGGAGAAGTAAACGGTTCATAGTTTTAAAGTAATAAACTTCCGCGCGCAGTAGATTTTGCAGACAAAGAGCCCTTGCTGATGAGCGCCCTAGGCAGCGGAAAATCCTCTTCAAAGCACTTCATTCAAAACGAATTGTAAGTTTTCATCGAACACATATATCTTTAAAAACATGTGATGTCCCGAATCTCTCAGATAGTGGCACCAAGGTCTTTACTCCCTGCCATCAGCTCCCGGCAGGGAACGTTTGGGTACTCCAACAACTGACTCCCCAAAATGGACCGTTTCATACTGGAGCAACCCCCAAAAAAGATAAATCGCGCTGAACTGTTGTAGAATACGTGTTTATTTTTGTTTAGGGGTTGCCATTTTTATTGCCCGGTCTAACTTGGGTCCATTCATGCCCAAGTTTGGGGGTCCCAGATCTTCAGGCAGTGGAATCAGTTGCTGCAGCTCTTGGATGAGCTTCCGATAGCTGCGGACCTCATCACGATGAACACCATGGCCAGCGGCTCATACAGCCATTGGATACGGCAGCTGCAGGTGCTGTCCAGTCACTGGGCCTTGACAAGTTGAGGTCTTGTTGGGGAAAGAAGAGATCATTTTCTCAACAGAATTTGTGATTTGCACATTATTGTTATGTACCTTTTTTCTCACTGATACAAGTATTTCTCTAGTGGTTCTTTCTCCGCTTTATGAGGGAATTGGCTTGTTCTCCTTGGCCTGAAAATGAATCTGCTCAGTATTTTCGCAGTCATCACCCACAACGGTGTGCGAAAGGTGTCATGCACTGAGAGGTTTGTGATCAAGATTTCACTCGTTGGGATCAATGCCTTCCAAGAAGCTGACTCCCAAGACCCGACCTGCCAGCCAAAGGTTACAAGTTTTCGTCCTTGCTGCTTGGCTAAAGGACGCAACCTATGGGATGGGTCACCGGTAGGATGATCAATGGGTTGAGGGATCGAATTTTGACCCGTGAAAATTCAAGAGAAGGCCCAGTGACCACAAGTGATGTTGATGTTTGTAATATGAGTTTTTGGCAATCAATATTGTAACCGGTCCTATTGTTCCGCACCCAATTTGACCCAACCCATATCATATAGTCGTTTCAATCATTTTATGGCTCATGATGTGCCGAATCAACCCCAATAAACTGTCCGAACTGCCATAGAACCTAGCAAAAGCCTTCAGTTTTTTTCACTTCCGGGCGGCAGGTGGTTTCTTTTTCAACATGTCTTACCTGTTCGTCTCCTCTGGTTGGGATCATGACTGGTTTTCTCATTGGGTCTCCTGGGGGTCCTGGATGCTTGAAAAAAAAAGGTCTTCACAGTTTGCTGACATGCCCATCTTTGGGGTTTGCGTCAAAGATGATGTAGATATACCGTGATATACCTGTACATCATGGTATATCTTTGAATCTAAATTGGTATATGATGATACATAGCCAACATGCCCCCTTTGTTTGTTTATCCCCATCCCTCTATGCACTTTCCGTTGTGACCCAGGGAACCAGACATCCTCACCACCAACCTCCAGCTTTCAGCGGCGCATGGCGGCAACGGTTGGCACCATGCGCTGCAGTGCTTTCTGGCGCAGCGGGACCGCAACATCATTACCTACAATGCGTCGCTGAAAGCACTGGGCGCCCTGGCAGGGGTTGTGAATCTTTGGGTGACAAGCATATCATGACACTGCAAAAAACATTGAATCATGATAAAACGGTATATAATTTTAATTATGTACGTTTAAATAAAAATAGAATCAAATAACTTCATCATGGAAAGACCAAATATGATATATAGTTACCATTAACCATCAGCATTAATGGCAATACTTCAACATGAAACATCATATTATTGTTGTTTTCGGCCGTCTGTTTTTTTTTTCAAAAAACAATACCCCCTGAACACAATCCCCATGAAGGTCCATTATAATTACTCCGGGGTGAAAATGGATGGCGCGAATTTTTGAAATGCACCATCTATAGACCACTTGGGGGACGGGATGCTTTGCGCCATCTGATTTTAATCATCAATCATAACCATCATAGATCTCCATATATCTCCATATGTTGCCTCATCAGGTTGATCCCTGGCTTCATCCACCAGATATCACGAATAGACCTTTATTTTTACGGATCATTCATTTGATCCCCACTGGTGATTGTTAAATTGCATTATTAAATCACCATTTTTAGATGATGAAGATAGATGATTGATATTTATTTATATACTTCATTATCTCATGAGTAGTAAAATCACATTAATTAAATATGACACTAAATACCCCATTGCTATCCATTATATATTGTCTATTTTGATCGATCATGAACCATTACTAACCAATATTAACCATTATATAATGAGTAAAACTTATAGCAAATGGAATGGAAACCCCATTGTTGATAAATCCAGTCAATTCCCAGTCAATTCCATCCCTAAGTGACAAAACTCACCATTTACACATAGAAGATACATATATATATATATTTATATATATATATTATGATATCATATTATATTATGCATATTATAGGTACATACTCTATATATATATATACACACACTACATTGTTAAGATTATATCATAGAGTTGATGATCTCATTACCCTCTGGTAATTTGTTACATAGCTATTGAAAATGGCCATTATGAATGGGAAAATCCACTACTAATGGCCATTTTCAATAGCTATGTTAAATTACCAGAGGGTAATTTATGTGTATGATCTCAGATCACCAGAGATAATAGATTAATATATATATAATATATTAATAGATTTGATATAATCATTTTCCATATATACATATATATTAATATGTAGAGTTGATAATCAACATTGTTTTTCACCTCACCTCAGGCTCTGCCAGTTGGCTCCGCAGCCTCTGGATCTTGCAGAGCCTCATGGAGCAGGCGCCACGTGGCCTGCGTGGCGACGTGTTGACCTTTGAGGCGTGCCTGGCGTCCTGTGACTTGGGATGCTCCAGGGATGCTCCAGCCCCGAAAAGGCAAAGACCATCCAAAAACCCGCAAAAACTTGGGTTACACACATGATTTCACCAGATTTTCTGGGATTTTGATGAGAAAATATGGAAAAACATGGTGGGCTTCGGCCCAAATTGAATTTGAAGTATGGGGGGTTGATCCAGGAAAGCGACTTGGACATTAGATGATAATGATTTGATATTTATTGGGACGAAACTGGCTGTTTTTCACTGAATTGCATGATGGGAAAATTTTCAGGAAACCCATATTACATATATATATAGTTATTTATTTTATTTATTTATTTATTTTTTTTTATATAAAACATATATATATATATATGATGGTAAAACCATGGTTTCCTGTAAAAATTCCCGTCAACCAATCCGTTGAGTTTTGCGTCATGACCTATGTTCACATGGTGTCACCCGGGGCCTCAATCCCATCAGTCACGTGTGTCACTGAGGCGAAGGGCAATTCTTGCAAGAGGCCAAGTTGCTGAACATCGTTTCACAGACATCTCTCGAGTTGAAGCTGTGGAACTGTAAAAATTGGCCGAGACCACGGGGCAGTCCAACCCCAAGGAGGTATCGCATGATTCTATGAATGAGTCTTTTAAAAGATAATGAGGTTAATGAAGTTATTGTTTGATTCTATTTATTTATGATATCTTAAGACCTTCAGGTTGCATTAAAGAAGTGGATGTTTGCATACCCAAACTTGAGGTCGTACTCAGGTTGGTGAGGCTGGCACTTGGATTCAGCCCAGGTTTTCCAACTTGAAGGACAGCAGCCGGGGCCTCGTTGGGACATGGTTTTATGGTTTGTTCAGCATTTGTTGGGGATATTGGCGTCGTTCCAAAAAATGGGTCAAGAAACTGAACTGGGATTGTATCCGATGAATATTGGGTAAACCAACTTTTAGTGAATGGTTGGGGTGCGAATGTATGATGGTTGCGTTTGTTGGCTGTTGTCCTTTCATATCTCCTATTCATGTGTTGTTCTTACTACATGTTGATCCTTTTTTGGTTGGATTTTTTCTGTTCGAAACATGCGCGGTACGGCTATTTGCTGATTTGAGAATCAGACCCTAGATGTCATTACGCATTCCCATGAATGTAAGGGATTTCTGGGAGTTGATGAGCTAAATGGATTCTAAATGGGCCGCGTCATGTTCGTTAGCCTCCGGTAATCAAACGTGGCTAGCTGGAAAATCCTTCCTTTATAGATGATCGACCCCCCGTGTTTGATTACCGGAGGAATTTGTCAAACATTGTTTTGTTTGGAGTTTGCGGGCCTTTCTCCCAGATGTTCCTTTTCTTCCGCCGTGAGTTGCCTAAGTTTACTTTCATCGTTTGCTCCAAATGCATGATTGCTAGTGACCCCTCAGTTTGTCTAAACATACATTTGAGGGTTGGGGCTGTTGAATTGCGTTTGTCTGAAGATAGGACGCCCCCAAGTCCCATGGTTTATCAGTCATCAGTTTCCCCCATTCCAAAGTGAAATTATATAAGGGTATACGGTATACGGGACATGTTCAGACACCAGTGCCATCCATAGAAAATATAGAAATATGGTAAATATGGTGCGATTGCCATTTTCATACTCTTAAACCATCCAGAATTAGCAGAAACTTGTCTCTATTTTCGGGGGAACCTCCCCCACCAAGGAGAGGCTACGTGCGCCTCTCGACAGCATGGGGATCTTGATCGCCACGTCCCAACAGACAGGGTGGTTTTAAGCATCAACCAGAACCACTGATATACATGCACATATATATATATATATATATACGCGAGGGGACTGAGGTTCTCCGATGCCATCAGCTGTGTTTGAGTGTCAACATGTGAAAAAACAGCTGGCGCCTAGGTAATTTGCCAATTTTTCAATAGTGGCAAGCATCATGTTGAACGGATCATTTTTTTTTCGTCCGTTTTAAAGCAGAGTCATCTTGTGCCATAAATCATGTTCTCAGAAGTCAGAAATCGCATATTTTGGTGTAAAATTGTGAATTTTCATCGTATAGTCATGGCGTGGTCATGTAAAATTGAGCAAATGTACTGTGTTGTCTCAGGCATTTTGCGTCATGCTACTTTTGCACTGTTATTTGCGATGAATTGGCAATGTGTAGAAAATTGCAAGTGCTGACAGTCAGGCGATTTTTGTGTTTTCATTCTATATAGTACACTGTGAACACTGAATGTTTAGTCAGCAGCACGCACGCAACAATGGTGAAACGTTTTTTTCACTTTTCCCACGCAGCTTCGAGGAAGGCCCGCGATGGAGCCACTAGGCCAGAAGCAACGGTGCTTCTGAAGCGAGCCAACGTAACATGAACATGACGGTAACATGCCCCACCCCACCCCACCCCTCCCATCAACGTAGCATCAACGTAACATGAACATGACGGTAACATGCCCCACCCCACCCCACCTCCCATCAACGTAGCATCAACGTAACATGAACATGATAGCCCCACCCCTCCCATCAACGTAGCATCAACGTAACATGAACATGACGTTAACATGCCCCACCCCACCCCACCCCACCCATCAACGTAGCATCAACGTAACATGAACATGACGTTAACATGCCCCACCCCACCCCTCCCATCAACGTAGCATCAACGTAACATGAACATGACGTTAACATGCCCCACCCCACCCCACCCCACCGCTTCTCCATCGGAGAACCCCAGGCCCCTCGGGTATATATATATATAAAAAAAGGTTTGTCCTGCTCTGAGTTCTAGATTCCATCAGTTAGTTGATCTCAGGAAACCATGCGCTGACTGGTGGTTCGACATGATTGTATTGTGTTTTTAGATTGTTATCCCCACTGGAATTGTAATTTTAGGATGTTTTAGGATGGATGCGATACAACAATCAACTGTATGTGCTGCATCGCACCAATTAAAAGCATGTTTCCCATTCCTTGCCAGTGGCCCAATCCAAGAATTGGATGATGGAAACAAAAATAGAAATTTCCAAGTAAAAAAGATGTTTCCCAACGTTTCCAACTTTAAATGTGTCCCTTCAACCCACCCAGGCTTTCGCTTTCACCACAGTGCTGCCGGCTGTGTGTCGGCCTTGGCCGGCCAGTGGTCAGAATCCGAACGAGCCTTCAAGTCGGATCAAGCCGTACTAGGTGCCATGGGCCATGGGCCATGCCGGCCATGCCGCCAGGGGTGTATGGCTTGAAGCGGTGTTTGCTTCTACAACCTCTTTTTTTCTGAGAAATACATTTTTTAATGCCCCCCATAGCCCCAAGAAAAAAATATATAGTTTCACCCTGAGAAGGCAAGAAGAACACATTCCACCGGGGTTTCAAAGGGGTCCTGTAGAGCTTGATCCTAATGACTTGGCTGCCAGGGCATGATGTGACTACGGTGTATCCCAGCTCAATGGTCTTGCAGCTGGCCGGTGGAAAAGATGGAAACACCATCCGGAGCCTCGCGGATGCTTGATTGGACTATTTATCACATTTTTGTTTGCATTTGATAGATTTGCTGAAGATATGATGTTGTTATCTAATTTTTCCCATCCACTACCTGGGGAATCTATAGGGGATATGTTCTATTTGTCGGCGGGTTCAGCAAATCCAAGGACTTGATAGGGCTGATGGACCATTTGGGATTTCTGACGGGAGACCCCAAGGCCCAAGTTGTCATCCAAAATTGGTCATTGTCACAGGGGAAACACCAGTGGTTTTGGCCTACCCCAAGTTTGACAAACATCGATTCAAGGGGCAATGTATTTTGCTCGGCCACACTGAAAGATTTGGAGATTTGCCTGGGCTTTAGGTGGGGCGAAATGACCTCGCAAAGACTTGGGTTAAGCTGCAAGAAAATGCTAAAACGTATTCAAAGGGTGATCAAGGCAAAAGAAAGCGCCTAAGCTGATTGGTGAAGAGTTTGTATGGTTCATTTGTTGGCAAAGTTGATGGAGGAGCCCAGGGTTATGCATTCTGCAAGGGGTGTAGGGGGACCCTATTTAGAAGCAAAGGGCATGGATTTTCTCAGAGGGAACGTTTGGATTCGACCCATTTGGACTATCAAAAAGATAGAAATGTAAACTCGTACGCACGTAGTGGCCATTTGTTTTTCTAGTTGTTTTTTTTTGGGGGGGTTGCTGAGTAGGACTTTCGGCGGATTTTGTGTGCCTGTTGATTTGTGAGATGTCACGTCATGTTCATATTTGATATCAGGAAACAACAGGAGTGCACTACCTGAAGTTGAACGCCGGCACCCTGACTGGCTACTTGAAGAAAAAGATGCCAAGAGAGAACCAAAGGCTGGATGTGGATCAGCTACAGAGCCCAGATTCCCCCCAAAAATGTATAGGTTCTCATATGGTTGTAGATTGGGTTGATATCATCTTGAAATAGGTGATTAACATGAAACATTTGCAGAAATCATCTCTGACACCAATGAGTGTGGAATATGCTACATTCGTAGATGATTAGTAGACACACTAGTGTATGAGTCAGTAGGTCATTTCACATTGGTCACTTCGGGATGGGAATTTTCTCATGGATCTTGAACCATCAGCCTGTCCTGAGCTTCACAGTACTTGGTGAAAGCCCTAAGTTGTCCCAGGCAGCACTTTGTTGTCTCATCTCGGTGTGCCATGCGAAAGATGTGACACAACCATTGGAATGGAGTTGTCATTTGGTATTATCTTTACAGCACAACGCATAGGCACGCAAGGATTCTTAACATTGCAAACATTAGTTATATCCATTTGCCTCCCTAACAATCCCTGGGTTACTTTTATGGAGTTTAGTGGTGCCTTTTGGCTTTTGGTGGAATGGTATATTGTTACAAAATGGGGTTTAGACAAGCTCAATTCAATCTGCAATGATCAGCAGATGCGCGAATGATTGGGCACTTTGGCCCAAGATTGCTTTGATTGGTGTTTCAATGGCGATGGAACCCCCCCGCAAGAAGCGATCTCGCAATGATGGGGTAAGCCCTTTCTTGTCTCAGATAGCACTTTGTTGTCTCATCTCGGCGTGCCATGCGGAAGAAGTGACACAACCACTGGAATGAATTACTACGTGATTTGTTATTGTGTATGATCTTTACAGCACAACGCATAGGCACGCAGGGATTCTTAACATGGCAAACATTAGTTAGTTGTATCAAGTTATTTGAGGGCAAGGTGGTGATGCTTGGCTAAGCTTTTGACCTGGAATTGCTTTTGGCGGTGTGCCATTGAGATTTGACTCCAAGTTGACAGGTCACCTTCCCATATTCTGATTCCGGGCATAGCTAAATGCAACCTAATAACATGATTCAAAGTTTGCAACGACTTCAAGACATGATGCATCTGAGCCGCTGTGCCTTGGGGATTTGACACCTGGGGTAACTACTGTCTGCCCTGGGGTAACTCGGTGTGCCTTGCGGTTGGGGTAACTAATGGGTAAATGGGGTAACTTAGGGCGTCTGCTAGTATTTGCTGGTATTTTCGGGGGAAAGCAAATTGATATTTGTGCTTCTGTCACCCTATCGTACTCAAGCTTTTTTTTACCCCTCACCATCGGGTAGCCTGACATAGATATGGCTAAGTCATGGTTTTGCCATGCAGAAAAAAATACATATGCTCCAAGCAAGGTGGTGCCTCCAAGTTGATTTAGACCTTCATGAATGTCATGGGCTGATGGTGGATGTCTCTGTACATTCATGGTCCTTATAAACCACTTGAGTTCACTTACATATGGAGGTGTCCAAAAATGATCTAAAATAGGATTTTCCATTATAAACCATCCATGTATGGAAACCCCCATATGGGATGCCTCAAATAAACCATTACCCTCTGGTAAACATACAAAAAGCGACATAGAAAATGGCCATAGAAATAGTGGATTTTCCCATTCGAAATGGTGATTTTCCATAGTTTTTTGTATGTTTACTAGAGGGTAAACCATTATAAACCATCCATTTTGGGGATGACGCCGTGGCCTGGCAGGGTCTTCTTCAGCGGAAAGGCCACGGGGCAGCAGCTGAACGAGCACCTTGGACCGCTGGGCGTGTGGAAATGTGGGGATCTGATAAAAGGATCGCAAAAGGTGGGTGAATGACATCTCATATATCAACTGGTTGGTGGTTTCAAACATGTTTTATTTTCCATAATATATGGGATAATCCTTCCCAATTGACTAATATTTTTCAATATAGTTAAAACCACCAACCAGTATGTACGTCATGTCTTGAGGTGATATGGCATCCTTGTTTCATGTGCGTTTGTCCCTATGTTTACTCTGTTTTGGTGATTTGTTTCGCCGTACCACGTAGTGCCCGCAGATGGGTGCCATGGATTTGGCGCGGAATTGGAGGTAGCCAAGGAATAAGCATTGCCAGGGACCATCGATCAGATATTGCGGAGTAGAAAACGAGAAAACGAAGTACAAAGACAACTCAGTAGAAAAGCAAACGGACAGAAGACGCGTTTGCTTCAGCTATTGAACTATACATATATATATAATATATATATAATATATTATATATACATATATTATATTATATACGGCTATATATAATTATATACCCTTTCGTTTGAAGTTATGTTTGCCGAGTCGGGTCCATCAGTCGGGGATCCTCCCAAGGCTTCACCAGAAGTTGGAAGACTTGCTGTCTGAGGTGCCTGGGCCTGGCTAAGTCGTCATGACTTGGATTTGGGGGTACCCCCATGACTCAGGACACCCACCAAAAAAAAACTTCCGGTAATTTAACATCTTGAAAATGGTTCATTAGTCATTATTTTTACCTTTATATATGTATATATATATATTATATTCAAATGGTGATTTTCCATATAGTTAAGTTAGTTTTCCAGAGGTTAATTCCATTTTTGTTGGGTATATCCCATTATATCCCCATGAAATCCCATTAAATCCCATGAAATCCCATTAAATCACTATAAAATCCCATTAAATCACTATAAAATCCCACAATTTCTCTAGTGAAATCCATATGTTTTGGGCACTTTCAAAATTTCCGAGCCCTCCAGGTCCACCAAAAGATGTCGCAAGAGATCGAAGGAAGCCGTCCCGTGGAGCTACTGGTGGCTTGGCCAAAAAAAGGACGGGGCGTTGAAACACACGCAGTTACTATGGCTCAGTGGAATGGCTCTACCCTGGAAGATTGTTTGCATGTTGAGAATTGTAAAAAATGGGAGAAGGTGAGTGTAAATGCAAGTGTTGCATTACATATAGTACTGCACATACACTTTCACGCGTGTGTGAGTTGAAGACATGTTTTGAAAGATGAAATTTGGGACTACCCCACTGGCTTGGACTGGCGTGACGATGACCTGCTGGGCAGCTGATGGTTTCGATGATGGAGTGGGTTTGAAACGTCAAGCCTTTCAACTTGTGAAACAACTACCCTTTGGTCATTTAAAAAAGCCACGGAAAATCACCATGTCTACAACAGGTAGATCATTGAACTACAGTAAATTGACACAAATACACATAAATAGACCATCTATAAGAACAGTTCGTGTGAAAACTTACCACTACCAGCTGTTCAGTTCCAGGAGTTTTCCATTTAAAGCATCTTCAAATCACCATTTCTAGGGGATCTTCCCATTTTTCCCATTAAAAAAACCATCCTTTCGTTGGGGCCTTTCCTTTCCGCTCAGCTACGACGCTCTACAAGGTCAAGGGTTTGCCCGCAGACATGGGACCACCGGAGCTGGAGGACCCGTTGGATTTTCATGGTAGGTTTATGATCGATCTATGGAATCTATGGTTTATGGTTCAGAATTATGGATATATAACAATATAATATACGTATATATATATAACAACTTATATATATATATATCCTGTATGTATGATATATATGATAAAGAAATAGAGAGAGAGAGATGTATCTACAGCTGGATGAATGTCTAAACCAGTCAATCTACGGTTCATGGAGTAGTTTATGGGTTTATCATCTACAGTAGAAATCTAAACTAACTCTCAATTTCATCAAGCTGCCCCGCACAGTTGTATTTGTTGGTCTAGTTTAAGCCATGAAACGAGAAATATCATGGCATACCCTCTGGTAAACTAACATAACTATGGAAAATCACCATTTTCAATGGGTAAATCCACTATTTCTATGGCCATTTTCTATGTCGTTTTTTGTATGTTTACCAGAGGGTAAGGGCCATAACTGTAGCCATCCACTGGTTTAGCGTCAGGAGCTGGTGGCAGAGTTTGGGGTGATCGAGAGCATAGAGCCACCTGTCGACGATGGCAAAATGGCGAAATGGCGAAATGGCGAACGATGCCATGTTTACCCGCCATGACTGGTCAATCTATGGTTACCCTCTGGTAATTTAACATAGCTATTGAAAATGACCATTTATAATTAGTGGATTTTCCCATTGAAAATGGTGATTAATAATGGTTACCCTCTGGTAAATTAACAGTTGGACCCTGAAAATGACCAATTTATAGTGGTTTCACTAGTCTTCCAACCCCTATCTGGCAGGGTCGTCATGTTAATTTACTGGAGGGTAATACAGTAATGGTTAAAATTGGCTAATCATCGGAATAATGTTGGTAAAACAATGTCATCAACCAGCCACTGGGAATGGTTTAAGTTTATATATACCACCTATATATAAAAATGGTGATGACTGGGGGATGGTAAACATGACATTGTTTTAGCCACAAAAAAATACTATATCAAACCAGATGTATGGAATTTATTCAATAATTTGATAGAAATATCCCAGAATGAGTGGTGGTTTAGAACCTATGCTTTGATTTTTCAAGATGATCTCCAATCCATTAACAGCGATTGATTGTCGAAAGGGTGCCTTTCAGATCCTTTCAGTCATTGACCTGAAGGCGAGCTACCACCATGTTTGTACTATCACCATTGTAGGTGTTCCATGTTCTTCAAGCATCTTCAAACCCCGCTCTGTTTTGGTCAAGCGCTTATGTCCCGTGTGTTGGTCGAACTTCCAGCCGCTTGAATCCCATTTTTGTTGATGCTTGCATCCATGTGTTTGGTAAATAATCGCCACAACTCTTCGATTTATCTGATCAATTCCAAGAAATCACAGACAAGATCACCTCCCTACTGCGAAAATCCATGCTTTCACTGCTGATATCCACATGATTAGTGTAGATTCCTGTGAAAATCCATGAAAATCACTGGTTTTCACTGGTGAAATGTCCGTTTTTTCCCGCACAAAACCGGCCGTTCCAGGGAGTTCCCGGGCGCCCCGGGACGGCCTGGCCGAGGCCCTGGGATCAGCAATGTTTGGTGACTTTTTCAACGGCGGATGAGGCCGAGACGCTTGGCGATTTTAATGGGTCAACTGGGGAGGGAAGGTGGGTGCTAAGATATTTTATTGTAAGGATTTGTAAGGTGTTATTTTACTGTTTATGTATGTTTATGTATGTTTATGTATGTTTATGTATGTTTATGTATGTTTATGTATGTTTATGTATGTTTATGTATGTTTATGTTATATGTATATTATATATATATATATATGTGTGTGTATATGGGGAGAGGCTTCACTATGTGTGTACATATATATATATATTATACAAGATATATTCTATGGTAGAATATGCAATGGCCCGGTTTAAGACGCTGCAAGATGTCCACGGCCTCACCAGGAACGCCATGCGGGGCCTCAGCAATGGCGCCAATGCGCGGGGAGAAAACTTCGAGTGCCAGCTCACAGGCGGGATCCGGCCTGGATTTGCGGATTTGCGGATGATTTGGTTGATTTTCCCAATAAACAACTTGTGAAATCAGGAAAAAAACTGGGAAATTGCCAGGAATCTTCTGGAATCTATAGGAATCTATGGGGCAGATGTGTTACAGTAGATATTTTTTTCGAGGGGTGCCAGCAAATCGAAGTGGATTTATCAACACATTGTCACTTAACCATGGAAACCGGTGAGAATAATGGTGATATAGCCAACAATTTTCAAGTGATATGGCTGGGGTAGATGTTGAAGATGGATGCGCGGCATGTGTACCGTGATTGCTGAATGTAACGTGAAATGCGTCATTGTTATTCACCGTTCGTTCATGTGTAATATGGTTCCATACAAAATTTCTATGATATGTAAATATATATATATATATAATTGATGATATTTATATATATAATTGATTATATATATATATATATAATTGATTATATATATATATATATATAATTGATTATATATATATATATACAATACATATTATTTTTGCATATGGCATCGTTCGAATGGTTGGAAATCTGGAAGTGAGGCTCGGAATTTCGTGCCAAAATCACCAGTTGCTATTGGGGTGCCTTCAACTGGTTATACTTTGATGCCTGCTTATTGGTAATGCTAGCTGTTCCAATGTTGTGAGGCGTCATGTTTTTTGCGGCAGGGAGGGTGCAGTATGGACATGTTCATGTTATTCATCATCATCATCATCATCATCATCATCATCATCATCATCATCATGCGTATCACTACTGAGCCGTTTTTTTTTGTATGTATGTCCCTGCCCTATCGCTGTCCCTTTCCCTTGTGAGTCATGAATATGACTTGATTCTCAGTTTCGTATTGCTTTGTGATTTTATGTGATGTTCTGTGCTGGTTGCATTGCGATTGCGCATTGTTTTCGACCTTTATTGGCACACCCCTCACTGGAGGCAATAAACCTGTGGAAGTTTGTATGCCCAACCTTTACATGTTTCACCATGTTCCTTAATGGTTGTGTCCCGACGAAGAATGGTTCTACAAAAACTATCCCGTTCTTTGGCGTTATTCGTCCCAAGTCTTGCATATGTTTGTGGGGTTGTAGTTTGGTAAACCCCACAACCAACAAACAGAGAGACATTTCGCCTTTCTTCTTGAATAAGCCTTTACACACAGTTGCTGAAGTCACCTCGGCCGATCACAAATCTGGCTCTTGGGTGGAGAAAACTTGCCGGGAAAGTCGCCCTATAGCATGGGTTTGGGGGAAACAGTCTAATGAGATAGAAATCATGAAAGTATAGAAACTACATGAAACTACGAAAACCTCGAAAAACAAATGGTCAGTTGATATGTGATCCTCGCGCGTTGTTTCACTCCCCCATCTCCCCATCCCCGCAGGTGGAGGTCCCAAGTCTCTCTCAACGGAGTCGCCACAAGATGCAGCCACCCTACTGGTGACCAACCTCCCGGCGGTCGCCCAGCTGGATGGGTTTAGTTGGCCCCAAGGGGGAATGGTTTCAGGTTTTTTTTCGCCCCAAGGGGGATTAGATGGACACATATGGACACCATGATTTTTTGACTTTTTGTTCCACTTGAACTTGGGATCTGGAAACCACTGTGACATTGACAGTTTGCACAGGCTGTCCGACTTCCTCAAAGCCTGGAAAAATGGAAACAACTTGAAATGGGTGTGTCTGAAAATGGGGTACCACCCACTTCTTTTTGTTTGAGAGGGGAAATGAATGACAACCATCGTCATGATACTAGGCCTCTTCAAAATGGATGATCACAATGTCATTCCATCCACTAGTTTATTCCATCACTGGTCTATCATAATCATTTTTTAAGAACCTATAAACCAGTGGATGGAACGGCTTCTCCTACTTTCAGGCAAATCCAAGTAATCCAAGTGTCGCATGGTGTTTTTTAACCAGCAATGGGGCATAGATCGGCTTCCCATGGTCTGTCAATGCATAATATTTGGTTGCTGGTTTCAAGAATGTTTCTAGTGTTCTAATTATCCCTAAAAGTGGGATGATCCAAAATCCAAAATTACTTGTTGTATACGTTTAATGTGTTTTTCAGGAGGGGTTGAAACCACCAACAAGAACATTATCATTATGTACCCTGTTTGTCAGCAAAAAACAAGTTGTCCGCCGATACCCCCTGAGAAACGCCCCAGGAAAGGGGTGGTTCTTATTTTGCTGATCAGCTTAGATTTGTCATTCAGCAATTTTAGCTAGACAGTCGTCCCACAGCCCTCGTCCTTGCCGCGTTGGTTGGGCTCCTTTGCCATGTCTTCTGCCATGGAGAAGCTGTTTGCAGTGCCTTTGGTTGGAAAATGTTGTGACATGTTGATTGAAGGGGATCCCAATTTGAAGCATATTAGCATATTGTTTGGTAGTATCAGCCTTGACTACTTTGCAATGGGGATGGTGTCAACCTACGAAGAAACAGGTGCAAAAACAGTACCATTTGGAGAACCAATCGAAAGTGTGATATCCGGGACGCCACCCAGGGGACCCAGCACCCCAGTAGATGCTGTGGTACCCCCTTGCTAAGTTGAAATATGTCGGTTATCAATGATAATGGTGAACAAGATGATCCCATGGTAGATATATCTACGGTCAGATGGGTAAAGTTAAACCAACAGACATCACTGGGTGGCACCACCTTGCAGGGATATAATGTGGATACAAAACCAGTTGTGATGGTTAGTTATATTTCATTATTATTTTAGACCTGTATTTTCCCCATATATTGCATCCCCGTTCGAATGGTTGGTTATTTCCCTGCAAAGCATTCATTTCCACAAAAAAGACTAAACAATAATTATATAAATCATTGCAATCCACGTTTTCCCTAGTTGGATCCTGTTAAGTCACCATGTTTATTGGTTTCAAGGTGAGGCCCCCCAGTTAAAGGTTGGTTTATACACCCAGTATGACTATAGTTATATCCCCTGTAAACAGGCTTCCTCCAGCCCACTGTAGGTAAATGACAGCCACATGGGGGGAAACTTAACCATTTTACCACTCTATTTAGTCAATTTGCATCCCTTGTAGTGTTGGGAGCACCCTGGTAGACCCTCCCCATGCCATCCATATCTGGAGGTCATGCCTGAACTTCAGTCGGTGTGTGCCGATGGATTGGCTGAAGAGGTGGGCGAGCAGATCAAGAATCAGCTGAAAGAAATGTACCTTGGCCAAAGTTGGAAAAAACAAATAACCTTGGTTAGTAGGTCCCATTGGTTAGTGGTTAGTAACCACATTAGTATGGGATAATGATGGGATTTAACCATCAAGAATAGGGATTATAATAGGGATGATGTGGATTGATCATTGTCCCCATTGGAGGATTTTCCCAGGCGGACTGTAAGTGGTTAGTAGCCATAGTTACAAGTTATAAGCCACTTATACATGGGATAATCCACCAGGGCTCCTCCATGGTCCTTCGCCATGGGTTCTCTCTTTGTTTTCCCAGGTAGAATCCAGGTAGAACCATAGACATCAACTTAGAATCCCCCAATTTTGCAGACGTCATGACCTCAGAATGATAGAAAACATCAATCATCATCATCATCACCACCACCAACAACAACCTCATCGCTATGATTGACACGCTATTTATATATGTTTCATATCCTCATCATCAACCAGATTTTTGTTTCCAGCTGGGGCCCCCCCTTGGGTAGGTCCTGGAAGTGCGCGGAAGAGGCGGCTGCGGTGCAGACCCAGCTGGCCACCCGGAAGCAGCAGAAGGAGCAGGCGGAGCTCACCATGGAGAAAGCCAAGACGGCAGTGTCTTGGCCACTCGAGTAGTGCCCTATATAGTGCCCTGAGAACCAGCTCAACTATGGCCCTTAACAGTCTGAAAACAGTTCTATCTGGCTTACGATAGAGAACCAACTAGTTTCAGGAGTTGTAATACCATTTATAACTGTTAAGGGTCATAACATGTACAGTTGCAGCCCTTTACAAGTTACTTTTTAATGGTTATGAATCCAATGATCATTCCATCAATGAGGTTATAGGTGCCTTATAACTGGTTAAGGGCCAGAACTGTAGTGCCTGTGTGGTAGGTGTAAGATAAAGGCTTGGGGTTCAGGGATGATGGGTAGCTGGACATGGTGACTTGAAATCAAAAGTGGAATCCCGTGGAAGGGGTTTACTGTCTTTATTCAGCTGGTTTGATAGCCTTTTCATGCCATGTTCCAGCAGGAAAATGTGTAATTAGCATGTTTTTTATGCGTTCGGTGTGATTTTTTGTGGGTCATTAAATGTCCCCATTTTTCACATCACCCAACCATTAGGTATATGGTCTACTAGATGGCTACTTTTTAACAGGTGATGTCCAATATTCCCAAAATGGGACAGTTGCCAACCCCTGTTTTGATGGGTTTCTGCTGGTGATGTGTTCGCATCGTGTGTTCCAAGCATCGGAACGGGATGCTGATCCCCGTTCTGGGATGTGTGGCTCAAGCAGCAATCAGTGCTGGAATGATGTTTGAATCATGGTGAATCCAATATGTTCGTTACCCTGTGGTAAACTAACGTAACTGTGGAAAACTACCATTTTTTAATGGGTAAATCCACTATAAATGGCAATTTTCAATAGCTATGTTAGTTTACCAGAGAGTGCATTTTCATATCTTCGTTGTTTAACCCCCAATGATCCCCAATGTTGATAGTGAAACCAACCATTGTGTTTCAATGGTTTAAGGGGAAAACATCACCTTCCTCCAATTCCAGGATTTTTTGTAGACATGCTTGGGCTTCCCCTTGGTAACACAGCTGGTGTTCCCTCTGCAGCTGCAAGGAGCGTGAGATCTGCGTGGACTTGGAAAACAAGGTGAACGCACTGTTGAAGGCTCAGGTCTACCGATGGGTTCGTCCACGGTGCTCAAATTCAGATGGCCAGAGAGGCATATAGTTGGGTGATATGTGTTCTGAGTGGCCAGTACAGTATAGTTGATATTTTTGTTCGGGGATTTCACCAAGAATCAGAGTATCACTGATGTCTCAATGGAGGCTATTCATGGCTATTCTACTAGCTATGGGATGCTATGGCTTTGGAGAGGATGGTTGATGCTCTGGGTTTCTACCAACCGGTTCAATGGGCAATACACCATATTTATATATTTACTATATTTTATTGTCCATATATCCTCCATGATGGACTGATCAATGGATCTAGCCAAACACCGGGGAGTCACTGCTTGCAGCCAAAACTGGGATTCAATCTTCAAACAATGGGGTTTAAACCAATGCGATTTGACGGCTACTGTATATGGATTTCCACCAGTGAGTATACTGGGGAGTTTACGTCTGAATGACATGAATCTCTTGTTGGCTTTTAGTTCGTTTAAAGTCCCCACGATATGGTGGGTTGGATTTCCCACTCCCCAAATTGTCGGTGTCGGTGTAGCATCTCTTGATCTATCCGCTTGGCTCTTCGACAGGAAGAGTTGACCTCCGTGCAGAAGGAACAGCAGATCTTGACAGATGCGAGCCGTGATGAGCCTTTTACTGTGAAAACGTTTGGTGACGGGTATAACTTATAACCCATGAAAAACCAAGAACTTGGATTAACATAGGCAGAAAACCAGACATAAGAACCTTAAATGAAACTTGAACTATGGATACTCTGTTCATCCCTGTTCATTCCTGTTTAAGATGGGTTTTGATGGACTATAGCTATAAAGACTTATGAAGACCTGATCATGACTTCACCATAGATCAGACGGAAAAAAGCATCTTGGTTCAGGTTGGAGAACTATTGTAACTGCACCAGGGTGGTGTTAAGTATCTTTCAATAGAAAGAGTCGTCGGAACGAATTCGATTTACGCCAGGTCAGCGTTGTTTTTGTTCAGCCGCCGACAAAACCGAGGAGATGCTGCTGGGCAACGAACTCCGCGAGTTCAAGGCGCTCCGCAAGTGGATGCCTCCGCAGACAGAGTTAATTTGTTCCAGGCGCTGTCTAAACGAACAGTTCGCGACATAGAAAATGGCCATTTAGTTCTTTGATTTAGCCATGAAAAATGGTGATTTCCCATAGTTATGTGACAGTTTACCAGAGTGTATATCCAATATAGAGGTTTCCTAAAATGGGGGTACCCAAACAACAATGGTCTACTGTAAGTTTGAATGATTTGGGGTCCCCCTATTTTAAGACACCCCAAGAATTCTAGTGTGGATGAGTATCATCCATGAGCTGATTGTCCATCCGGGATGATGGTCGCAAGTGACGAACGTTGGGATGGGTTGAATGCTTAGATGCTCCAAGTGTGCTATATGTTTTTGTATATATTTACCATCATTTACCACCCCACATGTGAGCCACATGCATTTTGGGTGGTAAGATGTGTGCGCTTACTATTCACACACACATATATATATATGTGTGTGGATACATAATGATGCAGAATACATAATAATATATACATACGTCCAGTTTGAGATAGCAATGGAGCATAAGGAATTGCTCCCTGTGTCCCAGAATTGGAGGATGCGAAAACCATCCGTCGCCCTGCAGGAAGCCAATAGGTTGATTACGGAGGAGGTGTTCCCTTGCCTTCTCAATGGTACCTTGGAGCAGTGGCATATAGTATACCTAGGTATAGATGCGATAGAAGTGGCTTCACCGGCTTCACAGAGCTTGGTAAGTGAGTCGATATTTATTGCAATGTAATGCAATATACCATCTGGTTATTTAACATAGCCATGGAAAATGGCCCATTTATAGATGGTTTACCTATTAAAAATGCTGATTTTCCATGGCTATGTTAAATAACCAGAGGGTATATATATATTATATGCATGGAAAATGGTGACCAACCAGATGGAGGGTAGGTTTGTTGCATCAAAAATGGTTGTTTTCACATGGTTTAACCATCCTAAAATGGGGATATTTAATATAGTATTACTGTAAATACCTATATCATATGGGATATGATACGCCACATCGATATTTTTTGGGGGATGAGCGGTCTTATTTTAAATAAATTGCATGATTTGATGCCCTGCATCTTCTCCATTTGCTCATGGCCATAGAGTCAAAGCATACCCTGAGGCGCATGGACCGAGGAGGAAGAGAAAGTGGAGAGCCTTGGGGCCTTAGAAGTGGATGTTTGGGTGGAGGATATCATGCTTTGCAAAGGAGACTTCCCTTAGTAGATTATTGAGTCCAGAGAGGGCACGTCTTCCTAAGATTTATCTAAGTAATAGAAAAGTGTTCACCAACAAAACACAAATCTTATGACAAAAGGGAGATGCTTGAATAAACAAAACACTGCCGGACTCTTCGGTTGTTGTTGGTGCAACATTTCACATCAGAACGCCTGCTAATTGGATCTCATCATTTTGGGTGCTCATAGTGCCCATGTCCCGTGCTTCTCGTTGGAAACAGGTACAGCGCCGAGCGCTCCTGCAATTTGCCACAGGAATGGCAACTCCATCATTTGTAGATGGTACACCTTTGTGGGTTTGTCCCGAATGTTTGCCCAAAATGACCATTTCATAGGGAAAATGAATTGACAATGATGATAAACCACTGGACTTACGACCAGGACCCCAAAATCATCCAAAATCCCTTTCTATTTCTAATCGCTCGCTAATACCCCTTAGTGATACAGAACCTAAACGGAACCCGGTTTTCTATTGGATCTATTCCCTTTAAGGTACTGGAAATCCTGAATTGTTGGAGAGTGCCCGAAACAAACGGAAACCAAAGATGTATAAATATATTATCTGGTTGGTGGTTTGGAACATGTTTATATTTTTCCATATATTGGGAATAGTAACCCCGGATGGCTTAACCACCAAGCAGTTATAGCCTACTGGAAACTACAGTAGCAGTTCGATGTGGAAAATCCACCGTTTGCAGATCATGTTCCAAGAGAAACCTCCATGGAATTCCAGATCCATGTTATGAATTGTTTACCTATGCTTACCTATGGATCCAGTCGTACCTTCTTAGGAAATCACTAAGTGGGACTGGGGTATAATTTACTATCATTTGGAGGCTTTTTTGTACCTTCTTGGATCCATAGGGTAGGGTAAGTATCTCCTAAATCTGGGGTTGAACATGGACAACATGATTTCCCTCAAAATTTGCGCTGGCCTTTCAACGCTTCAAGGAAGCTCCAGGGACTCAAAGACTATTTGAATTCCATCGGCACCGAAAAGACCTTGGTGGCTGCCGTGGATGGTTTCTGGATGGCGTGAAACCTGGGAAGTGGTAGTGAAAAACTGCGCTTTGTAAGGTTTTTTTTGGTTTTCTTTTAGACGTAATAGGAAAGTGAGTTTGGCAATGGTGGGTTGTCCATTGCCAATCGTCACAGGAGGGGCACTTCACAATCCATTCATCAGGATTTTGTAGATTCCATACTGCTGACCTCAACCTCAACCTCTGAAGCAAAATAAGCTGTTTGCCTTTTGGCAATCAAGGTAATCCAATCTGCCATATCCTGGCAACTGTTTTTTTTTCCGATTAGCGGTTATCAAATCGAGCGTCCGTAAATGTCCCGGCGAAAATGAAAAGCAACCAAAAGATCAGGATATACCACGCTACTGTTTCTTAAAATGAGGTAAACATTGTACACTGTTCGGGCATTCAGCCACAAAAGTTAGTCTGTACAAACCCATTAACTATAGTATATTAATGTATATTATAGTATACCAATGTATATACCATATAGTTATATGCCAAAAAAAATAGTTTACCTAAGTCCTAAGTTATTTGCGTCAACTTAGCTCGCATCTAGTGGGCCTCACTGCGCGCATCGCCTCCAGGTTTCGGCACGTGCCCGGAGCAACGAGGCGAGTTCGATCAGATGTCCATCCAGTGCATCGAAGAGGCGGGGGAAAGACAGGTCGCTTCTAGCTAGCTATACAATGACTGGTTGGTGGTTTCAATGGTTTACAATGGTTTAATGGTGATTAATGATGATTAATGGTGAGTAATCATGGTGATTAATGATAACATATATACTGCTTATGGTGGTTTGGAACATGACTTTTTTTTCCATTTCATATATGGGATGTATAATCCTTCCCATTGACGAACTCATATTTTTCAGAGGGGTAGGTCAACCACCAACCAGATAAGATATCCCATGTAAACAATTGTAAACCTATATATGGATCTTGTATGGTTTTGATGTGGATTTTCCATGATTGGTCCCAGTGGGCGATCTTTTGTTGGGGATTTGCATTTACACCATGATGTTTTCCCCATTGGTTTCTTCACCATTTTGACCCATGATTTGGGAAAACATGTGGAAAAACCAAGGTGTTTTCCCTGGCCAATCCCCCCAGGAGTTGACGCAGAAGCGCCAGCAGCTCGAGGAGCAGTTGCTCGCACGCCAGCCCGCTGAGAAGCGTCGCGAGGCACCGGGTCAAGCTATTGGGACACCGCAGCTGGTGATTTTTGCGACGTTGATGTATCTCAGAATCGGGAAAAACCAAAAGAAAAACGATAACACAAATCCCATTTGGGGGTTTGAAAAACATGTAAAACGTAAAACGCTGGTTTTTTAGTGTCGATGTTCATTTTGACCATGAAGTATGACACCTTCTCAGACTGAGCTGATCTCCAGTAAGCCGCTGCCAGGCCGAGCTAACAGGAATCCAGGCGTTGGTGGAGATCTGCGCGCAAAATCACCGCAGGGCTGAGGTGGAGCATGGCCAGGCGGGAGCACCAAGCTGGGCCGGCTGGTGACATATGGGCATGCATGTATGCATCTATGCATGTGTATATATATATATATACATATATCTCTGTGTGTGTATGTATGCATATATGTAAACATAATATATATATATATATATGTATGTGTTGATCACGTTTGGAATGTTCATATTGTAACCATCCATTTTTTGCGGTTCATGTATACACTTTCCAGGATGATGATGTTGAGCCAGACTCGTGTGAAAGGCAATGCTGATGCCCTTAGGGATTCTACAGGCCAAATGACAACAAAGAGGGAAGATTGCAGCAGGGATCCAAAAATCGAAAAGCAGGGACCCAACAGATTATATAGTGACTATAGTGCATGGTGTGGAGAAATAGTTGAGACAATTTACCTTGATGAAGTCGGAGTGTTTCAAGCAAGCATGCCCTTTGAATACATGGAGCGCATGGAGCCACAAGATAGGACCTCAATTATATATTCATTTGCGAATGATGTGGCTCCATTCTATATTCATATGGGTATGGATCAATACCTATTAATACCATTTTTAGTGGGATGAACATCCATTTACCAGCTATGTTGATCTTCACCAGGGGTACAAGGTTTTGACACACTGCCATATACCAGTCTATATTCTTGCTTTCTAGAGTGGAGGTAATGATTGGTAGGGCCAGTTGGGTTGCATTCGTAACAGTTTCTGTTAGGTGAAACTCACGGATTGGTGCACAAGGTCCAAGCCCCGCCAGTTATAAAAGGATTTATAATCCCATCTAACTATAGATATATTTTATATGTTATAACATGTTATAACTTTATATATGTTTATATCTCCCATGAATTACCTGAAGTCAACCTACTGGTTTCCACCAACTTCCTAGGGGGCACCCACTTCGCAGACGTTTTGCGATGTCGCCAGGTCGATGTCCAAGTGAAGGAAAAGACGCAGAGCACCAGAGGCCACAAGCTCCGACTAGGCGGCGGGACCTCATGAGCCCAGGTCCCCGTGTTGATGACGGTGAAGTGAAGAGGGATTAATGACATAATGGTTCACTTAATGGGGTTAACTATGGTTAACCTAAGAGGGATTATATCATGATTATAATGATGATTAATGGCATGGTTAACTTAATGGCCTAAGTCTGAGTAGTCTGAAGTTGAGACTTGAAGTCTTTGGGAGTTTGGGCCTCTGAAAGTTTGCATTTTTGTTTGCCATTCGGGATGGATAGATTGGATGGGCGGATAGATAATAGATAGACCTCTTAGTCTTAGACAAGTAGCATCGTGTTTCCCATGTTTTCCCAACTTTCTTTGGCAATTTTGTGGGGTTAGTGGCTGCGAGAGCAATCATGCTACGCCACCAAACAGAATTTGTTTCAGGCTACTATTGGTATCCAGGGTTGGCCAAGGCCAAAGTGGATGGATGGACAGACATGGAGGGTTACCCTCTGGTAAACTAACATAGCTATGGAAATTCACCATTTTTAATGGGAAAATCAACTGTAAATTGCCATTTTCAATAGCTACGTTAAATTACCAGAGGGTAATTTTCATTCATGTCTGTTCTTTCAGAAACAGTTTTTTTGGGCTTTTCGGGCTAAATCTTTGGGACGTACAGGTCTGTTTTTCACATCAATTGCCTTGCACTCCATAGCACTCGACGTGAGAGCCGAGAACAAAAATGCTCCTTTCACGAGTTCATAACTCCGCTGGGTTTCACTCGTTTCATTGTCCTTTGTTGTTCATTATTCTGGGTAAATTATAACGACCTCACTGTTCTCCCTCGCTGGAAATCATGGTTTTTATAGGGAAATCATCCCCAAATGGCCTTAAATCAGGTCAGTGAGATATTCTAATTTACCCAGATTATTGGGTGTCCCTTGATTGCAGTGGAAGATATCACGGAGGCACAAGAAAACGGGATCGCGCTGGCTTGATTTGGCCAGTGGTTTTGGTTGGGTTTGTCCAGAAATGAATAGAAATGGGGCATGCCCCAAGATTGATTTTGTTGGTAAGTTTTGTACGGTGTGGAAATATTTTGAAATTATGAATATATATGTATATAATTATATAATTATAATTATGATCAACCATCGGTTGTAGAGTAGTTAATAGCCTTATTTTTGAACTAATCCGAATCTGGTTTGTATGATTTTGAATTCCACCTCTAAGTATTTTAGAAGATTGTCACCAAATTGATGAGCTGCTGATATTGCATAGAAGTGAAGAATTGCGGTGGCGCTTCAATGAAGACTTGTTGCGGTAGGGCTTCAGTCCATCAACCCGAAGTCTTCCTGGAAAAAAATCCATGGGTGGCGAGGCAAAGCCGCCAAAGCGCTCGAGCAGTGCCTGGAGCAACTGAAAAGCCACGAGTCCGAGGTCGGCGATTTTTGAAGCCAAGGTGTTTTTTCTGTTTGGTCAAATCCCAATTTGCCAATTTTTAGTGGTTAAACTCGGTTAAACCATCATGCTTTCTTGGTGAAACAATGATATTACCTTTCTGTTTGTCAAACCACCATGTTTCATGGTTTATATCAGTTATATAGGCCCCTTCCGTTAGGTTTGTTAGTTTATAAAACCATGAGTTAGCTCGTTATTTCCCCCTAATCAACCCAACAGTTAACCAAGATATGTGCGAAAAAAAAAATTACCGTTTTGGGGGCTCACCTTGTGATAATGGTTAGGAGGGAGCGTTTTGGATCTAAGGGTATCCATATTTCTTGTTAGATGGGGAAGCTTTAACTCTACAAAGAGTTTGCCAACCACATGGGATGAGAATGGGGAAAGGCCATGGGAGCTGGGATCTCCGCTCCGATCGAGCGAAGGTGGCGAAGCTTCAGGAGGCTATGGCAGCAGTGGATGAACTCGTAGAGAAGGCCAAGTGCAGGCAGCATCCTGGCAGTTCTGGGCATGAAGGAAGACACGATAGAAATGGTGGGTTTACTGGGTAAATCGATGTAAATAATCCGAAACAATGATTAACAACGCGGATGGAAGTGGACAAGTTATTTGGCGAGCAAGGGAAGCCTGACCAGCCTCAAGAAAGATCAAATGTAGACTATAATGTGGGTCATTAAATGTCCCCATTGAACATCACCCAACCATTAGATATATGGTCTATAATGGCTACTATAAGGTGATGTCCAATATTCCCAAAATGGGACAGTTGCCAACCCCTGTATAATTATAGACTAGATATATTATATGGTGAGGAATTGGAGAAACAGCCTCAAATCAGATTAGGGAATGATTCTCAGATATTCTCATGTGTCCAGATGCTTGCTTCTGGCTGGTGAGAACAGATGTGTGCTTGGCGGCATAAATGGAGAAATACCTAAAATTGCACCAATAAAGACACATAATATGGTACTATAGCCTGTATTTACACAAAAAATACCAAGGAAAGTGCATATCTCCAAAATTGGGTCATGATGATACGAGTTCATATTCACAATACAAAAATCAACCAAGAAACACAATGTAATCCCCGAACTAATCCCATCCCCCTAATATTAAACATCCCCTAAATGGATCTAAATGGTCCCAATGAAATGGAATTTCCATGAAATGCCCTACAAAAACCATGGTTTCAAACAGGTGTGTTTCATAGGAAGGGACCCGCGCTCAGGGCAGCCACGGAAACCGCAGCTGCAGCTGAAGCAGCAGAGCCAGCTCCCGCAGCGCCCGCAGCTCCCACCACACCCGAGAAGTTCGTGGAGAATCTTGGCTCCAAGTGGTCCATGTTTCTACAGAAACTGGCTCCATAACCAGTTTTAAATGGGACTATACTCCTGTAACTGAGCTTATATATCATGATTATAACATATATTATATAACTGGCTATAGGGCCGTAAGTGTAAGGGGATTTCACCAGCAAAAGTGGTGGTCTTTTTACCAGGAAAACTGCTGGCTTCACCAATCTTAAGGGCGATGTCACGTTGATCGTTGTTATTTTTGGAAAGGCATATGCGACCTTTCCACTGGCAGGTGATGTTCTAGAATTTTGGGGTATTGATTTACCAGCCAATGGTAAGGAGACAAGTTGTTCTTTTCCTGTTTATTGTTGGTGTAAAATTTGACATATTCTGCAGCTGGTAGTTTTCGCTTCTAGGCCACTACATTCACTTCTAAAAGGTAAATCATCTATATTAAGGCCCATCACATGATGCATTACCAGAGGTTAGCCACTAACCAAACCCTTAGTCACTGAGGCAAACACGGGCCTCACCATGCTAGTGGATGGTGAAGGTTGATGTGATTAAAAAGTTGGAATAATGGGTCAGAACCTATGAAATCACCATATGGATGGGGTATTTGTTACATCCATAAAGCCGCACGGCTATGACTCGGGGTACCGTTTGGGCACCAGGATGCCCATGGCCACATCACAACCATCCTGGCCCCGGCCCAGGACGGTCAGCGAGGAGCCTTCCATGAAGCGGGCGCGAAGGGAATCCCAGGCGCCCAGAGATACGCCAAGGAGGGGAGACCATAGCAGTAGGTATTTTTAGATACCCTCTGGTAAACTAACATAACTATGGAAAATCACCATATTTAATGGGAAAAACCACTATACATGGCAATTTTCAATAGCTATGTTAGTTTACCAGAGGGTAATGATATGTATAATTATTTATAATGATATATTTTGTAAGGTTGTATATGCGTGTTACTTGTTTATATATGTATATATATATATATACATATGTGTGTGTGTGATTTTCAATATACCATAGGTTTGACTTTTGTAAAGATATGTTTGAATGCATGTGTATTTATAAAAAGGTTTGATAAGGTTTTTACATGCCTTTAGATTTTGATTACATTGTATTCTCAATTAGATGTTTAAAGCATCTATGATGTGTTTACTTAGATGCTTTTATGTGTTGTAGGTTTTTGTTGGGATTTGACATGATTCGGCCAAAGGATGCTAAAGGAACATGGCATTCCCCGCCAAAGTTGCTGGGTCAGTCGTAAGTTGGGATGCAAAGTGACAAAGCCGGGGTGTTTTGAGCAAACGAACTGGGGAAACTAGCAAAACATAGGATAACTTGTTGGTGGTTTCAAACATGGCTTTTATTTTCCATAATATATGGGACAATCCTTCCCATTGACTTTCATATTTTTCAAGATGGCTAAAACCACCAAGCAGATACGATATGATGTAAGATTACCATCTCGACTAGTTGGCGATTTTTAGTCTGACTAAAAGAGTCCCAAACCCAATTCAACTTCAACCCAAAAATACATTGGTTGCAAGCTGCTCCCGACTGCAGTTCCCGCAGTGAATGAGGGGAGACGATCACCAGACCTAGGGGAACACAGGTCCCCAACATATCTATATGTGTAATGCCAGCAGGAGTTAGCTTATAGATGCTGATTTCATCATTCCCCCAGTGAAACTGCATACAATGACCAAAAAAACAATCATGTTTCGCCATAGCATGGTATACTCCATTTTCAGACCCGGATTTTGACCAGCGGGGATGCACTTCAGCCCAGCATCTTTCGGTTTCCAGGTGGCCAGTCCAGCACGCATTCGCTGCTGAGCCCTGGGTGAAGCCAATCAAGTTTAGAGTTTAGAGTTCGAATGGTCGTGACGTGTAATTCGAAACACGGTTGCAACTCATCCTGGGTGCCTAGTGGGCCTAGTTATTCATTGAAGTTGAGAGGCCACACATTCACATCTAGTGATAGGATGTGAGATATGTGATCATCCATGATTTCCGGAAGATCTTCTGCTCCTTGGAGCAGTGCTGCGGCACCTTTGATGACAATGGATTTCTAGGGGTGTATGCGGGTGCAGCTTGCAATGCAGGCAGCAAATGCCTCCTAAGTACCCAGCTGGGTCTTGGAGATCTAGCTTTTGAACCAGGCAGTACTATATCTTTCATTGTGCCATGGCTGCCATGACCATGGCACTGGCGATGTCGTCCGACCCTGCATCAAATTCATTTGCTCTTCGGTCAGAAACCTCCGAACTGGCCAGCAAAAAGATTTCCGGCTGCGTGTGGTGAGGTGCCGTGGAGGGTGGAGCGGCCTCATGAGTGCAGAAGGAAGATTCAGCACATTTTAGAAAATACCCTCTGGTTCTTTAACATAGCCATGGAAAATGGCCCATTTATAGATGGTTTACCTATAAAAAATGGTGATTTTCCATGGCTATGTTGAATAACCAGATGGTATCCAATGACTCACTGACAATCACTGACCAGCGATTCTTTTCCCAATCTGGATCTCAACTCGAGACTGACTTTATCCGTGCGTCCCGGCGCAAAAAATGTATAAAAATGTATTGTTTGCGTCGTTTGTTCAAATCAACTCACGTTTCCAGAAATGCATCCATGATGTCATCCCCATGTCTCTGAAAATGAAGTATACCACCAAAATTGCATTTTTTGTTTTGTTTTTTTGTACCGAACTTGTATTAGCCACTGATCACGTTTAGACGACGAAAGAGAGAGAGAGAGAGGGGAAGGGACAGAGATATTCGTATATATATATATAGATACTTATAAATTTAATATGTAGAGAATGAAGGGATTTGCCGAGATTTTTTTGGGTGCCATTCTTGGACCAACCTATTTCTACATGATCCTAAGATGTTTTTTTCTGGGATGAGCTTCTGATCCTCAACCCCGGCCTCCTTTAAACAATGACGTTGGAAAGACGAATCATAGATCCATGATATACCGAGAATTGCCTTCAGATCTGGTTTGAGATTGCTATAAAAACATATAATAACATGTGATATGATGACCATAAACTATCGATGTCGGCATCTGTTTGCCCCACTCAGGGGGCTACAACGGATGCCTGTCTGCATTTGCAGTGTCGTGCGGCATCCTCAAAATCGCCGAATTTGGTCCGGAAACTTACAGTAAATATTTCTAAGTTTGGTTAGTAACGGATAGTATTATATTTTTATCTGTATGGAACTATATAAATATAAATGGTAATACATATCTGTTAGTATTTTATCTGTCCATATATGGCCATACACTCACTTTTTACCATTTGGAACTTCTTTCATGGCTGGCCAGGTTGGGTTGAACCATCCCCACAGGTTCCTCCTTTTGCCTTGAATATGCTGCACTGAAGATACCATGGCAAGGAGGAATGATAGTTTGGTAATTAGTACTTGATGCGAACACATGTGGGCAAGAAGGGTTCATTAATTCAGAGGAGCTATTTTGACAAGTCATCAGACCTTTTCATAAGTTGATCAACTAAGCTGCCAATCCATTTCAGAAGTTTCATCAGGGTTTCCGGGGGCCCCTCGGGCAGTTGGCGCTTGCTGACGGGATTTCAAAAATGCATCATCATGATGTGACAACTGGCAACAACATGGAATTCATTAGAATTCCATACATGGTTCCGTCATTGTTTTTTCCGACTGGTTTCCCCCTAATTATATAATAAGAATTACCATGAAATACCTCTCAAACAAACCCTGGTTTTAGCAATGCATCTATTTACTATACTATTGATTGGTTGCATCTATTTACTATTAACTATAGTACAATTTACTGTTAGTGATGACTATTCTAACTGTTGACACAAATCGTTTGATTGATCTATTGATCATTAGGCGAACGAACGATGAACCAGCTACTCATAGGAAAAAACCATCCAGCCCCTCCCTTCCTAAAGGACACGAGCTATTTCTATCATTTTAAAGGAGGTAATCCCGAAATTTTCTTGGGATGATCCTCCAAGTACCAGGATAACCTATCCCCAATAGGGTCAATCTCAATCGGATGATCCAAGGAAGAGATTGAAAGCGTCTTCGCCCGCATTGGCCAAGCATCAGTGCCACCTGGCGTTACGGGGAGAGCGTAACGGCGTAACGGCGCAGCGCGCGAGCAGTGGCCACTAGGGTAATACAGGTATATTGGGATATAATTTTGATATAATGGAATGATGCAACGAAATAATCTTTGAATTTGATATGACTTGATGTTATTATAGTATAATTCATAACTTAACGATATGATATAGTGGAATGATATAGGAATATAGTATGGGATATGAATCTTATTACTTTATGACCAAAAAATGACAATATTGTTGGGGTTGCCCCAAAAAAATTACGGATGGGCCACAAATTCATTGCCATTTTCTGCCATTTGAAAATAAAAAAAATTGGTTCTTGGACCTCAGCCTGGCTGAAACGCATTTCTGTAGGAGAGATTCCTGGATCGAATTTCTAGCCCGCCAGAACTTGTTTGTGGAAAATCTTAAGAAAATCCCAGCGCCATTGGATGCTACATACCATGGTTTCTCCGCTATATGTTCCTTTTAATCTGCACTCACATGATTTCAACAATCCGCGTTTGGTACTCCTATTGGTTTAGGACGGAAAACCATTGAACATCTGCAGGAAACCACAATTTTCCCATGGTCATTTGACCCAGCCTTTTGCGCGGTGAGGATATTTTTCTTAACCAATCCATTCATCAGATCCCCCTTTTGCGAGGAGATTCTCCAGGGAAGGGACTGGAGAAGGCCGGGTACAGAATTTGGGGTCGAGTTTTCCAGCCGGGCTTACTGTGGATGTGGTAGGTTTAAGGGGCCAATTCTTATAGATAACAGCTGTATAGAGTATAGAGAAGTGTTTGGTTTCAGATTTCATAAGCACAAAATTGCGGGGTTGCAGGCAAGCATCTTGAAGTCAACATGATGGACAATGGGTATGGGAGATCGATGTCATCTGGAGCACCTATCAGTAAATCGGGGCCAATCACGGAGGGTGGAATGCTGTCAGCTTATTGACCTGGAGCCAAAAGACTTTACCCTTTCGCATAGACGATGTAAGTCGGCGCTCAATGTCCAGTTTCAAAGGTGTAGTTTGTTTTGCAAGTTTACTTAGTTTACTTGGGCCCCTCCATTTACCCAGCGCATCACTTTGTGCGAGCATGCTTCATCTGATCGACACGCATGCTTTGCCGATGAGGATACGTTGGGCCTCAGAAGAACACACAGAGTCACAACATCAAGAATGATCATCATCATATTATAGAGCTGCCTTTACAGGCTGCACTTGGACAGCAGGCCCATGGTTGGCCAAAGACCTTTGAAATATTATCCAACTGGACGAACCCACCCTGGGGTTTCTTTACCGCTAGTTTTGACGACTAACTTTGCGTTTCTAACCCAGTTGTATCAGTTCTATGGTAAAATTCTTCCGTCTTCCGGGTCCAAATAGGTAGACCTGGGAAAATCACCAGTCATTTTCCGCGACTTGGGGCGCGGTCCAAAGCGACCGCCCGCGGTCCATGGTGAGATGCAGCGGCTGCTTGTCACCTGGCTGGTGGCTGATGCAGAGCTGCTGTCGGATGAACTCTTGCAGGACAGGGTGGCTGGCTGATGAAGTGTAAGATCCTCCTGGTTTCGGTTCGTGTCCCCACGTTGTGGAAAAAGGATTCGAATCTTGGTTAAAAGATGTTAAAAGCATCACAACTTGGGTAAGCATGTGCTCAGTATTCACCCCGTGATGAATGAAGATGTGCTGCCGGCAGTCACCCTCAACTCACCAGTCGAATCTCCACGGCCTGTTGTTCGTTGCAAGTTACAATTTCAACAACAATGTGATGTCCACTACTACTTAGCTATGTAGGTTAGTTTAGAATGTTTATGTATGTATAGTCCTGTAGGTGAATGGGGGTTTATGAAGGATATTGACCTATAGTTTTCTGGGCTTCTAAGCTAGCTTTTATAAGCTAGCTCACCCCTGGGGGGCACATTGGTTGTTCGCAGGAGCGTGCTGAAAACTCCATCGCAACATCCTTGCGAGACTTTTGGTTCCTGGGACTTTGGTGGTGTGGGAGTGGTGTCGATGTGGTCTCCATCAGCTTCGGCTTTTCGAGCTTCGAAGGGTAGAAAAACACGGCTAAACCATGGTGCCCCCGGCTCGGACAGGGAGACCTGATGGCGATAGAGAGAGAGAGAGAGGAAAAAGAAACATGGTAAACCCTTCAAGAAGAGCAGCATATACATGCAATTACATGCAATATAGAAATTTATACCATGTATACATACTATCATATACTATCTATCGTCCAAATACATGTGTCGCGATGTTTCCGCTTCATTGTCGGTGCTGTAAATTCGATCCAGCATGTGCAGGCCATTCATAGCCATTCTCTAAGGGAAACTATGGAGGTTTCATATCAAAACTATACCGTCGCTTTTGGTGGTTTCAAAATGTTTCAAATCAGTGTTTCCTTCCCTCAGGTGATTGATCCTAAATGACCATGTTTTCTCCTAGCATTCCACACCTCAAACCATCAGTTCAACATGGCTTGAAAGGGCCACGTTGCCGTTACTACTTGGTTTATTTGTGCATCATGAATCATGACCCATTGTGAGACTGCGCATTTCTATCATCAACCAGCCAGTGTATGGAAGGAATGTTTTGCGGGCTTTAAACATCATAAAGCAACTAGACATCTCCAATTGATACATTTAAACGTCATAAAACAACTTGAAATCTTCATTTTGAGTGGTTTAGTTTAATCATCTTCAATCCCCATTTTTGTTAATTTTTCAGTCCATGTCCGGGAGGACTAGTCCACCAGGTTTGCTTCCGCGGGTGGCTACACCCCCCTAGTACGACAGGAGCGATCTGGCCTGGCCTGGCTTCCAATGGAATGCTTCATGGGACTCTGAGAAACCCAGATGGTTAACCACCCTGTGCTGGGCTATATCCAATGCTTTGAACGGAACCAACGATTGCTAGCCGTCAATGGGTTGACTGCTTGCGGGATTCCCACAAAAAGAGTTGGATACCATCTTTCTTGGTTGAATCCCAACATTTCCATACATCTCCTTTTAACGGGGCCCAACCGTGGTAGGGTTTTGGTTCAGATTTTTTTAGGGTCACTCACCATTTTTTCCATGGTGAAATTCCCCTGGTGTTTCTTGGTGAAACGCCTCCAGGAGGACCTGGCGCCCCTCCTGACGGACCACCTCTCCGTGCGCCCCCTGAACGCCGCCTGGGAGCGCCCGCCGCGGCGCGAAGCGGGCGGGGCGGCCTGCGGCAACGGTGCGGCCGGGGGGGGGGAGGTGATTTTTTTTGGGGAAACTATAGGGATCTAACATGATTTAACCATCAACAATAGGGACTCAACTCATTTTTTGGGGGGACTCAAGTCTTTTTTTGGGATTGGCTGAGTCGATGAGTTTTGATGTGATGGGAAATCCGCAAGAAATGAGGGCTCTATAGGGAATGATGTTGTTTTTTTAATGTTGGGGGTAGTCTTTTAGCAAGTTCAGAGGGTCAACCAGCAACCGACCATTTGTAGATGGATTATATATCCAGTCCGGATATCAAATGGGACAATATCTACTCTACTAGTATAATTGTATCATATTATATCTCCATATCCATGTCGGATGGATTATAGCTGATTGTAGCCATAGCTGTTTCCATTTCTGGATAATGATATCAAAGGCTAAACACATTGTTTGCTTTCTTTTGTTGAGATTACTAAATGGCAATTGCAAAAGAAGTATTAATATATAATGAATTTCTGGATGGATTATAGCCATACCCTTTGACTTCTGGCATTTTTGGTAATAGATGGGTTTTCTGTATTTTCCACTCAAAGTTTTGCACTTGCCAGGCAAGGGATCAATGAAGCACCAAGATTTAGAATAGCTACAAACTGAAAGGGAAATAAACATCTCTATGAGATCCAATCAACCAGTAGATATTGTTTTTTGGTGATTCAGCCAACAACACCGGGGTATATAACCACCACAACTGGAGGTTTAATGGGACTTAGTATGAGGTAGACCAGCAAACAACCATTTGGGAATTCCATCAACTGCTGAACATGACTATAATTTTGGGAAAATTGGCGTCATGATTTTGCAAACGGGAGGTTTTCACCAGCCATCTACAGTATAAATAGATATATGAACGGATGTATTTAATCAGCAAAAAATTTGGGTTGAAACGAACCATACCGGAGATTTTTCATGGAGGTTGAATCTGATGATTTTGGACGGTTTGCTGAGTTTGGGATGACATGTCATGTAGTTGTGTATATTCGGTTCACGGTGAATGATGTGATTTTAGGATGAGTGATTTCTTTAAAGATGTTTTTTTAGATGAATTCAGGATTTAGGCACGAAATAGACATGTCTTGTGTTTGTGTTTCCTTGTGGCTCTTGGAGCGGAATCTTGTTTGATGATTTCGGAGATTGATAAGCGCAAACTTGCAGGCAGGTTTGTACTCGCAGCTCTCCAATTCAGGTTTTATTACCTTTATTGAATAGAAGGTCAAGAGTGAAATAAATTGATATGAACATATATGAACATATGAACTGACTCCATTGAAGATTCTTGTGTTCCCACTAGTTGGACCCTCCCTGTCGGTTGTATATCTATCGCTTTCCAAATTTCAAAATTACAGCCGCGAATGGGGGCTCCCAAGTGCTCCTATATCCCCCTTTTGGAACAACAACTCAAACCGATGGAACTTCTCAACAGTTGCCAACCACATCGTGTTTCTTTTCCCATGTGTTTATTTAGAAAAAATATGTCCTGTTGGTATATTTGCCCCCGCCGAATGCACATCGGCTTCGTTGGTTAACGAAATTAGTATATTATTAAATAATTATATAATCATTTATGATGTATATTCCTAGATGTCCAACCACACATTGATCCTTGTTTTTCAGGGGTATCGAAGGCTAAGCATGCTTTAAAGAGCCTCCTAGCTGGCAAGAGCTTCGTTCCAGGTGGCACTCGGACCCCGCGCTGTCCGCTGCCGGACCCTTCGCTGTGCATTGACCAACTCCTGCCATTGCTGTTCAAGGAAGTGAATCATGTGACTTGGACCACCTGGATGCCGCAGAGCCCTATTGAATCATGGTAGTTGGGTTTGTTTGAAAGTCGGGCACCCCAAAAAATAACCATGTGTGTTTTTTTAAAATCAGTTTTCAATTGAAATTGTCATTGTTTTTGGGATTTGGGGAAGCGAAGTCAGGGTGTGACTTGAGGCCATGGCTTTCATTCATGCACAAGTGCCTTGACAGCGGCGACTGGACCGTTTTGCTACAGGATGTGGTGATTTTGATGTAGTTTTACTATGTTTTTACTGTGGTTTTACTATGGTTTTAATTACTATGTTTTTACGATGTGTTTTACTATGTTCTACCATGTTTTACCATGTTTTACCATTGAAAACGCCATTGAAAACGGAGCTAAGGTCCCAGGGACGGTCAAAGAAGCAACTGCAGATATGAATAGCTAAACAGCCCACTCACCCAGAAAAAAACATTGAGTAGTTACCGTATCCATGTTTCCCTGAGTCAGTAGTTGCTTTGATTGCGGACCGCGTGGCAGCAAATTATATAATCGAAAAATTATGGACGCTGGGCTGCATACAAACATTCCTTGAATTCTGCTTGGAGAGTTGCAGGTTGCCAGGACGTGCCATGCAAGATAACCACAATGGAAAGATAGAACACGATGCCCATTGTGAATAGGAGATGGGCGCTTCTCCTTCATCAGTTCACTCAGTAGTACAGTATAGAGGTGTCCTAAAGCCTGGGCCCAAGATAATCCACACATAGTCACTTTCATGGAAACGCCAAAATATGTTTGGGTACCCCAAGTTTAATGAAAACCCAAAGATAGTTATATATCAAAAGTTATCAATGTAGTTGTGAAACTATCTTTTGGCCAACAATATTGGTTTCTTTTGAAGATTGGATACGCCATTCCATCCCATGGTTTTTAAAATCAAGTTCCCCGTTTAAGTTGTTATTCTTGATCTCCCCCGTTTTCAGACACACCCACCCAATTAACCATTAACCCATACGAATTATCTCACTACATCCCGGTCATATTCCATACAGTACATTGTTGGTTAAATCACTACATGGCAACAGTACTAAGTCCAAAGTTTTTCTTGTTTTTCATAACCCCGTCTAAATAGTTCGATATTTAGCAACCCAAAAAAAGATAGAAAATATGTCTATTAGAATAGTGAATAGTGATAATTTCCGCGCCGGCATCTTTAGTTCGATGAAATAGATGCACCAAAATCCAACACTTATTATTATTCATAGTTCTTAAATCTTGCGAATACTCCAAGTCTCTTCATGATATCATATTCGAAGCCAAAATAGCTGACAAAATTGAGAAAACATGGGAAACCATGGTTCGCATCTGTTCGCATCGCCTAAAAAAGTATACAGTATGGAGGTGAAATATCCCCAAGAGTTGGGTAATGAAAATTAGGATCTTCCATGTTTGATTACCAGAGGGTAAATGATTTTTCCATTTTTCCCAGGTCGAAGTCCTTGACGCTGCGGCGCAGATCACAGGCTGCCCGGCAGATGTAGCAAAGGATGGCGACAATCCAGCAGAACATCTGCAGAAGTTTGTTTTTTTTAGTGTGTAAAATCATGGGAAACCGGAAAATCCATGAAAGATCCATGAAAATCTGTAGGATTCATCATTTTTTATTGCTAAATCATAGGTGGAAGTTGGCTATGAAGGACTTGTCCACATTTGACGGAGCGGTTTGGTGCCTATTTTGACTAATCTCATATAGGAGGCTGATCCCAACTTCCAAGCGAAACCACCAGTAACTTCAGGAATCAATATAAGCTAGTTAGATCTAGCTAGTGGGTTCATTGACAAATTCATGGGGTAATGGACCATGGATACAAACATTAGTACACTCCATTCAATGGATCGATTGGCTTAAGGGACAATTGAAACCGGACCCCCCATTTGTTTCATGGGAAAATCTTTCGGTTTCCTGCAGTCTCCCAGGAACTTCCGAGGAATCCATCCTGCCTCCCTTGTTCGGCCGCGCGCATGCAGCGGCCAAAGCCTTGGAATCTCGGGTTGAGAATTCGTTTGGGGATTCCACTCATCTACATATTGGGGATTTTGACAATACATTAGTGGAATCCCTATGAACCAACCAGGACATAAAGAACATAAAGGCACAGTTCGTACGGATTTACTCTTCAAAATTATATATTTATATAATTATAACTATAATTATAATGATATATATATAATTATATAATTTAGTCTTAGTGTACAATATGTTTTAATGATTTGATGATTCTAGGATGCCAAGAATAAGGGAACTTACAGTAAGCAGCCAAAATGCGGGGACATAATCAACAAATTATGAATATTGATTTTTTAAGAACATTGGAAAAATGATTGGGTTTGCCGAGGGCCTTGCAATGCGACAAATTCCTCTTTACAGTATATGCATACCATGCGGGGGGATAATGACATGCACATGGCGATATATCTAATAATATAATATAACGTTGATAGAGTATGGGACATCATATGGGAACCCATTTCACTCACTTTACAAAGGAAAATCATGGGAAAGGAAATCATTCTGAAGTTGGCCGAGTTTCCGGTTTTTGGCAGATTTACTGTCTATAGTTTTGAACTCTTGGAATCTGAACCACAAAAATAAACATTGCATTGCTGTGATGTGTTCAACGTGGTGTGATTGCCTAGGCATCAACCCTTCCTTTGCGTTGGACTTGTTTCGTTGAGGTGGTTTGTCATACTTTGCCAGAAATATGAGCTCGAACCCTGCAATCTTGGGGTCTGCTTAAATGTACGTACTCTCTGGTAATCAAGCATGGCAATGGCAATGGACGATTCCCCATTTTTGGATGATTTTCCCAGTAAAATCTCGATTTATAGAAGGTTTCCGCTGCAATGTTTGATCACCGGAGGGTAAAGATGTTTCCTCGATGTATTTTATATAGAAGCTTCATTGACAAACCCCAAAACCTCCAAAGTTTCCCCTATAAAAACAGCGTTGTTTTTGCCAAAAGGACATGGTACTGGGTCTCTTCCTCGGTTTCTTCGAGCGAGTGGACTTCAACCCTGCCTTGGTTGCCTGGTTTTTTGGTGCTGGGCTGGGGGACTTAGGGGGTGAGGCAAAAAAATGCTGGAATCCACAGAGTAACAACCGAAAGGACATGGCTCGTGAACAACAAATCCAAGAAGTACAGGGTCAAAACGGTCAAAACGTCACAGAACCAACCACAACAAATCAGCACATGTATCTAGGAAAATAAATGTTCATGCTCCTGAAATTTCTGCTGGATTTGCCTATCTTCTTGCTATGTTTCATCATGTCATGGCCACACCCCAGCGCCCCTTAGGCAGCGTGTTTGACCACTTTGATGGGGCAGAAGATGAAGGATGCGGTGATGTTGGTCCTGGAAGATCGAAAGGTGACTGGAACGTCGGTTTATATTCGATATATCATGGGGAAACCCATGGAAACCCAGCAATAATAAACATCCCCGTGTATAGAGGTTGATTATTTGGTATAGCCCTAGTGCGGATGATGTATTTAAATTATATAGATATAAAATGACACCGAAATGGTTTGTGAATGGGATGGTTCATGGCATTGGTTTTACCACATGAATTATCATGAATTATTGGGGATATAACGGCGTATGAATGGGGCTTAAATTTATTAATAACAGTGGTGATATAATTCATGGACTAGTGGTGTTTTACCAGATGGTAGTCTGGCTGCATGGCAGCCACACACTTAATTTTTAGCGCGTTTGATCCCCAGTTCTAAGTTAGCTTATAAACCCCATTGGCTATATAACTACCATAAACCATAGATACCAACTATAAATTCCCACAAGTCTTGTTGGTGAAATACATTTTTTTAATAGACCTTGGTTAACTTACATGATGGTCAACGTTTGGGTTTATGGGTGAGTTGACAAGCTAGTTATATAATGGGTTTATAAACATACCAGTTCTAGTTCATAATCCCCATATATCCCCATAGATTCCCACGTGTGTTTATATTTCGATATTTTTCCATATATTTCCATATATGTCCATATGTTCTGCATCGTTGGAAGTTGGTTGGAAAGGACAATACATATGTAGTTGGCTGGGCGGGCGAAGAAGGCCGCCCGACGAAACACTGTTTTTGCGTTTTCATGTGTCTGGCGTCACAGCGGGAGCGCAGTTTTTGTAAACTTTGAGTATTTCGACTCCACGAAACGTATTTTTTTTGTTTTTATTTAGTGTTTTTCTTGCCTGCGGGGGGGCAATAACGTTCCTTGGCACGTACTTGATGCTATGCTCTGAGCTTTCTCAAGTAACTTCTAACACGTACTTGATGCTACGCTCTGACCAAGAAAACACCTTACAAAGTCTCCACTGAAGTAGTTTTTTTCGGAGCCCAAAAAAGGGAATGCAAAGATGATGAACTGCAGCTTTAAAACTACATGTTCATTTTGAATGGTCTGCGTGGTGATTGCAGTACTTTACCATTGATGAAAGTGCATCAAAGTTGACATGATGATGCACGAAACCATACGGCCATCTATCACCGCCGGACCATGTAGTTAGGAGTTGGTTAGAAGTTTCTTTATAAATCCCCATGTGTTTGCATATATTCCCATATAAATCCGAAGTAGTCGTCTCGTAGGTTAAATCCCCATCTCTCACACTTAAGTGATGTTAAGTCATTATTTTTCATAGTAAATCCCAATTTTCCCCAGTGAAATCCCTAGTGTTCGCCCTAAATTACCACCTCGCCATAGCAGATACAAGTCGGTTTATGAACCCCATTAACTATAGTTGTATATCCCCAATTACTAACATAATAAACCCAACAGTTAACCAAGAACCAAGTTACCATAGCCGTATCCTCTGCAGAGGGAAACAAACCATAGGGGAAACAACTATATATAATTATATATATATAGTTATTAGTTAATGCCTTTATGTCCTTGAGATCATGAGTTGGTTACATATTTCCCATATATCATAGAATTGTATGATGGGGAAATCTACAGGAAACCCCTGTATTTGATGGTAAAACCCATGGTTTCCCGTAGATTTTCCCTTGAACCAATCGAATGAACATAGTTCCCGTATATTTCCCATGGGTTGAAGTGAAGGGTCCCACCTCGCCATCCCCGAGATCATGAGCGTTCGCTTGGACGAGATGCGCTGGGAGCTCAGCGCCTTCGGACGTTTGGCGCATGCCAAGATGGGGTCCCAGTGGCACGCGGACACGGCCTTCTTCGTGGCGTCCAAGGTGCCAGGGTCCTGCACCCCTGGGGAAACCCTGGACTTGGATCACCCGAAAAAATGGCTTGTAACTTGGGATACGCTGGGAAAATGGATGATTTTCGATGAGAGAGAAGAGATAAATATGAAGAAGCATGATTTGCATGATTTACGATGAACAAAGGGGAGTTACCCAGAAAAACATGGGTTATAACTCAATTCATCCCCTTCACCGTCAGAAAACAACTATCCACCGGTCTTGGGGGGTGGGAGGATAGGCCATCATGGTTTGCGGTGGTCAGACAGAACTGGTGTGCTCTCTGGTGTTATCAAAGTATGGCAACCCCAAGATAGAAAAGTTGGAAACTGAACATATATGAGGTAAATATAGGCAAATGGCATCTATACCATCACGGAAACACTTTGCGGCATTTTTTGGGGGTTACTAGATATCAGTATAAACCACTACAACAACTACTTGCCGTGCTTTGCGATCATGGCACGAGTGGCTTGGTGTAGCCATGTAGCCACATACTGTTTCAGGGAGCGTACTGATCGTGGATCTGCACCATGGTATCCCAGATCGGCCAGGCTGAATGGGCCTTGTATCATTTGGTACGCTTGGATGGCTACTTCGCAGACCAATTGGGTCTGGGAATGGCTGTGGCGGTGGATGACGTCGATCAGTGGCCAGATGACCTCTTGCAACCTGTGGACGTTGCACCTTGGCTCCAAGATGCGTGTGGCTCCAAAAATTGACATAGGCAGTTGCAGGGATGGAAGGTAGACGTGGAGGTCCAACAGTATTCCAACTGTATTCTCAACTTGGTTCAACTATGTTCACCTATTCGGCCATGATGTATTGGGACACTTGTCCTCAAATTTTATGCATGTCATTTCATGACATCGCCGTGTGGCGAAATGGCAAACGCTTTAGTTTCGGGGAATCAAGGGCACGTACTGTATATATCTGTATATTTTGTACAATTATATGCACATTGGAATTACATTTATTCACCTTTGGGCATAAATCAATCTGTATATATATAATAATATATATATATATATACATGTGTGTGTGTGTGTGCGTGTGTCGCGCGCGTATAATTACGTATACTGATATGAAGTTTTAATAGTATGAGTTTTATACAACACTACAGGCTATAATATATATATATATACATATGTATATATATATATATGTAGTTTGATTATAGGCCTTGCTATCATCGATGCCAGCAGGACATTTCTTCCACAGCCTGGGACCTGGAGCTTCGCACAGCTTTGCACCTGGAAGGCGAATTTTGGCACCTGGACAAGGTGCGCGTAGAGGGCGAGGGCAGTGGCGGATGGTAGACCTACAAACTGCGTGGAAGTATAAAGAAGAAAGATACAGTAGAGGCTGAATCAACAGAAATTGGGCTGGAACCTCTAGATCTTCCATTTCACAGGACTAAACTTCACTAAACGTAACATTTGGAATGTGGTTGTGGGTGGTTCAAGAATGGCAAAGCCTTCCAAAAGGTGATATTGTTAGAGGAATTTGGGGGAACTGGAGATGGAATTTATGGAACTTGGGAATGACCAGAATCATCTAGAATCACCACATATGATCACAGTATCCACAAGAAATTGTGTTTTAAAATGGGCTCCCTCTCCAAGATGAGGGCCAGAGGGCGATACTCAATATACATGTGGGAGCCTACTTCTTCCGGATGGACGCTACACGAGTGCAAGCATGTAAAGGTGTTGGTTCTATGGAGTTCTATCCAGGCCTTTTTGAGGGGTGACCCCTGCATGGAGGTTTCCTACAATGAGGCTTACTCCCAAATCATCCAAAATAACACAATTTTAGTAGTAAAACTAAAACCTATGGTTTTGGGGATCCCTCATTTTAAGAAACCACCACCACATAGGCCCAAGTCCCAGAACGTGTCACGGTTGGCTGCGATTTGGAGCCGCCGAGCCAAATGCCCCAGGGTCTTCTGCGCTTTTTGCTACGCGAAGTCCTGGTGATGGATGAAGTGGCAGCTGTGATGATCTGGGGATCGTCGGGTGGTGTATCCCACTTTGCAACCAGCAGCTAGAATTTTTCTGAAAAAAAACTGGGTGCAAAGCAAGTGTGAATGGGGTACTGCGAAATTAAACCTTCTTTTGGTGAGAGGTTTCTTGAGCCATTTCTACGGAACCTTCCGCCCAACATCATTCAGCATCATTTTTGTCATGTTTTTTCAAGTGGGGGGACCGGCTTCATGATTGACCCCCAAACTATCACCAAGTGGGTTGATCATCTTGGAATCATCATTTAATAGTTTGCACTTGGACTCATTTGGAGGTGATCTGGGTCTCCAAGTCTTACAAGTCTTGAACATGTTGAGCCAAGTTAGGTCAAATTTTAGTCAGACACATGTTTTTGTCGATCAAATCCCTACGTCTTGTACTTTCATCACTTGAATTTTCTATGGTCACATTGCTAACATTAGTTCAGCGTACAAAAAAAACTTGCCCCAACAATCAAACACCTTGCCCCAGCCCAAGAAGTCCCAAGCCCCTTCAGTTCCAAGTCGCTTTCTAAACCCATTGTCAAATATCTCAACCATCAAAACCCCACAATTTTATACAATTTTTACCTAAGTTGCCCCAAATCCCCCCACTTTAGGTCTGCGACCTGGGTGCCTTCGGTGGCCACTACTCCCAGTGGCTCAACGACACCGGCCTCGTCACCGCCTACGCCTTCGATGGGGCCGAGGGCGTGGAGCGCCTCACGCAGGGCCGGGTGCGCCACGCGCGGCTGGAGGAAGCCATGGCGCTGCCGGAGAGCTGCAATGTGCCCTGGGCAAAAAACGAGGGAAACGGAGGAGTTCACCATGAAAAATTATGGAAAAACAGGAACAACCATGGTTTCACTATAAAATAGTGGGGAATGATGGGGAATGCAGATATGAGATTTTGTTAGGTAGATAGATAGATAGATAGACAGATAGATAGATAGATAAAGAGGATAGATAGGATAGATAGGATAGATAAAGAGGATAGATAGGATAGATAGGATAGATAGGATAGATAGGATAGATAGGATAGATAGACAGATAGATAGATAGATAGATAGTTAGATAGATAGATAGATAGGATAGTAGGATGGATAAGATAGGATAGGATAGGATAGGATAGGACAGGATGGATAGATAGATAGATAGGATAGTAGGATGGATAGGATGGATAGGATGGATAGGACGGATAGGATGGATAGGATGGATAGGATGGATAGGACGGATAGGATGGATAGGATGGATAGGATGGATAGGATGGATAGGATGGATAGGATGGATAGGATGGATAGGATAGATAGGATAGACAGGTACGAGTAGATAGATAGACAGACCGACAGATAGATAGATAGAGATGGGCTGGGATGGGATGGGCTGGGCTGGGATGGGAATGGTTGGTTATCAGTAGCTGTAATGATATGGTACCTTGGATTTGCAAACAAGTTGCGATTGTGATATCTGTCTGGTACTTAAATGGGAATGATGGAATGATTGGGAATGTTTTTGTTGTAAACTTCAATCATTTCGAGACACATGATACATTATATCATTATATATATATATATTATGGGGAATGGCCCCCTGCTAACAACAGTTGGGTCTGTCCAAAAAATGGTATATACCTCAAATGATCCCACATGGATGTTTGAATTGGAAAATCAGGTTGCAAAGTGTAGAATGAAACAAAATTGAGGTGCACTATTTTCAGACAAACCTGGATTGGATGATGGGAATTTTTGGAGAATTTTGGAAACCTCACGACTTAAATGGTTGAGGAGAAAATCGACTTACTTCATGTTTTGACATTTTGCTAAGCTTGCCTAGCTGGAAATGAGACCCGACAAACTGGAAAATGGCCATCAATGATGTTGGTCTGAAACCACACACAATACGGCCAGGAGGTATGATGATGGAAAGGATTAGTATATATCAAGGCAAAATGAGGGGGGGTGCAGCAACCAACAAAGATTTGGAGCTTTAGAATGCTTTAGACGGTTTAGCTGTAGGATGACTCTTCGAGTTGGTGGAGCGCCTACCTTTTGCATCCTTTTACCAAGGTAGTGCTTTGCTTGGAGGTGCTGGAGCACATTCCACGTCACCAGGAGTGAATTGGTGGATCCAGTGCCAAATCGTTGAGATTCTGTCCCGACGAGGGGATCCCAAAATGAACAGACGAGTGTTTAACCGGTTTTACGGTTGGGTCTTCAATAGGGGAAAGGATCAATTTAGGTTGATGTGTGATTGCATAAATTATTCCCAATCAAAAGTGTTCCTCCATATCCGCATTTCAGCAATAGAATTTGAAGCGCAGTTTACATGGATGTGCCCGTTCAAAAATAAGGTCCCAAAAAAATGCAAAATCGAATGATCGATCATCATGTCCCGATTTTCTACATGAACATTACAATTTCAGGTGTATCTCGTACTTCTATGTATTTCTGGACTAACCCAGATGTTGTTTGCAAGGGATTCTTCCAGTTTTAGCTGGTGCCGTCCCTGCCACCGGGCCCACCGAAGATGGGCCGAAATGATGACCCGATGTTTGCGATATGATAGAGTCATTATTTTGAACCAATTATAATTATAGTTTTCATTTTTATTTCTAACCAATGATTTCCGTTGCAAGTTGTAGCAACCCCAAGATTTGCCATGAATGAATTGGATTTTATCAATTTCCTCAACTTTCTTTGGTGTTGCCCTTCCAAGGTGCCCCTGCAGCCATCATTGGGTGTCACCGTTGGAGCCATTCCATGTCATGCCATTAGATCCCCATAACTTATATGCTTGGTTTTATAGGAGTTTTGCTGGTGAATGGAGTGAAATATCCAAGTTGTAGCCTTTTATAGATGGTTGCTTGGAACCAAGTTTTAAAGCTATACGCTCAATTCATTCCAACTAGCCATTTACACTTGCTTGTAATATAGTTATGCATACATATACATACTCCATCAATCATACCTATTGTCGTAAGCCCCCGTTAAAGACATGCGCTGCAAACCCCACGTTTGCCCGCATCGGATCCCGCATATCCTTTGACATGCTCAAATCCCTGCGCAGGGCTAGCATTGTTTTACATTGTCAAAACCTAAAACCCAAAAACCCTAAAAGCCTAAAAACCTAAACCTTAAATCCAAACCCTAATTCCTAAAAACCTAAAGTCAAAATCGCTGCGTATAGCCAGTATTTTCATTCATCCTTTGGTGACAAGTATATATAAGTATATGATATTGTTTGGGTCTGTTCTTTGGGTGTGGGCGAACGTGGGGTTTGGCGCCAAGTTGTTATGAACTATATTAACTGAGTATATATTCATTGATCTTTTGTTATATTTATATATATATATAATATAACTTACCTACGTTAATGGCGTCACAATACGGGGTATAATCAATGGGCCAATGGGCTTTTGAGCTTTTACGGTTTATAATCAGTATATGCATATATATATATAATATACAACTATATGGGTTGTCAATATGGATTATAATCAATGGCTTAAACCTCATGGGCTATATACAAATACATACAGTATTTTGTCATCCTGGAGTAGATAGAATATGGACAATTCCATATTCTACCACTTCAGGATGATTACACACATACATATATCATATTTATATATATACACACATATATATATATATTATACAACTAAATATAAAACTTAACTTTGGGGCTCCCAACTCAGCATTTCTACGGCCAGGAGCCCATGGCCCTGTGGAACCTGAAGCGTTTGGCTCCGCGGGTCCTCATCGCCTCCTGGGCGCCGCCCCACGTGCCCGGCCCGGGCCACGTGAATCCGCGCGAGAACGCGGAGGCCTGGCGGAGGCTCGAAGAGGTGCTCCTGGGAGATGGCCGGATTTTGGGGAAATCCCCCAGCGAAATACCCTCTGGTAATTTAACATAGCTATGGAAAATCACCATGTTTAATGGGAAAATCCACTATATATGGTCATTTTCAATAGCTATGTTAAATTACCAGAGGGTAAAGGTTTTTTATGTTTGTTTACTTTTTTGGGGGATGAGATCCTCTATATAAATGGGGGGAATGATGGATTTCGCATGGTTCTACATGTTGATCTTGAAACTCACTATCAGTCACTATCAATCTGGGGGGGCTTTTTCCCGTGTCGAATGGGCATTGCGTGTCAATATGATCTCCGCGGACCAACGAATTCGCGCACCAATATCATTCCTTCATTTGACGAGGCGAAATCCTTTCTCGATTGTTGATGTTGAAGGCATTGATTTAAGGAAAAATGTTCAGTGGAAACCATGGTTTTACCCCGCAATTGATCAGGGGATTCTGTAGATTTTTCATGATTTGTCCTCAACCTGTTCCACATATATATATATAGAAGGATAGGTTTCCAGACGAATTGCGGTCAGTCAGTAATCTCATCATGACTGAGGTTTTCTGTTGGACTTGGTGGAAGTTGCTTTGTCCACAAATCGCCTTTTCTTGCCCAGAAGTGGGTGTGTATGGAGAAAGCCAACCATAAGTGGGGACTAGTGCTCATATATCATCATATATCCAAGGATCCTAAGGAGCGCAGTTGAGGTTATTTGATTTGGGCCAACTATGCCGCAACGACCAAATTCCACCAAGATTATCATGTTTTGGATTGGGGCAAGACGGGGTACTGTATATAATCATTCCCAACATGGCGACCATTAAACCATTATGGAATTGTTCGGAAATACTATCATTCGGTTTTATCATTACTGCAAAAGGATTTGTCTACTCCAAAAAACTCAAAATGGGGTATATAATCATTCAGTTTTATTGTAGGTAATATGTTCATTTGACCAGATTGAGGGGTATATAACCTTTGTTTTTTTGGCCCGGTTGGATGGGATACAACACCAAAGGTCTTGCATGACCCTTGGACAATAAATATGGTTTTATCTGATCATTATCCAGTATCTATTTCATATCATGGCATGATCCATTATAAATATCATTGTTGCTGGATGATTTGTGATAAATGATTTGTTGATCGAACAAAAGTGGGAGTATCCAATATGATGCCGATCGAGAGAGAGAATATGAACATCATGAAATACAAGGTGAGGCCCCCCCAATTATGTTAGCTAAATTTTAACCCATTAACTATAGCCTACAGCTATACCCCCCTATAAACCCAAACATTAACCAAGTTAGAAGTCAACTGAACTATCAAAATTGAGCTACAAATCCCATGAAAACCCCTGTTTTTGTTGGTTAAATCACCATTTTCCAAGCCTTCCCAGCTTTTCATCCCACGGTAGGCCACGGGACTTGAACGACACCCGCAACTGAGCCAACGGGCCCAGGCCCGAGGGATGATTAGGGCCGGAACATGTTCCGGCCCTGGGAGCCACTGATTCTTAATTGAATGGAATTTGATGGGATTTAATAGGATTTTAATGGGTTCTTGATGGGATTATTCTGGGATTTAATGCGATTCTAATGGGACATATTGGAGATTCTAATGGGTTTGAACGGAGATATAAAGGAATTTTTTACGGGATATAATGGGAGGGATTTAAGTTGGGTTTAATGGGATTTAAGGAGGTTTAAGGGGGTTTAATGGGATTTAAAATTGTTTTGAATGGGATCTGAATTGGGTTTGATGGGATTTGTATATGGTGATTTTTTATGGGATTTACCAATCAACAATGGGAAGTCCAATCCGTGTTTGTAGCTAGGAAAATCATCGAACTAAATGAATGATTTTCCGGAAAACCATGTTTGAGTACGGGAGGTTATTAGGGGGAATTTATGCTGGATACAAGGTAAGGCCCCCAAACGATAGCTAAGTTGATGCACATAACTTGGTTAACTAGGGTGTATGGGTGACACATGTAAACTTAGTCGGCTTACGAACCAACCTGCCTTGTATATATAATATATTCATAGTTAGATGAGTTTATAAATCACCGTGAATCTACAAGTACAAGAACCAATATTCTCCTTTAGGACAAATAAAGGGGCTGATAAAAGGTACCATAAAGGTTGTCGAATGGGAGGGCGCATTTATTAAGAAACCAACCAGTGGGAAGAGGACATCTATCAACCATAGTTTTCCCCAATTAAATCTAAGTGTTTTCTGTAAAATGTTCCCTTAAACCAATCCAATGATTCAGTCGATGCCTCATGTGGTTTGACCTCAAACTGGTGTGGAGCCATGGCGTGCCCCAATCATGTCACGCAGTGATGTTCATTTGCATAAGGGGACGGTCCAGCCAACATATCATCATCTACAAGTCGATTTCAGTATGTGCAACCTCTGGATGCAACCTGCAATTTGAAACATAAATGATATATGCAAGGTGAGGCCACCCAGCGACGTCGCGTCCGTTTAAAATCCCTTTGGCCCATGAACTATAGCTATTTCCCCCTAATCAACCCAACACTTAACCATACTTAACCAAGTGATGTGCATCAACTGGTCATAGATCAGCTATAAATCCCATTAAATATACAGTATATAACTCCTGGGGGTACCTAGTGTAGCCAATATATAGCCTGTAAAGAGGGTACCCTAGTTACTGTTAGAGGAAACCCCTAAAACATACTGCATTAAATCCACATGTTTCTTGCTTGAATCACCATTCTTTTCACGGTGTCCGATGGTTTCGTGGCCATTGGGAGCCTCATTTTGGCCAGGAGCACAGCAGCATCCAATGGATCCGCGAATCGGTGGCCATTTTCAAAAGGGGCGACCGCGGCAGTCTTGGGAAGTGGGCCGTGGCTTCCATGGCAAAGTCTTACACCATTACCAGCCATCCATAGAGGATTTCTGTTTTTTAGAGGAAAAAATAGAGGAATTCTCCTATTTTCATTATCTACTCTATTTATGGAGGATTTCAACATTTTAAAACCACCCATGTCAAGAGGATGTTCCCATTAATTCCACCATTTCTAGAATTGGTGTCCATTAAATCCACTATTTCAAGAGGATGTTCCATAGCTTTAATTCAAACTACCGGCGGTTGTCAGATTGGATGCTCGTTGCCGTGGTGGCAGGTCACTTCTGCTCCGTTCACCTCGGTTCACCCTACCTGGCACAGCTGGCAAAGCGACAGCTGCAAGGCTACACCTTGCGAAAGCACCGCAGGGTTGCCCAGGGCTTGGGTCTGTTTGAAAATTCGGTACTATGTGGGATGAAAAGGTGGGAAGGCTTGGAAAATTATGATTTAACCAACAAAAATGGGGATTCCATGGGATTTATAGCTGAATTAGCTTAATTATGATAGTTCAGTTGGCGCACTTATCTTGGTCATGCTTTGGGTTAAGGGCCATCCCTCCTACCTTAATGAAATTATTTCAGGGGGGGGTTACCCTCCAAAATATTTTTTCAAAATAATTTCAAAAATCTAACATGTTGGATGTATAGATTTATAGGCTCTAACCATCACCAAAATATCACAAAAATTTGGAACCCCCCTCCCCCGAACTCCCCCCCTGGCAAAAACATGCCAAAACTAACCAGTGGTAAGTGACACATAGAGGTAGGAATCTAACATGTATCTGATAAGCATCTAATAGGTATCTATTAGGAACTAGTTATTTTGGCAAAAAATAGTGTGCAAATAGTGTCCAATAACGCCTAATTAGTGTTCCAAAATTCAATGTTTCCAGTAGTGTGCCACAATGGGAACCTGCCAGGGCCTCGGCGGCTCAAATTTGAAGCCCAGCAATCAGGTTAGAAAAAATGGCAGATCCAATGCTGTAAATAGTTTACTTCCTGTCAAACTATATAATTTAATTCTTGGAATGTAACACACATGATGTAGGACCATGTATGATTATGTATGTAGGACCACGCCCATGTATGAAATCAAAACCCGTTTCCACATGATTCCAATTTCGTGGATTTATGGGTTTGGGGCTTATTGGGAACTATTTGCTAGGGGGGGTGGTTGTTTTACATGGAAATTTATAGGTAAAATGGAGGTCGACCCACATTCCACAGCAAAATTTTCAATTTTGGTGGATTTGCGGGTTTGGGGCTTATTGGGAACTATTTGCTAGGAAGGGGGTTGTTTTACATGGAAATTTACAGGTAAAATGGAGGTCGACGAACATTCCACAGCAAAATTTTCAAGCGGGTTTGGGGCTTATTGGGAACTATTTGCTAGGGGGGGTTGTTTTACATGGAAAGTTACATGTAAAATGGAGGTCGACCCACATTCCACAGCAAAATTTTCAATTTTGGTGGATTTGTGGGTTGGGGCTTATTGGGAACTATTTGCTGGGGGGGGTTGTTTTACATAGAAATTTACAGGTAAAATGGAAGTCAAATCATGTTCCGCGTCGGGGATCTGCAGTTTTGGTGGGTTTGCGGTGGGGCTCGTTGTTTTGAGTTGGTGGTTGCGGGTGGGAAGCGGGGGGTTGGCCCGGCTGCTGTTCCTGAGCTTTTTTGTTTTTCATTCAAAACACCATTCAAAATACAATTTTATCTTTTTCATTTTTAAACTGTTTATAACGGTGTGCCAATCACTTGGCGAAGCCACGACAGTGCCGGAATCTGAATTTGGGAGCCCGGTTTCGTCGCGAGACTGCTGAGCAGAAGCGCGAAAAGGAAAGAGACATTATTTGTGCAGTGGGAGCTTATTGGGAACTTCTTGCTAGGGGGGGGTTCAAGGGGGGGGTTTGAGCATCTGTGAAAATAATTTCTAGTTGGAAATTATTTTAATGGGTTACCCCCCCTCAAAATAATTTTGACGAAAACACTCTCACAGCAAAAATTTATTTCAAAATAATTTTGTTGTTTGACCTTGTTTTGATCCGATGGCATATTCCACCTTTGGATGAAGGAATGTCGTACACTCAAGTTTCTGCACAAAGGATCTTGGAGATGCCCTGCGTTCCTCAAAAATCAAAGTGGGAAGCTGCCAGAACCATCCAACTCGCCCATAAACTGGAAACAAATGAAACACCTATCAAAACCGAACGCTTCCCAAAAAAGAGTTCTTTGGAGGGAAATATGGGAGAAATAAGAGGAAATATGAGAGGTTAGGAAAATCACTACAGGAAAGGGCCAGGTTGAATACTATTTTGTGGTATTTCCCACAGGGAGAAATTATTTTAGGGGTATTGGAGATACCCTGCCCTCCTCAAAAACCAAAGTGAGCAGCTGCCAGAACCATCCAACTCGCCCATAAACTGGAAAAAAATGAAAAACCTATCAAAACCGAACGCTTCCCAAAAAAAAGTTCTTTGAAGGGAAATGAAGGGAGAAGGGAAATGAAGGGAATATGGGAGAAAGAGGCAAAAACATGAAAGGCTAGAAAAACCACTATAGCAAAGAGCTAAGTTGAATACCATTTTGTGCGATTTCCCAAGGGGAGAAATTATTCTAGGGGTATTGGAGATGCCTTGCACTTCCCAAAATTCAAAGTGAGCAGCTGCCAGAACCATCCAACTCGCCCATAAACTGGAAACAATTGAACAATCTATCAAAACCGATCGCTTCCCGAAAAAAGAGTTCTTTGGAGGAAATGAGGGGAATATGGGAGACATGAGGGGAAATATGACAGGTTAGGAAATTCACTACAGGAAAGGAATACTATTTTGTGGGATTTCCCAAGCGGAGAAATTATTTTAGGGGTATTGGAGATACCCTGCACTCATCAAAAATCAAAGTGAGCAGCTGCCAGAACCATCCAACTCGCCCAGAAATTGGAAAAAATGAAAAACCTATCAAAACCGAACGCTTCCCAAAAAAGAGTTTTTTGGAGGGAAATGAAGGGAATATGGGACAAATAATGGGAAATATGACAGGTTAGGAAAATCACTGCAGGAAAAGGCCGGGTTGAATACCATTCCGTCGGATTTCCCAAGGGGAGAAATTATTCTAGGGGTATTGGAGATACCCTGCGCTCATCAAAAATCAAAGTGAGCAGCTGCCAGCTGAAAAAAAACTATAAACACCGAATGCTTTCCCTTTCACACTCATTCCCACCGAGTGTTCTTTGGAAGGAAATGAAGGGAATGTGAGAGAAACGTGGGGAAGTATGAAAAAAATGGAAATATGTAGGAAAGAGCCAGTGGTGAAGATGATGGTTGAACATCATTTTGCGGGAATCCCCAAGGGGATTTGTTTTTTCTCTTTTTTTGTTCAACCATTTAAAATTTATATGGAATTATTTCAAAACATAGTTATTCCAGGGTATATTGAAGGCTTAGATTATAACACGCATATTCCAATATGCACATCCGTAGGCCCACTGCTTAGGAAAATTACTCAACAACATGTTTTCTTTAAACATATTCCAAAACCTGGTTGATATCCCGGCGTTTTTCTTGAAGGGATGGAATATCCCCGGTACACCTGCGAAGGCGATCATGTCAGGTAAGGGGGGGGTCCCAAAGTATACATATGTAAAGATTGGAGTCTCCGGAGGGGGGCAAAATAATTAACTCCCCAGGGCCTGGGTTGAAATAATTTCTATGAAGGTTCTGTCGATGAAGGGGAGGGGGGGGTCTATCGTAAGAAATTATTTTGCCCTAAAGAGGGTTGTTTCGTATAACAACCGAAGACACTATCAACCCCCTGAAAATAATTTTGGAAATTATTTTGAGGGGGGAGGGGGGGTAGTTAAGGTAGGGTAGATTAAGGGCCAATGGGGGATATAACTATACAGAGTCACTAGAATCAATGGGTTCAGGTACACAAGGCCAGCTCCTTCTACTTGTTCGACTCACAGTCGGCAGTCGGGATACGAAAATGTGTCCGCGAAGTCGGTTCCATCCACGGGCTAGTGGATCCACTTGATCCACTTGTTTGGCTGTTTGGACTGATGGAACTTCCCCAGGAGTTCTTTGCAGTGAAACGCTGGAAAAGGATGTTTCAGTCAGTGGGTCTGCAGAGGGACAAGGGTCTACATGGGTCTACTGCTCAATCTGCTGGGCGTGGGTCCGCAGCCGTCAGCAGCTGAAGCAGCACCAGGAGACAAACTCACGCTGTCGCAGCTTGCAAGGACACAGCCCGGCCAAAATCACTTGCTATGTGTGCGGTAAGCGAGTGACAGCGCAGCGCTGGGCTGTCGAGCAGCACTCGTGGAGCTGCGGTGCAAATGGCGATGTGGAGAGGGTCCTCGGAGATCAGCAGGTCGAAGAGGCGGCATCCTCATCCAATCCCAAGACTTGGCCAGACCGCAGCAACAGCAGGGTGCGGCTTCAGTCTGTCATGGTGGTTCAACAGCACGCGCAAGCAGGCGAAACCTTCTTGCACCAAACAACGGATGGTTTACGGATTTTAAAAGACCTGCAATTTTTATGGGGATATAGTGAGAACATTTCTTGTTAAATGGGATATAATATACGCATAAGCTCAAGCTTACGGCTGATATACAACTTATACAATAATTAAGATTGGGAACCACGGAAGTCGGGTACAGCGGAACCGTTAGATAAGAACCGATTTCAAAAAATCCAGCCTACCCTGGGGTTCTTAAGTGCTATAAGTGGAAAATATTGGAATATATTGGAATTATGAACGAGGGCACCCTCAAGTTCTTAATGGATTAGTTCTTGAGGGGTTCATATTGTGATGGTTTTGCCAATTCATTTTGGCGTGGTATTAGTATTAGGTTGCAAAGGAGGCGGGGGGAAGAAAGACACTTTTGAGGCCCCAAAAGTTTTTTCAGGTTCAGGCATTCCAAACAGAGCTATAGGCCAGATATTCCACCATGCCAGGGCTTGAAAGTTGATTTTGGCGTGGTATTAGGTTGCCAAGGAGGCGGGGGGAAGAAAAAAAACAATTAGGCCCCGAAAAGTTTTTTTCAGCATTCCAAGAAGGCAGCACAGGCAAGGCAAGCCAAGACAAGCCAACACAAGCCAAGGGCTGCCTCCGAGGTCAGATGACCTTCTTCAGTGAGTCATTAGCCGACAGAAAGGGTTGGATCCAGCAATCCAGCCCCTGAAGTTCTTATTGCAGTAGGTTCTTAAAAAGTGGTTTCACCGTGCCCAATTTTCAGATCCCAGACGGGCATTAGTTTGTGGAAGGTTCAACTTTGCGAAGACTAGAGGGGGAATTGCTGTTTCCCAAGAGGTCGATGGAAGTTTTTAGGATTCTAGGGTTTTCTGTGATGTTTCACCTTCAAACTGAAGAGCCACCAGTCATTTCACAGTCTCATTTCAGTGTCTAAGACTCATTCTAACGTTAATATCAACCTAGTTGTTCTTGGTCATAGTGTCAATCAATCTCCGGATTGTTGTTTGGGCGAAGCTCATGATTTACACTCTCGTATGCATTGCAACAATCTGCAACACACACACACGTATACAATTACGCATTTGGATACATAACTGTACATATACATTTATGGATGCATTTTGAAACATATAGATATTGAGAAACATAGATGAATCGATAGATGTATCGATAGATAGATAGATTTGATTTGATTTGATTTGGCTTGATTTAGATTGGATTGGATTGGACTGGATTAGATAGAAAGATAGATAGATAGATAGCTAGATCGATGGACAGATAAATAGATAGCCAGGTAGCTAGGTGAGAATATAACAGGATAAGAAACTCCAAAGTTAAAACATGTAAAAGGATGATAAAGCAAGAATAGACCTCGATAAGAAGATAGCTAGAAAAGAAGATAGCTACACAAGAATATAGCTAGATAGCTTGATAGCCGGGTAGCTGGATGAAGAGGTAGATAGTTTGATAGCTGGGTAGCTGGGTGAAAAGATAGAGAGAGAGATAGATAGATAGATGGATAGATGGATAGATGGAAAGATGGATAGATGGAAAGATAGATAGATGGATAGATGGATAGATGGATGGATAGATGGATAGATGGATAGATGGATAGATGGAAAGATGGATAGATGGATAGATGGATAGATGGATGGATAGATGAAAAGATGGATAGATGGATAGATGAATAGATAGATGGATAGATGGATAGATGGATAGATGGATAGACGGATAGACGGATAGACGGATAGATAGGTAGATAGATAGATGGAAGGATGGATGGATGGATAGATGGATGGATGGATAGATAGATAGATAGATACAGAGAGAGCGCGCGAGAGAGAGAGAGAGGAAGCAAAAACAATACATACCGTATACAGTATTCTGTATCTAATGCCTACATTCGATATGTATATCAGTAGATGTGCATGTTTGCTAAAAAGAATGGCGAGAGTTCCATAGGTGCGTCTGAACATGTATACCGATAGGATGGCCATTTTGATAAGGAACATCATAAACCATGGCTTTAGGGTCACCATGGGCCATCCTATTTTCAGGCAAACTCAGATGTACCTACTTGTGCTTAGTATGTAATGAGGGAATGATCCACAATAACTATCAATAAAAATCCTATTCCACCATTCCCATCCATTCCCTACTAAGCACCAGTAAGTATTCTCTGAGAGATACCACCTTCCTTAGGTCTCCATCTCACAGCCAGCGATGCAACCGGCTGTGCCACTTTGTTCATCGGCAACCTCTCGTGACCCGGGGCCACTGGGAGGAGGGATATGCCGTGGGGCCAAACATCGTTTGCGAAGTTGGCGTCAAGAAATCCAAGAACTGTCGGGTTTATGGCAGATAATAACGGATAATAAATATAGTTAAGTGGGTTTAACATTTTTTTCATTGGGGGCACCACCCGTAGAATTAGATTTGGGATCCTAGAGTCAATACCAACTTGTTTGAAAATAGGATGCCCGAAAATTAACGGTTTATCGTAGTTTTCTCATTGAATGGTAATTTTGGAGGCATGCCACATTTTCAGAGGCATCCTCCTGTAAGCCCAAGTTTGGATGTATAATAGTATAATATTATTGTGAGCAAATGGAAGGATATGAAGAGATTTAGGTACCAGCGCTGTTTTTCTTATTTGCCACATTAGAAGTAGGGCACCTGTAGATGTGGGCGTAGAATATGCCAACAGCGCGGGAATCGCTGAAGCACCGATATCACCAAGTGGGGAAGCGTCAAAAGCTGCCTCTAATCAGCTTGGCAAATCCTCCAATGGTCAGCGGCGCATCAACAACCAACGGGACCAACGGGTTGATTTGGCTGACAGATAACTTCACATACCTCAGAGGGCGACGTCTGCAGAAGGTGGCCCAGAAAGGCCGAACATTTCTGATAATTCAACCCTAGATAGATGTACTTTTCCCACGTCTTGGTTCGGAACTCATAGGCAAAGGAAATAAACCCATCAAACCAAGATATTTTTCACCATACGTCCAATTTATAAAGTTTATCTTCCAATATATGGGGATCATGGCCGTTGTTGCATCCATCAAATCTTACCTCAAATCTTACCTCAACACCAAGTATCGTGGTGGGGAACTTTTGGGCCTATGTACCGCGGTTGTTTTCAATTATTTCCTATAGGGAAAATTGAGATTTCGGAGAAAAGTTGCAAAAACCCAAGGACTAAACAATCAAAAGATCTAAAGCTACAACATACGGGTTCTAGCCCAGCACCGGTCGAACCACACATCGGACCTAAAGTTCCCTCAGTATCTCAGCACCCGCAGCCACAGGTACCAGGCAACTGAGGCGAGTCTGCTGGATCTCTTTTCAACCGCCGGATCGGTGGCGGACATTCGCATCGTGCGCGAGGGCTCGGATGGCCAAAGCTGTTTCGGGCGCCTGGGATGGAGATGGGGCTTGGCCGGGTGGGGAAATGGAGGATATTACCCTTTGGTAGTTTGACATCGCTATTCAAAATGGCATGTTTATAGATAGATTATAGACAAATAGACGTATAGCCTTGATTTACCTATTAAACATGGTCGGTGTGTTCTTATTGCTATGTCAAATTACCAGAGGGTAATGGGGATTTCACCATTCAACATGGGATTAAGCCGATGAAACATTTTTACAGCGAACGGCGAACCATTTTATGTGGATTTTATCGGTATCTGGATCCAATGGGATATTTCATTGGATATTTCATGGTATTGCTTTGGGAATTACCCTCTGGTTATTTAGCATAGCCATGGAAAATGGCCCATTTATAGATGGTTTACCTATTAACAATGGTGATTTTCCATGGCTATGTTAAATAACCAGATGGTATACAAACCGCCCGTTTGATGGGGATTTACGAGGAACTATGGATATCTATTTTATTAAAACAGCCATTTTGAGCAGTGGCTACAAGACTGAAAAACCAGTGGTGATGCTAGAAAACCCTGTGTGCGCAGATGAGTCAGTTTTGTTTGCACAGATGATGTCCCTACCAGCAGGGAATCAGGTTTTTAACCAACGGGAGAGAGAAAATTAGAATCCATGTCTTATCCCCCAAGTTAACAGGTGGGACTGCCATAAGTTAGGTCGAACTGTTCTATAAGGGGTCCAACAGCTGTTCATTGCGTGGATGGTATGTATAACCAATTTTAATCATCTATAAATTTATTTGCATGTATGTGGGCAACATGTCGCGACCTCACCTCGGTGGTTAGTAAGAGGGAAGCACCCCATAGATTGTTTATTTCCAAAGACTAACGGGAATGGAGTTGAAAAATATGGAATGCGGGTCTTGGACCCAGGGCTAGAGCGCCATTTGCAACCTTCCATCGTAGCTGGGATCCGGTGGCATGATTTCCTGTTGGTTGATGATGGTACGGGGTTAGAGTACCCTGCATATCATATGTTTAGGATTGTCATCGTGCACTATGGGAATCCTGTTCTTAAGCAAGCAATGACGACGCTTTGAACACTGCTCACTTGAACGTCGGACTGATGGATCCTTCTAAGGTTCATTCAACGCTGACCTCAGTAGGATGCAAAAACCCCTTGGATATCCTTGGGTCCCCTTGCGCAACGTTCTTTTTGAAAAGACCACGACCTGCAGCAGAACAAAAACAATGTTTGTTGGTTCTTCATCCTCTCCATGGATCACTCCTGGGCCTTCAGTTTAGCAAGTTCATCATCGGCAGCCAACCCGCCCCTAAGGCGACCCACCAACAATAGGGGCTTATTGAGGGCGAACCTTAACCACCAACAACTAGTGGTAAGTACGAATCTTAACCATCTATCTTTTTGGGGGTTACCATTGGCGGGTGTTGGCTCAATCCCCATGAACCTTTACCAGTATCGACATATGTACCATGCCCGGAGTTAGCCTGGGCCCCTTGCTATACCGTTCCAGCGAGTTGGCTATGGATCAGTACCTTAACTACCATTTTTGGGGACCAACATCCATTTACTGTACCAGCTTTATATATTGATGTTAAGTAGGATATTCCATGGCCTGTGGCCAGAAAAAACTTAACTGACGTCCGCTGAGTTTCGTGGACTTTTGCAACCAGTTGGACAGTGCGAAGGCAGCTGCCAGCTGCCACTGATGCTGGAGGTTATGGAGGTTTACTTGTGTATCTTGTTGCGGGGTTGAAAAAAGGTGGATCACAAAGCCACCATCGGTTTCAACACTAAAATTCATGTTTTAAGCTTAGACGACATCTGGGGTACCGGGTACCCCCATTTTAGGAAACCACCCATTATAGAAAAGACAACTCTATTCGTATATGGAGATATGCTGCATATTGATATGTTATTTTTCCCGGAGAAGGAGAGAGAGAGAGAGAGAGAGAGAGAGATCATGTATATTGTGTTTTAGGTATGTAGTCAAGTCCGCGAGATCTCCGTTCTTTCTTTTCATCGCTAAATCTATTTCGATTATCTTCAATCTCCATATGGGGCGTTCCATGGGTTTCCATGAATGGGGGCGCCTCAATAGCTAAGTGGTTTGTAATGGACAATCCCACAATAAATAAGTAATTTGGAGGTATCCCATTATTAACCATTATTAATCATTAATCACCATTATTAAACATTAATCATTTAATCCCTTGTTTTTTAATAATAGGAAACCCCGTTTGCTTTTTTCGAATGAAATGCCATGAGCTTGCCACTCCAGGCTTTGGAACAGCTCCAAGGGGTATCTCACATGGGTACCTTGGTTTGAGCCGACCGGGTAGGGGGCGCTGGCTTTTTGTGGAGCTGTGGGTAGGTTCAAACCTTGGTAGATGATGAATCATGATGAATCCCCTTATTTATATATATATATACATGTTTGAATAGGTTTATAGATAGCAACTCCCCAGAAGATAGAACAATAACAAATAACAACAGCTGCTAAAATGGTAACAAACTAGTTTTCTATCTTTTGGGGTGGTTACTGTGCGGTTTTACCCCCCATGGTCATTATATATCATTAAATCCACATATCCACCATGTATATCAGGCTAGGTGATTCCTACAAGGTGAAGCCCCCCAATTATAAGTTGGTTTAAAACCATGAACTCTTGCTATATCACATCATAACTTCATAACCTCTACTTTACCAAGTTCTGAGTCGACTTAGCTACCAAGAGGGCCTCACCTTGTCCTTTCAAGTTTTCGAAGATCCATTCTCCCTTTTCCAGCATCATGGCCCTTCCAAGTTCTAGGACCCAAAATGGCTCCTTGCTCCTTTTGCCAGGCAGACCCTTGCGTTTGGACGAAGAGAGGGTAGCATCTTGGAGCGCTTCAAGCAGTTTGTATAGTCCAAGAAGTGGGAAAAGGATGAACACATGGGAACCTCCCATTCTTGATGGTAAACATCAGTGCCTTCAACCAGCTACGCAGGAAAAGTGAGGGAATATTTACATATATATATATATGTATAGAGAGAGAGGTACATATAGATCGAGATTGAGATATAGCTATAGATATTGGATTCAAGATAGATAGATAGATGGATGGATAGATAGATAGATAGATAGACAGATAGGTAGGTAGGTAATAATAGGCAGATAGGCAAATAGGTAAATATGCAAATATATAGGTAGATACGTAGATAGATATACATGATATACATGATATACATAATATACATGGTATACACGGTATACATGATATAACATGGTATACATCATATACATATACATGTACACACACATACATACATACATACATACATATATATATATATGCGGTCTAGTCCTTGCAATCTCCCACCATCCTGACGTCCCAGGAACGTGTGCTCAGCCGCTGCCCTCCTAAGCGGGACGGCCCTTGGGAGGCCGCTGGAATTTTCAGCACAAAAGGTCCAAGGCATGGGCCTGACCCTCGAAGCTTGGGCGGTCAGGGCTGCTCTTTTTTAAGGTCAGTCCTTGGGGTGGCGTCATCAGTGAGGGGTTCCAAAGCTCACAGGGTTCCATGTCACCATTGATATTTGAGTTAAGGAAACATGTACATGTGAACATCTGTATGAAGCTCCGATGAAATGTGGGGGTAAGCCCTGTCATTCTTCCCCTGAAACCTATCCACTGATTCAAGGATTTGTTGGCTGGCAGGCGTGCTACTCGTATGGCCAGTTGGTTGTGCCGTGTGGGTTGTTGTAGAAGGTGTACCATGCTGCATAGGGCTTAAAGGTGGCATATGTAATGTGTTTGGGTGTGTATGGTGGTTGGTTGTATAGCGTGATTGGATTTAGAGCGCGTTGGGCCGCAAAAATGTGCCAGATGTTTAGCGTGATGTGTGGTCAAGTTAAATGCCAATGGCTTTCAGTGATAGTCTAGAGTCATGTTTTTCCTGCACTTGTTGCCTTCAATCCATCCGTTGATACAAAGGTGGTGCAAATTGCAATGTTGCAGAACATGCCTGACTGCTTGTTGGTTTCAAACGTGGGTGTCGTCCTGGAGAAGATAGAACATGGAATGTTCAAAACAGTGTTCACCCAAATGGAACTATGTTTGAACATTCATATTGGGTTTGGTTGCCCTTTGCTTACTTAACATCACCATGAAAAATTAGCCATATTTTATAGGTAAATCATCCACAAACGGGTAATTGCCCATCCCTGCCCCAGCTTACCCAGCCCCTGAGGAAAGCTCTTCGTCGGCAACATCGGGCCTGAGGCTACTGATGAGGTGCGCAGAAAAGATACTGGGGGAACTTTACAGATGTGGCTCAGATGTGGTATATTTGTATAGTATAGATTAATTTCTATATATAGATGATTGTCCTATCGAAAATGGGTGTATTTACCACATCTATCTTCTTTCAACTTCAATTTTTTGGCATGATTCCCATACATCCCCATACCTGTTATTATTAGATATATGCTGTCTAACCGGAGGCCAGTGAAAGACCTGCGCCCTGCCGCTAGTAGCATGACCCGTTTGCCCTCAAATTCCTGGATAGTTCAGGTTTGAGGTCGGGCGTGTCAACGTGTGATGCCCCTTTTGGGTGGGCTCAGCCGTTCTGATTCAACAATACAATATACAATACCATATTTATATACATATATCTAGGGGTAAACATATGTGGGAAACCCATGAGGAAGCCCCAGGAACATCGTCGACTTTAATGGTTGATTTTCCACATCTATATAGTGAATTTACCCTAGGGTACCTTCTGGTAACTTGGTAAGGATCTAAACCCAGCAAAATGATAATTCACCAAGGCACCAGGTATCAAACAGGCAGAGCTGACAAGTGACCTGGCAACTTGGTAAATTTATCCATTTGCGAACTGGGAAATCATATCTTTGAAAGAGGTAAATCATGGTAAATCATATTATCTAAACGGCAATTTTCCAGAGCAGACTGTTAAATTACAACTAAGAGAGAGAGAGAGAGAGATAATGGTTGTTTTTTGCTCGGTTAAAGGTCGATCTTTTCGCATGATTTCTTAGACTGGGAATGGAATGAGGTAATTTGTAGACCAATCTCAAATCACCCGATCTGTGGGAAGATGCAAGATGACCCAACATTCATTGGTTACTGCGATGGTTGACCGCTGCTAGGTTTACATGGAATTGAATCTACAATTTCTCAAGCGCACGACTTATCGCAAAGGTTCACAATTTCAATTACTCTTTGGAATCTCTTTGGCAATTTAACATATAGCTATTGTAAATCACAATTTTCAATACTGTAGGATTTCATAAGGTAAAATCATCTATAAATGGACCAGGTATATTATAGCTACCCTCTGGTAAACATACAAAAAACAATGGAAAATCACCATTGTTAATGGGAAAATCAACTATAAATGACCATTTTCAATAGCTATGTTAGTCATTACCAGAGGGTATTCATGGGCCGATCGGCCGATCATGGATCCAAAGTCCTGTCAGGACTTGTATGCCACTCTCTACGCCTTAGATGGCGTCACTGAGGTGCGATGGGTCCACTTAAGAGAAGCCACCAAAAAATATCTAAAGCAAAAATGGATATTTATCAACTTAGGAACATTTTTTCTTTAAGTTTTATACCAACTATACTCATTACAATCCGTTTTGTTTGTTTTTTGTTGAACTATACTGGACTAAGAATGGCCAGTACCGTGCTTGTGTCCAATGGATTGAAATTTCGGGTCACTCACTGCGATCGCGGTTTTCCTGTTCTGGCCATTTTTCAGGCTAACCCCTTCCCGGGCAGCATTCGTGCCCCACTTGTCGTGATTTAGTGAAAAAAAACACAGGAAAACGTGGCCTTTGACCCTCCTTTGCATTGGTTGGTCAAGGCTGGTTTTTCAGGGTGGAGTCTGAAAAACCGGGGTGGTCAGGTGTCCATCCACCGGAACAAGAGCAAACGTGGCGACTTTGCTTTCGTCCTTGGGACTGCACCTGTTGCTTTCCTCACGGCTGGTTCACCATTGAAATTCTAGAGGTCGATGGATCTGAAGGTTCTGACCACCCCCTGGTAATTCAACATAGCTATTGAAAATGGTCATTTATAGTTGATTTACCCATTAAAAATGGTGATTTCCCATAGTTATGTTAGTTTCCCAGAGGGTATAGTCTTTGGTTCAATGCGTTTCTGCACGGCATAGCTCATGTCATCGCTACGAATTAGTTCAATTTTCATCAATCAAGTGTTTATGAATGTGTGTCACATGTTTTCTTTCTCCTGCAACCTGTGGTATCCATAATTCCTGCAACTTGCAATACATGTCACCCATCGAGGGTATTATGGCACTGCTTGCGATTATCATCAGACCTTCGGCACGGACCCTTCTGGGGGTCACATTTACCGCCAGTTTGAGGCTGCTCCATCAAGTGGTTTTGGGATATATATCGATATAGTAAACCCCAACAACAATCAATTATAATTCGATTAATTCGATATATATATATTTAGTATGATTTTACTTTTCTGCCTGTACTTCAATATACATCACCCGTGTTTTTGCCCACTTTGAATCCCGTACCTTGTCTCCCATCGTGACTCAGTTTTGAAAACTAGCCATGACATGCTGCATTTGCCTAAGGTATGGTTTGCTTCGCCTGCATCTCGGCACTGAAGCAAACTACTGCTACTATCACGATCTCTGGATGACAATAACCAAGATGAAAATATGAATCATTTAATGGAATGATGAATATTTCATGAATGATGTTGGTAATTACGTAACATTGATATTTCATAGTATGTTTGCTTATTGATTTGTCATGAAATGATCTGCTGCTCACCTCGAGGAGCAGGCAGAAGCACAGATGAAGACCCGGAAGACGCGCAACCCCGAGTGCGCCGGGACGCGGCTCGCCATGGCGAAAGTCGGATGGCGGGATGGCCATGTGCCATGTGCGGATGGGCTGAAGGCTGAAGGTAATGTTCTTTCTTAGGGTCAAATGTGGTTAATCCATGTTAATCCACTTGTGTTTAACAAAAACTGATCTGGAATATCCACCATTTGCGGAACCGGACTTGGGAATAGGTTTTATTCTTTGGTGTTTTCGCTGGGCAAATTCAAGGTCAAATGATGCTGGCCATTACGACTGATGACGATCAACCAGATGGCGATGGAGAGAGAGAGAGAGGATGAAGCAGCAAATCTGGAAGTAAAAAATAGGGTCACCCTATGTGTGATCATTCAGATGTGATATAAAATGATGAACCAGAGAGATGATCAACCAGATGGGTCACCCTTCAGACTATCATGGAGAGATTCCAGGGACACGGTCAGAGCGATCAGAGTCGGGCGGCAGAATAACACGAATTTGTTGGGAGCTGGATGGATTATATCCACACGCTTCGAAGCCTAGTGTTTTGGAGTAGATAAATTTGCCAACCACCAAGTTAGGGACTTCATTCCCCTAAGATGTTCATCTCATTGAGCTGCGATATTTAAGGCAAACCCCTTTGATGATCCCAAGTGGTTCTGTCGGTTTCTTTGTGCAGACTTGGCCCAGATGACACGATGATTGAGTCGGGTTCACATAGAGAATCCGATTGTTGGCTGGATACCAATTTGTTGAATGCTGGATAGGTTTCAAACCATCTAACATATTGTTTTTGGTTTTTCGAACATTTTCAGACATGCCAAAAATCATAGAAATGACTATAGTTATGTATCCTGGTTGGTTTGATACCTAGACATGGTTGGTTCACCAGCAACTAGTTACGACAGTCGGAACGCATGGAACCCCCAGCTCCCAGCTCCAGCTTTAGGAAGCTCCACTTGGAATGGACGCTGAAGGCTGGGGGGCTGGGCCGGGCTTTGCTTCATCAAAATTCCCAGCAGCTTGGTGTACCTTTTAGTAGATTTGAGTAAACCAACCTAGCGGTGGAAAATGGTGTTTTCTTCGAAAGGTAATTTATCTACAAGTTTCATACCAATCTGCGGTCAAGTGGGTAAAGAGTTTACCCAATGGTGATGATGAAGGGCTTCATGTTGCATGCTTTTTAGAAGTGGTTTTGACTGAAACGAACTTGAAGGGAATTGCCAGTCTCACTACCTCAAAGGTATTTCACCAAACAAGCAAGTCACCAAGTCCTCATTTCAAGACTTTTTAAGGGTCTCCAACCACCATGGGGTTTTGATAGCAGCGAAGATGAAGCCAGCATTTTTTTTGGGGTGGACTTGTGCGGATTCCACACATGTCCAGGAACGCAACCAGGAACGCAAGCAGCAGACCATTTGTGCCATGGCGCGGATTTTTCGGCCTGTAGGCAATGGCGATTTCAATTGATTTTCTGTTACCTGGCAAGATGGCTATCCCAACAAGGATTTTTTTAAACATATTAATTATAGGCAATAATTTGTAAATGGGTGTTCGATTACCAGGTTAAATTGCTGGAGACTGGAGAGTATCCCAAATATCACACGATTATGTAGTATGCATCGATATTTGGGATGATTGCCCCAAAATGGCTAGAATATGCTCAATGTTTTTGTATATATGCTTTTGGGGTGGGTTGAAATCACCAATCAGGCGTAGCTTGGAGTGATCGATCCACATAGTCGCACCTCTTAGGTCTTCAGTGCTGAGCAAAAAAAGAGCAGATGATGTTTCTCTCCATTGGAGGCTTGAAGTTGAACATTTCAACAAAAACATTTGCAGGAAACCATCTTCGGTCATCGGGCCACAAAGATGTTCGGTGGTTCAGCTGGTACGATCATGCCATTCAGTGGGACAAACATTGGCACTCGGAAGCTGCAGTGCATTCTGTCCAATGGTTCAGCGAGGGCTTTTTCCCCGTGGCACCACTTGCAACGAGCAACGTCTGACACCGAAGCTGGAGGAGCAGATTCGTACAGCTCCAGGGTGTTTGCTTGGCTAGACTGGAAGCGTTTAGCCCTAGTGAAGTATTCGCTGCTTCTATACACAGTCTGTAGCTAGAAGTCATTGCAGATTGCTGCTTGCTGTTGTATGCTTGTTCTAATTGCAGCTCACCGATGTTTCTCTCCATTGGAGGTTTGAAGTTCAACATGTCAACATCTGGGGATTGAAACCATTGTCCTTCGTTTTGGTAAACCTTGGTTAGGTAGGTTGTGGACGGTTATGGTAGGTTTATACTCTGTATTTTGAATGTTCACCCACACATGGGAAAATATGTGTTTGCTCTAACTGCCCAACTTTTATTTGCATAAATCTCAAGACTAACATCTAAGATTGCGTCGCTCTTGTTGGTCAAAATCCCATGTTTGATCATGTTTGTTGGTTGTTATACCTCTGTAATCCTCTGTACATAATCGTGTTCTTGCTCTTCTTATTGATCAAGATTTCCTCTTCTCATTTTACTTGGCTTGATGTCAAGTAATCATATAATATCATATAGTAGTCCATGACAGTGGCCGATAAGAATATATCCTCAGTAGATTAAGATAGATATGGAAATCCAATGGTTTCCCCTTCGGAAAATGATCACTGGATCATGGATCTTCCATATACATCTTGATACTGGAGGGTATCAGAATTCACTAAAATCAGTATATATATATATACACAATATATATTGTATATATAATTATATATATATAGGTTCTCATTATCCATGTATGAAATATGTCCATGATTTTCTCACCCCAAATGTCCTTTCCCGGCCGACTCCTAGACCCGACCCTCACCCTTTCTGGACGTAGCTTTGAGGCAACCTTCCCCCGGACACCACGGCAGAGGAACTACGGAAGAGCCTGGGTGCGGAGGTCGAGGCCGGAGGAACGGCCGGAGGAATCGGAAAAATACTGAGGCGAAACCAAACGAAACCATAGGAAACCATAGGAATATGTTCATTTAACCGAGAAGAATGTGGATTTTGTGGGATTTATATGGATTTATAGTATAGCTGATTGATAATAGCTAAGTTGGCTTATATCTTGGTTAACTACAGCGCATGGGTTATAAACCAATGTCTAACTTGGGGACCTCAGGCCTCGTCTTGTCAGTTGTCCAACTTTTCGGCTTGTTTTTTTTTTCGGGCTGGCTCTATATATATTTATGTTTTTGCTAATGTAAAACCATGCACCATTGATGGTAATTAAATAGTGTTATTAATATAGATATAGATATAGCAACCCCACCAAAAAAAGATGCCGAAAAGTAATTTACCACTATTTTAGGATTGGATTTTACCAACTTCGGCCTGTAGCATTACCAGACATTTAGTTCGAGGATTTCCCAATCAAAAAAACCCAATTTTCGATATGTTCACACTATAGAGCCTTGATTTTCCTTTGTTCTCATGTATTTTCCACAACTATATATATATATATATTATATATATATATAGTTAAACAATATACATATATATATATATATATCTTATTTATATATATATACACATAAGTATAATTATTCCTTTTTTTATATACAAGTATATATATATATAGATAGATACCATATAGGAATTTTATGGCTTCCCCACTTTCCCATTCCTCAAACAGGTCGAACTCAGCGAGGGCGGCAGCGCCCAGATCACGGCTTCCGAGAAGCAGCTGTCCAAGGCAGAGGTGCGCGGCAGGAAATGCAGCCGCAACGGGTGAAAAAATAAGGGAAGTGTGCCATGGTCAAAAGATAGAACATATATGAACATACATAGGGGAATATAAGGGAATATCCTTAATTAATTATACAAGGTGAGGCCCCCTCGTTATATTTGTTGGTGGCTATTGTTGGCCTTGAAACCCATTCACTAGCTTGTTATTTCTCTCAAATCAACCTCCCAGTGAGCCGAGATATGTGCGTTAACTTCGCTATCAAGGGTCCCTCACCTTGTAGAATATACGGGCATATATGGAAATATCTGAATTGCATTGGTGATATCATGGGATGTATGAGCAATCTGTGATATTTTAAGTGATATCTGTGATTCAGATTTGACCATGGAAAATATGTTCAGGTTTCCGAAGTCATGGGGGTAGCCGATTTAATCTGGAAACCGCCAGGACCAGGTCATGGGATTCTCCCGAAAGAAGGCGACTGTGTCTAGCACCGTGATCATATTAAAAAACAGTAAATGTGATGGATATTATAGTATACTATATGGATCTATATGGTATATTATATGTATATACTATATATAATTATATATAATTATATATATATTGTATGGAATGTATTATTTGATTATATCCCTATCACTATATATATATATCCCATTATATACACATGATGATGCACCCCAACGATAGCTGAGTTATGCTAAGTTGACATATCTTGATTCACTGTTGGGTTGACTAGGGGGAAATAATTGCATGGGGGGGCTCACCTTATGTATATATATATATATATATATGTGTGTGTGTTTATATTTGTTCATATATTGTATATAACCGCATCCCCATTATCCAGTTTCTTTACCCCCTTGCCCTGTTCATATTCATAATCCAGTTATGACAATCATGATGCCTAAATCATAGTGTTTGTTGTTGAAGAGGGGCCCTAACCATTGTGCCTCTGATATTCACCATGTATGAAGTAACCCAAACATAGTGTTTTAATGGTTCTATGTTGCAACCTGCCGGGGCAAACCGTGCTTGAACAGCCGTAGATGGGAAGTTAACATATTCTATGGTTAGGGCACGACTGTAAGATGTATTTGGTGGGTGAAAAATGGTTTCCCGCAATTTTCCCGCCAACCCATCGAAAGTCAATTTTATATCTTGGATGTATTGCATCCTGATGGTTGAAGGTGTTTATTTCGCGGTTAACAACTAGGAAAACGATCAAAGCTGTGAAGATCCAAGGTTTGTACCCTTGCCAAATTGTAACCCCATGTTCTCACGATGAAAAACGTCCATGTTTGGTGTAAAAATATTTGAAAAATAACACATGGCGGTTCCCAGCCACTCCCGTAGATGTTTTGCTGGGTACGTCCCCCAAAAGATGGAGAAATGAAGTAAATCATTATTTCATAAGGGATTTTCACTTTGTTGAATCTTACTGCATATCTATATCTGATTTTATTCAAGGTTCCCCATCACTATCTAGATATATACATATTATATGTATATATATATATGAACTATATATCTAAAGTTCTACGATGATATCATTTAGAGTTCCCCATCTGATGTTTTCGGATGTTTTGGTCATCCTTTTGGGGATGACCCTGCCAGGCCTTGATCCGCGAGGGCCGCGCGAGGCTTCGTGGCCACGTCTTGCGGATCGAGCGACGGTGCGCCTTGGGGGCGCCGGGGCGAGGTTGGAGGGTCCGGTTGCGAAACTGTGGGAAGCAATGGAAAAATGCGATTCTGCTGTAGTTTGGTTGATTTTTGTGATTTTTAGAGGGGTTGAGTTACTTAGTTGGTATTGGGGGAATTCAGATGATTTTCGCGGCTTCGACTGGGCCACCTGCTCACCCTCAGACGCTGAACCTCCGGGATGGCGATGGAGAGTGATCTTGATAAATTTTCACGTGTTGTATGATGGATTCATTCATTTACATCATTTAAGTGGATTTAGATCGGGGATATGGATTTAGATGAATGTGATATCTCCAGCAAAAACGGCAATGCGACCAGCAACGGGTGAATGGTGGTCAGCTCCTTAACATAGGGCAAACGTACAATTATAGATATACATATGTGCTGCGGGTCAGAGTTGGCCAATGGAGACGCGTAAACCTTGCCGAATGGTTGATGTTTTTTTTGTGCCTCAGCTAAGGTGGTAAACCCGAAACGATCAACCTAACTGGCTGGGAGGGTTCCTTTGATTGAAGATTTCACAGAGGTTTGGTTTGTAAATCTTCAATCCTGCCCCTGTGGATTGAAGATTGAAGATTCCACAGAGACTTTTTTTGCAAATCGTCGATCCTGCCCTACAAAGCTGAAAACCTGACATTTACGACTGGATGTGCCACTTTTGCATCTCAAAAGCGGGTGTCATAAGTGTGAAGTGGAATATGAATTTTGGCAAGCAACGGTGGGGTGGGGCAGCAAAAACCATGCTCCTAGTGAAGTTGGGTTCCATAGTTGTTATCAGTGGGATATGCCTAACTACTGAAATAGTGTTGTATCCAAAAGGTCAATGGGAAATATGGTTATTGTTCAGTTCAATGATATCCATATCGAAATGCAATTCTAAGAGTGTTTGTTGTAACGGCTATGGCTGAACTTGATATTGAACACCAAAACTAATCAAACTCCACATGTCGAAATGTCACGTTCTGAATCATATCCCCTGACATTGGTGGTATATGTCAAGGGATCCGCCATTTCAGCCATACCTGTATCATTTCATCCCCCCAAAAGTAGAGACCCTCCAGAAACCGTGCTTTAGTAGGAGATGAATCCACATATTTGGGACCATAGAATGGTGGTGTTTAATGGGGTTAGCGATCCGAAGTAGCTCATTGAGGAACTTGCTGCAGAGCTGGAGCGCACTCCAGCAGTCAAGGCTGTTGCCAAACCGTATCTGCCTGGTTTGTACTGGAAATGTATGGCATGGCCAAATGCGGAATTTCTATATCATCAACTGACTCGATGGTGGCACAGGTCTCCATCTACATTCCAAGACAATGGAAAAAAGCCTGGTTGGCCTTTTTGCCCAAGCCAAACCGACCACCAACAAGCCTGATTAATCTCAGGCCAATCGAATTGCAGGAACCGTTAGGAAAGGCAGTTCTTGGCCTTGTGAGACGCAAGTTCTGCACTGCCAATACACACGTTCCATGCTGCAGAATCAGAGACGGACAGTGCACCAGCGAGCTAAGCTACTCCTTCCCTGCCAAGAACAGGGGATAGCGATCCCCAATGACACGACATGTTTTTTGGACGGGTTGAAATCACGAAAACAAGAGAAGAACATGTTAGATCCTTAGTTTCCAATCCAAAGTTAGATCCCTAGTTGTTGATAGATACATCTCGACATTTTACAGTTTTTGGTCATGCATTTCCCAAGTGTTCCACAAAGTCCAATTCTTCTGTCCCTGAACGGGCCCCACAATCAGAATATACTCCATTCTCTTCCCATTGTCTATACTTTAGATACTCAGATACTCCAGCATACCCCCAAAATTTCCCCCGAAAAAATAAATCCCCATTTGCCAGGTTTTTTTAAAATGTTCTATCATGATATTATTTTGATGATGAACCTGATCTTTGATAGATGATCCAATTTTATCATCTATATCATCTATCATCCAAAGATAGAATGAGTAAATTTCTATAACATCTCTTTATTTCATACTATTTCCATATATTTCCATAACATCTCATTTTTTCCGCCTTCAAAAATGGTTCCAGTCGTGGTTTCATCCTCCAGGCGCCCGCATCTCATCATCAAGAACTTGGCCTCGCCGGACGAAGCTATCCTCCGCGACGCCTGTCAGGAGCTGGGAGAACTGCGCCATGGCGGAGCGGCGGAGCTGACATGGGCAAATCTTACAGAGAAATGGGGGATTTCACTGTGGAAAATGGTGATTTATGGCGATTTCACTAGTGAAAATTGGGATTGGGTGGAAGTTTGGGGGAAAACAGTGATTTGGTGATGATTCAATGGGGATGTAATGAGACCATAATGGGAAATGCAGACAAGACAAAACGCTACGGAAATCCATGTTCTTTGCTTTGAGAACGATTTGCACGTGGTGAATGTTCCATGTTAGTTTGCTGGTATATAAGTTTGCGTATACAATGATATATATATAACATGATATAACCGGTCGGATGGGGAAGTGATTGATTTTAAATCAATTCACCTTGGTAATTATGATATGAAGAGTATTACTCACAACCAAAACAACCAAGTTATACTAAGCTGCTCAAAGACGGATACACCCCAAATTGGAACCCCAAACATTGGGTTTGGACGATAATTTGTGCTATTGAATATGGCCAATCCGGCTTGCATGTTGATTTGGGAATGTTTATGTGTAGTTAGATTGGTTTATATAATTTATATACCAACTCTTAATATAGTTGCATGGTGTATGAAAAAAATAACAAGAAGGGGGAACTTTCGGCGAGTAACTTGTTTGGAAAAGACGAATGGGCACCTTTTGCTGGGGCCATGGCTGGAATGTGGATGGATGATGTTGAGATGGAACAGTTGATAGGCTTTAGACTATTGAACAAATGATTGCCCACTTCCAATGGTCTTTACAACATTGAAACAATATGAAACAAATACTTTCTGCGTTTTTGTGTCGGAGCTGCTTGCTTGCATACTCATGGTTCATCCTCGGGCGCTGTTGGCAAGTGTGCGGAGTGGTTCATCCCCAAATCACGATCATTTTCATCCCCATCCTTCTCCTCACCGGCATCAGCATTGCATTTATCATTTGGAATTTATCATCACTATCTTAACCAACCTTTAACCAGGGATATAACCTCCGTAGTAAGTGGGATGAGCCACCAAGTATCAAATAGACATTATTCATGACTTTCTCTATGGTTTGATGCATGGTCAGATGATATGCCTTTTGTTGCTGCTCAAAAGAACCCTGGACCCTCGACCAGTCCATGTCGCCAAGGCGTAGAATGAAGATGATCTACAACCAAGATGGGGAGTTCAAACGTTGTGCCTTCATCGTACCTGGGACGTCCTGGCAGGGAACACAACGGTCGCGTGGGTCTTTGGGTTGACATTGGCCATGGTGACAATCATGACATTGACTTTGGTCAGCCAAAGTCCCCTTTTTCGTTCTGAATTTCCTCTTTTTCTTGGTTAGATTCCATTAGATACGATATTGGTTTGCTGGTGAAGATGCATCAAAATGGATCAAAGTGGAAACGTAACACCCCAACAGCAGATGTTCGCCCAAAAAAACGTGTTATCGCATAAGAAAAGCACATGTTCCTTCCGAAAAACGCGAATTTTCTTGGATGTCGGATGAACATGGTGAACACCCAAGCACCCTGATCTTCAAGGAGTATATGGATGCCAACCTGGTGGAGGACGCCAGAGAAGCACTGCACAACAGCTCTTTGCTGGGGCAGCGCATTCGGGTTGAGAGGTGCAAGGGCCGCAAAGGTTGAGAGGTGAATGCTGTCGTTTTGCCTGTGACACCATGGGTTTGTGTGTGTGTGTACCAGTCTATTTATTGTTCTATTTGCAAAAAAAACGTTTATCCGCCTATCTAACTATCCATCTACCTTCGCTTTACAGATGTATTTACACGCACATATATATCATATATGTATACATATGAATATATATAGATATATGTGTGTATATGAATATATATATATGTATAGATATAGATACATTTTTCTATGGGAGTCTCAAAACAACATGTTTTTTGGAGATTCCTACCGCCTGTAAAGATGAGGTTTGCAGTGGAAGTGGGATGAAATGAGTTCCGTCTGAGGTTCTGACTACCTATGACCAAGGGGCATACACAGCAACATAGAATTGAGCAAGACTGCCTAGTGGATGGAATCAATCAAATCAGCCAAACAGTCCACTATAATAGGGATTTATTCCCAGGGCAGGGTGACCGGACAACGATGGAGAGAGAGAAACCTATTTATCTACACCGAGGCTGGATGACCGTAATTCACTAATCCCACGTTTCGACCATGGCACACCTGGGTGTGCCCTTCTTGCCGCTCCAATTGTTGATCAATGGCTTATTTGATGTGCGACTTTCTCATTGATATAATGATATCATTGTTTCCAAAACACTTGTTTTGCAAGGTCCAATACGTTGTTGGGAGGCCCTAATGGTTTCGAGACGCTTTTCAGATCAGACATGTGGAGCGCACTGAAGATGGCACTGTGATGATCCCTACAGTATCCCAAAGGGACGAAATCAGTCGCAACTGGGGCACATCAAATCCTGTTAAAAACCGCCTGTTATTCCAATTTCGAGCGAAACACCATTAGGCATTACATACTAATCATATTATGATCCAAAAGATATATCTCAAGGATCAAAAACAAGCTGCTCATTGGATTGGGTAAAGGGAAAGTTTTAAGCTAACCTTTTGCAATTTGATGAACAGAATGACGGTTTCTGATTTTCCCTGAAACCAATCCAATGAATTAGTAATTATCAGATTAAAAAACAGCCATGAACATCCACTTCCTTACCTCACAAGGTATCGGTCCTTGACTCCGGAGCGTCGTCACGAGCGGCGCGAGCATGCTGAGCCCAGGTGAACACGGTTGACACTGCCGTTGGTTTTCCCATCAAAGTGGTTGGTCATCCCCCACTAATTACTAGGGGTTAAGATACATAGCGTATTATATAATATATTGCACCATGCATGTTTATGACAAAGAAATAACAACCCAAAAAACAAACAAACAACAAAATGTCAAAATATACAAACAAACACACAAAGAAACAAATGTGCCAGAGCGCTTTATGTTTTTTGTTTGTTTCTTTTTTGTTTTTTCCTCTGAAGACTCAGGGATCCCAAATCTGCACTCTGTCGTAATTTGTTTCTGTTTTGTTGCTTTTTCGTTTTTTTCCAAGGAAAAAGATGCAGATTTGGGATCCCGGAGTCCCCGTAGAAAAAAAACAAAAAATATACAAATACAAAGCACTCTGGCGCGATTTGTGTGTTTTTTTGTTTTGTCATTGTTTTTTGTTTTTTTCAATTTATTTGTTTGTTGTAAAAAGTTGCATTTTGCGTCAGGTTAAACATCCCGCCGGGTGGGAAACTGAACCCACGTTTTGTCTGTTCTTGGCGTTCATATGCTAGACATTGGATGCGAAACACATGGTTTTGGCAAACAATTCAGTTCATGATATTCGCCGTGCCACTGTGTTTTGGCTTTTTTCTTGCGTTTTGCAATGTTTTCTGCATTCATGAGCTTCCAAAATCAGCGTCAATTGTTTGCAGTTTTCTTGAAATATGCAGGTTTTAGCACATTTCTGCGCGCGTTTTTTTCTATCGCCAAGGACAGTCATCTAGACTGGACAGTCTCATTCAAGACTTTGCGGAAGTGCAAGAAGACGTACAGTAGCGTAGCATCATGTATGTGAGATCCTCCTCTGTACTACCAGTTTTTTTTCCTGGGGGTTCAGTACGCTTTTTAAAAAACACTATTTTCCAAAAATCTAGCAGACAGTGGGTGAGGGTCCCGGGGCATGATATGGGGCCAGGAATAAAATATCATACCAAAAAAGGCCCAGATTTTTTTTCCTGAAAGCTTCCTGACGTACAGTGACAGGAAATCAATTTCTGTCTGTTGTGATTGAGGGGGGTTGATCTATCAGTCTGTGTATGTAAGGCATCAGGAAATCAGTCATGAATGACTGAATGACTCTGATAATGGGTAGGTTTGTAGAATTCCCAAGGTTAGTAGCCAGGAATTTGAAGGTGGATGGATCAAATGGGAGTTTACTAGAACATATCTAAATGTCAAACCCCAGGAAAAAAATATACCATGGTTACCATGATTAATTGAGGGGGTATGATTCTTTACATGACTTTGCAAAAGGGTACAAACACATATGTTCACCTTCACCAACCAAAAAAGTGACTTCAAGAGGCCAAGGCGCAGGGGTCAAAAATAAAATCCAAGGGGCTGGACCTTTTTTGACTGAATACTTGCGGATGATCTTCAAAGGCTGGCCCCACAGGAAAAAAGTCGCATCACCAGGCCAGTCATCCACTGATAGGACATGATGGGACGAATTCAAGAATTTTGTGCCAACGCGCCCGCAAATTGCAAAACACATGTTTTTTTGCTGAAAATACAGTTGTCCTTGCAAAAGGGTACAGACACACATGTTCAGCTTCACCAACCAAAAAAGTGACTTGAAGAGGCCGAGGCGCAGGTGTCAAAAATAAAATCCAAGGGGCTGGACCTTTTTTTGACTGAATTCTTGCGGATAATCTTCAAAGGTTGGCCCACAGGAAAAAGTCGCATCTCCAGGCCAATCATCCACAGCTAGGACATGATGGGACGAATTCAAGAATTTTGTGTCAACGCGCCCAAATTGCAAAACAGGCGTGTTTTTTCTGAAAATACAGTTGTCCTTGCAAAAGGGTACAACCACATATGTTCAGCTTCACCAACCAAAAAAGGTGACTTCAAGAGGCCGAGGCGCACGTGTCAAAAATAAAATCCAAGGGGCTGGACTTTTTTTGGCCGAATACTTGCGGATGATCTTCAAAGGTTGGCCCCACAGGAAAAAAGTCGCATCACCAGGCCAATCATCCACAGATAGGACATAATGGGACGAATTCAAGAATTGTGTGTCAACGCGCGCCCAAATTACAAAACATATGTTTTTTGCTGAAAATACATTTGTCCTTGCAAAAGGGTACAACCACATATGTTCAGCTTCACCAACCAAAAAAAGGTGACTTGAAGAGGCCGAGGCGCAGGTGTCAAAGATAAAATCCAAGGGGCTGGACTTTTTTTGGCCGAATTCTTGTGGATGATCTTCAAAGGCTGGCCCCACAGGAAAAAAATCGCATCACCAGGTCAACCATCCATAGATAGGAAATGATGGGACAAATTGAAGAATTTTGTTCCAATGTGTGGCCAAATTGCAAAACAGGCGTTTTTTCCTGAAGATACATTTGTCCATGCAAAAGGGTTGCGCATTGCCGTGGGCATCTGCCGGACCGCACTCGTGAAGCCGTGGACTCTGAAAACTGCGAGCTGTCAGCCGGGAAGTCAGGTGCCAGGAATTCATTTTTTTCCGTATCAGATTGAGGGGGGGGAAGATATGGCATGTTACCAATGCAAGCATCCAGGAAATAATTATTTTACTTGGATATCAGAGGGGTAAATTTATTGGATGTTGGACGTTGGGCACCAGGAAATTAGCAAAGAAAATTCAAAAAGGTGGTTGGAAGTGAGATTTCGGCTTTAGAGGTTAGGAGCCAGGAATTTAAAGCTCTAAAACATCTCTCAAAGGTTAGGGGTCATCATTTTAGACCGATTTTTTCTAGGACTGTACCCCACGTTTTTGTACCGACGGGGATTATGTGAGGAAGTTCAGGAAGACGTAAAGTAGCGTAGCATCATATATGTGAGGCAGTGCAAGAAGACATGGAGTAGCGTAGCATCATGTATGTGAGGTAGTGCAAATGAACGTTATTAGCCCACCCCACCCCACCCCATTAACCCCATGAAAGACATAGAAACATGCAAAACGCTGGTTCGGTTTTCAACCCGTAGGCTTAAACATGGATTCTATTGAATCGCCACATTTGGGATATTTAGGAGTATGAAAAGTGGTCGGAAAAAGAAACACATGCATTGCTGGTTGGTGGTTGGAAATATTTTTTGTTTTGCCATATATTGGGAATAATCATCCCAACTGACTTTCATATTTTTCAGAGGGGTAGGTCAACCACCAACCAGATTGTCATTCATCATGAAATCCACCTGAAAAGGCCTTGAAATCCCGGTACATCCTCAGTTGCAGTACTTGGATGTGCATCCCACTTAGGATCCGTGGTTGCCCAATACAACCCGTAGTTTATAATCCATATATATTCCATATATATATATATCCATATTATCCCATATGTATATATATAATAGGGAATATATCTAGTCTTATATATATATGACAATGGCGGTTTTTCACCCATTTACCAAATGGGGCCCGCAGGGAACATTCCCAGGAGCCCCAGCTTGCCTCCGCCAAAAATACCGCGCCATGTGATGCTGGGGCTGGGGCTCCTAGGAATGAGGAATTCACCAGGAAAAACTGTTTGGGTACCAGGGTTTGGACGAAGATTTTCCAAAAAAGACAAAAAAGAACATGCTGGTAGAATGGGGGGACATTGGGATATAGTGGGATATTTCATGGGATGTTTTTTTGGGATATACATGTGATGTTATTGGAAATTTGGATAGACCTTCTACTGGAGTGAAAGGATTAATTTTATCGACCTAATGTCCTTTTTCGTCACTGCGATGATCGTGATCGTATTGAGGGAATGATCTCCAAATGAATGTTCAAAACCCCTGGTTGGTTGATGGTTAAAGGGGATTATATATACATATAACATCATATACACATATATATAATTATATATATAATTATATATACATATTTTATTATATATATTGTTTACATCTACATATATATATATACATACATAAATGTAGTACCTAATTAATATGTTGGGGATTATCATGATCAACTAGGGGAGTGATTAGCCACCTACTGAGCGGAACGGGAGGGATTGGACCAGCAAAGTTGGAGGGCACTTGTGCACTTGTTTTTTTCAAGTTGATGACAGTTGCTTGGGCTGGTGATTTCACATACCATGTCCACTTGAAAAGATTGCCCGGGTTGACTAATGTGTTGAGGATGAATCGGAAGGACAACAAGTATGTACTTACGCACAACAGATATGATATAGAAATGGAATCCAATAGATGTCATTATAGAAATAGAATCCAATAGATGTCATTGTAGGAATGGAATCCAATAGATGTTCTTCCCAGCATTTCCATTAATTTTCTCATTCTCCCAAGGCCTCCCCCTCCTTTGGCGCCATATCCAATTCCATGTCGGAGACCGCCAGCGAGGCCACGATGGGTGATCAGCCATGCTATGGGATGGTTGAGCCACGAAAGAGGGGAACATGACCTATATATATATATTGATTAAATTGATGACTCCCTAGATCTATTTAGTTTGATTTAGTTTGATATCTTTGGTTTGATATTTTTTTATATACATACACATGGGAGAGATGGTGATGGTGATGGGGACAGAAATATATATATATATATAACTCTATATTATATATGTATAAGTATATGTACAATTACATATATATATATATACATATGCACATGCATATTTATGTTTTTTATTTTTCCACCATATTTGGAAAGATGATCCTCAATGCTTCATATATATATATCAGGGGGTTGACGCTTGAAACCACCAACCAGATATATAACTTCCAGTAAACTAACATAGCCATGGAAAATGGCCTATGTGGAGACATGTGGAGACGATTCACCTATTATTGGTGGATTTCCATAGGAAACTGTTACAGCGGGCCGGGCTCCCCATTTTTGTTGGTTATATCCCATGATATCCCCATTTTTCCTAGTTGAATCCTTATTTTTGATGGGATAATGGGGATTTTGGAGTGGTTTTCCATTCAGAAATCCCCGAGGCCCACAAGCACCCCGCAGTCTGGGCCTACCAAACGACCCAGACCAAGGTGGGGTGGTGCACGTGAAAAAATCAACGGATTGGAGTCGAGGGAAAGTCTTGTGTAACCGGAAGCCATGTGTGTTCCATGTGTTTCCATATTGGTCATTGTTTTTTCCCATGTGTTTTCATTGTTTTCCCATGAAGTCGAATGGGGGATGCTGGTTTCAATTCTCCCTGAGACCAATCAACTAGAGGTTCTGGTAACACAACTGGGGGGGGCCTTCCTTTAGATATACAGGGAATTCTATAGTGTTTCAAAAGGGTTTAATGGCTGGAAATGGCTGGAGATGGGGTGAGTGGCTGACCCAGGTACAGTGGTGGGTTCTTTCACTATGACTGGGAAAATCAATGGAGGGAATATCAAGATGTTTCATCAGAAATCATGAGGACAATCACGAAAACAACGAATCCGTTGAATGACAATTTACAGGAAACCTTATCATTGGGAAACCATTCCGTAAAAAAAGAAGGGATTTTTTTTCCTCCCTGAAAGCAATCCGGCAATCAGTATTCTGCAAGCCACCGGGCAAACTCAGTTACATTGAGATTGGCTTGATGAGACACCATCTGGTTACTAGGACTCAATTATATTTAGTATGCAGCTTCCCATCTCATATGGGACAACCTCATACTAACACCATTTAATATTTATGAGCTACAAACATCAAGTGAAGTGCAGCGTCATTATTTTGCAACTAGATCATACTTGAAACGGCCGTTCGGGATCATATTTTGTGTGACCTGTTAATGTGGGGATGTGGTTCAGGAGCAGATAGATGTGGGATTACTGTGTCAAACGATTTAATTATTTTACTGTTATTTCCTGGGTAAACCTTGGTTCTGTAGCTGAACATGGTATTTTGCATCCTGCATGAGGGACTATCATGAGCAGCCCTAGCCTGCAGGGGGCCCAAGGGGGTTCATTGATCCCGCTTCTAAAGCCAATCATGTCTTCTAAAGCCAATCGGTGGTCAGTGATACCCCTTGATTTTCTTGATTTGAATCGGGCAGTCAGTGGTTGAATGTTGGCGTCTACAACTCTGAGTTTGATTGCTTGAGGTGTCTGTTGGTTGAAGAAATTCATCCAATCCAGCGAAGTGGTTCACAAGAAGCACCTGATGTTTCTTTCAATTTTCCCTGAAATTATACCACCCCAAACTAGGGATTAGCCTAGGAATTTATTTCGATTATAGGACCCATTCATGATCAGTAGCTACAATTCCTCATTTACATGAACCCCCCCCTTTTTTGGTGGGACCCCCATAGATGCAAACTGATTGGGATCACACCATTTCATCAAACATGGCTGGCTGGGAAATCCCCGAACTAAATGGGCATTTGAATGGGAAATGCATCGAACTAAATGGATAATTTTCCAGCCATGCTTGATTACCAGGGAAGTCCATAGTTCTGCTTCGATCTCCACAGGTTGCCAGTTGCTGATGATGAGTTGTAGCTATGATATCCCAGAAAAAAGACTGGGATATGACATGATATAATTTGGATCAATTATAACGACGACCTGACGTCACGACGTCAGTCACTGAGGTTGTTTGTAGGGGTATATAAATAACTATCCCAAAATAGCCGCAGTGTTCAGGTTCTCATTTGTGGTTGGTATCTATCCAGATATCATATATAAATATAAACCTAATTAAACAAATATATATATATATATATTACTTGTCCAGATGAGATGATCCAATTGTATCCCCATATGTTCGATAATTAAAATGTTAAAACCCCATAACTCCTTGGACACATTGATTAAAGGCTAACCCCTTTCCCCAGATCCTGACGGCTTTGCTTGTCACCGGTTCTGCCAGTGTGAAGCCCAGCTTGGCCGTTCACTTGGCGGATGAGGCGGGGCGGAACATCCAAAAGATGTTTTGTAAACACCATTTGTAGATCATGTTCCAAGGGGAACCCGAGGTTTTTTCACATCTAGTGTACCATGGTTTAATCCTATATATAGGGGAGCTTTGAACTATTAGACAAATAGAGAAATGGGATAGGTGAAAATTGCCATCAACTGAGATGATTAAAGCGCTGAAAAGCTGCAATTTATCACTTTTTTGGGTGGCCCCATGTAACCCCAATGTTTTACGGTTGGATTCAAACCGACAACGCTGACCTAAGATATGCACGAGTAGTGTGGAAGTGCCTTTCAGGGCCAGTTAAAAAAACCGTAACTTCTTTTGCCCAGAAAAACGTGGAACGATTCCTGTTAAAGCATCAAAAATCCATGGTTTCCAGGTTTCTCAACCTTTTTCTCAACATGTTGAACTGGAGCTTGTCATTTCCAGCAGGCGGCTCCGGCTCCAAAGGCTCCAAAGGCTCCACGATTGGCGCAAAAAGTGCAATTTCTTTTAGCGCCAGGAAGGATGGTAGGGAACTACACGTTACAGCATATCCTCAGCAACCACGTGCTATGCGGAAAATGCCACTGAAAATTGGGGTGTGTCTGAAAATAGGGGATTTTCACCACCTGCAATGGCCTAATTTGTTTCATCTAATTTCAATAGAGAAGATGATGATTATGCAGTGAACAACGTGTTCAAAACAATCCAATATCAAGAAGTATAGGACTGTCACTGGATTTTCCATGTCCATTTGTGTTTGCCTTTGCTCGACTGGCAGAGTCCAAAAAATGATCCAAACAGTGGACCTGGATTCGATGGGTAACACGTATATACCTGGACCTGGCATTCAAATAGAGGATAAGCTGGGACCAGGTTTGAGAAACATATACATCGGACCCAGTGTTTTGAGATGTTTTGAGATATTCCATATAGGTTTCCTGCATTCAGAACCCAACCAGGAACATGTCCAGTAGCAGAATTGTTTTGGGGATCCTGCTTTTTTGGTTAAATGGTGTGATGATGTGTGATGTATAGCGATAGGTTGTGGCTCAAGTTGTTTTCTTTTGAGGATGCCGATGACTCCAAAATTGCTTGACAGCACATCGACACCAAATTTCAACTGCTTGCTGACAAACAATAGCCACAGCATCGAATACAACGAAGCTGGTTCGATCTTGCAGAGAATATCAGAGATCAACTCTGCATCCCTGGGACTTTGATAAGTGTAAGCTATGTATGCTGCCCAAATTCCTAAGACATCGCATAAAGACAGACCTCAGTCCGGCAGAATTTCCAGCAACCTGGTGCCATGAGATTCACTGAGGGGCTCCAATGTCCAAGACTGATTGGCTGCCTCCAAACGAAGACTCTGAAGACTCGGACTTGCCACTTGAAAAGACTTGAAAAAAGCTACCATGTTCACCATGTTCATCCATGTTACAATGTTCATCCCTCAAGTCGCCTAAAGACTTGAGTTTTGAATAGTGATGTAATTAATTATTAAATTATTCATATAAACGTTTTGCCCCTTTATCATCCAACACAATTCTGGCCTTGAAGATCACAAGTTTCTTACGAAAGTCTGACATTTCACATATTTCACGAGATCCTGAGGTCATCATTTCACGAGATCCTCCTGGCACAAGAGATCCTCTTCGTAGTCTTGGTGCTGTGTCTCCTTGCAGTTTGCGGCTGTTTGGTTTGGCAGCTGCTGCAATTCAGCGCCCTGCTGCGGCAAGAACGAAGCGTTCGGCGATTTGGGCCACGAGCTGGTTTGGGTCTCTTGATTGGCCTATCTTTTCGGCATTTCGTTCGGTGATAAGTACTATATATCGGGACATTTTGGGAAAATGGTTGGTATAAAACAAGCCATTATGGGGATGTAATGGGGATATGCTATGACCATACTTATATGACAAAATTGATTTCTCTGAAATTCCATGGGAAAAACAAAATCCAGTTGAAAATCATCAATTCCCGACGTGCTATACACAGTATATCATTATAATTGTTATCATATACGGTAAGCAAACATCCACAAAACCAACCTCCCCCAGAACCCTGCCACTGTTAGCTCTGATGTTTATGCGCTAGCCTGATCCAAGTTAATCCTTAATGATTACCCGGTTTACGGATTAGCGGTTTACGGATTAGCCCGCGGACCGGGGCACAGGTTCCACATTAAGTATTTAAAATTAAAGGTTTTGGGGCCTTCTTTCTTTCAAACAGCATTTACCTTTCGGCCTCAGCAAATCCAAACCCCCGGGAAGCAGAAATCAAGCCGAAAGTGCTTAAAAGGGCTTTAGCGGTGGACTTGCCAGAGCAAAGCCCTTTTAAGCAGAAATCAGGCCGAAAGTGCTTAAAAGGGCTTTGGCGGTGGACTTGCCAGAGCAAACCCCTTTTAAGCAGAAATCAGGCCGAAAGTGCTTAAAAGGGCTTTGGCGGTGGACTTGCCAGAGGAAAGCCCTTTTTAGCAGAAATCAGCCCGAAAGTGCTTAAAAGGGCTTTGGCGGTGGACTTGCCAGAGCAAAGCCCTTTTAAGCAGAAATCAGGCCGAAAGTGCTTAAACGGGCTTTGGCGGTGGACTTGCCAGAGCAAAGCCCTTTTAAGCAGAAATCAGGCCGAAAGTGCTTAAAAGGGCTTTGGCGGTGGACTTGCCAGAGAAAAGCCCTTTTTAGCAGAAATCAGGCCGAAAGTGCTTAAAAGGGCTTTGGCGGTGGACTTGCCAGAGCAAAGCCCTTTTTAGCAGAAATCAGGCCGAAAGTGCTTCAAAGGGCTTTGGCGGTGGACTTGCCAGAGCAAAGCCCTTTTTAGCACTTATCAGCCCGAAAATGCTTAAAAGGGCTTTGGCGGTGGACTTGCCAGAGCAAAGCCCTTTTAAGCAGAAATCAGGCCGAAAGTGCTTAAAAGGGCTTTGGCGGTGGACTTGCCAGAGCAAAGCCCTTTTAAGCAGAAATCAGGCCGAAAGTGCTTAAAAGGGCTTTGGCGGTGGACTTGCCAGAGCAAACCCCTTTAAAGCAGAAATCAGGCCGAAAGTGCTTAAAAGGGCTTTGGCGGTGGACTTGCCAGAGCAAAGCCCTTTTTAGCAGAAATCAGGCCGAAAGTGCTTAAAAGGGCTTTGGCGGTTGACTTGCCAGAGCAAAGCCCTCTTAAGCAGAAATCAGGCCGAAAGTGCCCAAAAGGGCTTTGGCGGTGGACTTGCCAGAGCAAAGCCCCCCCAAGCAGAAATCAGGCCGGGAGTGCTTAAAAGGGCTTTGGCGGTGGACTTGCCAGACCAAAGGCCCTTTCCAGCAGAAAATCAGGCCGAAGTGCTTAAAAGGGGCTTTGGCGGTGACTTTGCCAGAGAACAAGCCCTTAAGCAGAATATCAGGCCGAAAGTGCTTTAAAAAGCTGGCCGGCTGGACTTGCCAGAGCAAAGCCCTTCATGACTACAGGATGCTATAGGTATGTAGAATACTGTATAATTAATGATCCTGCACATATAGATATTGATATGATAT